ACTCCAACCAGATAATTAGCATAATATCTCACAGGTTTGCCCAGAGGCCTGCGGTCCTCAGTTCTGTCAAGCAGACAATTCACACTTGTGACATGTTTGTGATATCATGTTCTTTGGTCTTGTTTACTGCTACTCCCATTCTTTTTTGCCCTTTGTCCCTGGTTCCATAACTCCTTCCAGTTGTACTTTTACACTTTTTCTTCAAGTGAAACAAAACTACACTAAATTCTACCTATGAAACAAAACAGTTTTTTGGGGGAATCTGGTTTATTTCATTTATTATGATCTCTAGTTTTGTTTTCCTACAAAGGACATAATTCTTTGTAGCAAAATACTTCCTCATTTTTGGCTTATAACTCATTCTTTTTATTTTTAATTTTTATTTAGCTCTACATTTTTATCTGCTCCCCTCCCTGCCTCTCCCCTATCCCCTTCAGCCCTCCCCCATGGTTTCCATGCTCCCAATTTACTCAGGAGATCTTGTCTTTCTCCACTTCCCATGTAGATTAGATCTATGTATGTCTCTCTTAGTGTCCTCATTGTTGTTTAAGTTCTCTGAGATTGTGATTTGTGGGCTGGTTTTCTTGCTTTATGTTTAAAAACCACTTATGAGTGAGTACATGTAATAATTGTCTTTCTGGGTCTGAGTTCCCTCAATCAATATGATGTTTTCTAGTTCCATCCATTTTCCTGCAAAATTCAAGATGTTATTTTTTTTTTTTTTTTTGCTGTGTAGAACTCCATTGTGTAAATGTACCACATTTTCCTTATCCATTCTTCGATCGAGGAGCTTTTAGGTTGTTTCCAGGTTCTGGCTATGACAAACAATGCTGCTATGAACGATTGAGCATCCTTTGGATATATACCCAAAAGTGGTATTACTGGGTCTTGAGGAAGGTTGTTTCCTAATTTTCTGAGAAATCGCCACACTGACATCCAAAGAGGCTGTACCAGCTTACACTCCCACCAGCAATGCAGAAGTGTTTCCTTTACCCCACAAACTCTCCAGCATAAATTGTCATTCATTCACGCATTGACACATGCCTAGGCTTCCATAAGCTGACTCTTATGAAGAGTGGCCTGAGAACCAAGGCTCCGGGAGGTGCTGTCATATAGGAGTTCTCTTCTTGGGTTTTGGAAGAGCCTCTACAGTGGTTTCCACAGTGTCCTTACTAGTTTCCTTTCCCACCGGTGGGACGTTGAATTGCCACTAGCATTTGGGTTTTGATTCTTGATGGTAGCCTTTCTGTTGGAATATCGTTGTCCATCCTGTCAGCTGTGTGTGTCTTTGCCAGTGGAGTGAGTTTCCAGCAGGAAGCAAACAGCTCAATCTTATTTTGGGAAACATCCAGTCAGTTCCTCGCGTCTTTAGATTTAGGAGACTCTTGAAAGGTTGACCTGGTTTCTTCTTTGTTGTATTCTTACTCAGATTTGATGTTTTTACCAAGTTAGCAATGTTTGGACATATCCTGATTTGTGTTTGTGAGTCTGTCCTTGCGAGGATGGATCTTCATAAGCTCTGATGCTTCTGTCTTTTTATCTTCTTGGTGTAATATTCCTTATGACACACATGAACTTAACAGTTATGAATTGCTTTGGTTTTATTCTCAGTAAAAGCCCTCAATTTTTCAGCTGTAAAGACTAACTATTTTGGATAAAGTAATCTTGGTTGGCAGTTACTTTGTTTGGGGGATTAAAAGCTACCAGTTCATACTCTGTTGGGCTTAGCGATTTTTGTGGAGAGGTTTGCTCTTGTTTGAATGGGCTTATGTTTGTAAGGGGCTTTCAATGTTCTTACTTTGTTCTGTTTTCTTGACGTTTTAATTATGTGATGTGGAGGAATCTTTCTGGTTTTATATTTTGGATATTCTAAAGGACTAGTGTTTAGATGGCCATTTCTTTCCTCAGGTATACAAATGTTTCTGCTATAATTTTAAAAACATTTTTAAAAATTTATGTATATGTGTGTGTTTGAATGCTATGTGTATGAGTGTGTGCATGTCCACCTACAAAGGCCAAAGAGGCCATTGGATCCCCTGGAGCTGCAATCATAGGTGGTTGTGATCTGCCTAACACAGATAGGTGCTGGGAACCAAACTCTGGGCCTCTGGAAAAGTAGCGAGTGCTCTTATCCACAGGCCCATCTCTCTAGCCCCTCCTTGAACAGCTTTTCTATGTGTTTTGACTGTGTCTTCTTTCCTTTTTCTACACTATAGATTATAGATTTGGTCTGTTAATTGTATCCCAGAGGCCTTAGTTGTTATGGTCATAATTACATTTTAAATTGTTTATGAATGTCATAGGTCTTCAATTTTATTTTCAATCCCTGATAGCCTTTCCACGTGTGGTCTGCTGATTGGGTGATGTTTTCCACTGTGGTGTTTCTTTTTGCTTTAAGCTTCCCATATCCACGATTTGCCTAACATTTTTCTTTCAGAATCTGTCTCTGCATTTGTAATTAAAGTTGTTTAATTTCTTACCCAAATCCTTGATTGATTTCTGCATTTCACCTGTCTATTTATTTGACTCCTCTTTGAGGTTCGATGATGTTGAAAACTAGACTTGATTTTTTTGTCTAGCATTTCACATATTTCATTATACTTGAACTCAGTTACTGGGGTTACAGATGGTTGAAGGAGTCATGTGACCTTACTTTCTCACATTGTATTTCTGTGTTGCAATTATACATCAATTAGAATGGATCTATCTTCTTTTTTTACATGGGAGTGTTCTTGTGAGTAGCCTTCTCTTGAAGGTTCAGTCGCCACTTCCCTCTGGGGAGGAGAAAGCATGGGGTGTCTATGTGGAAGGAGCTCAAAGCCTTTACTCCAAAGCCTGTTAAGTCATTGGTGAAAGAAATGAAAGAAGACCTGGCTGAAGGGAGAGACCATGCTCAGTGGCCAGAGAATCCAATATTGTAAAAACATTAATTTCCCCCAAAGTGAATATAGAGTCTACAAAATCCCAAGTAGAAATCCAACAGACCTTTTCTTTCTTTAATCGAGGCCGGCCAGGACAGGCTCCAAAGCTACAGAAAACCCTGTCTCAAAAAACAAAACAAAACAAACAAACGAACAAATAAATAAAACAAAATGAAAAATGCAAAGGACCAAAAATGACCAAAAAAGATTTTGAATAGGGATGAAGTAGGGAAACATATTAACTGATTTCAAGGTTATGTAAAAATAGTAATCAAGCAAGTGGGTTATTAGCTAGAGATAGCACAGTGGCTAGAGTCCAGAAGAACACTTACACATATGTAGCCATTGTTTTTCAGAAGAGTCATACTAAATACGAGAAGGCAGGCACAAAAGGTTGCATATATGTGTGGTACAGTCTGTAGAAAATAGTGGGACCATAGTGATGGTAAGTAGTCAGTGGTTCCTAGGAGCTTGGGGTGACATACTTGACTGTGAGGAGACACAGGGACCTTTTTGGGGGGCGACGGAAATGCTATATGTTGTGACTTTGGTAGTACTTATAGGGTGCATTTATTTGTCAAAGTGTTACAGGTTTGTTGTGTGTGTGTGTGTGTGTGTGTGTGTGTGTGCGTGTGTGTGTGTTTACATATAGTCTCCCATCTGAGTACAAATCAGGTCCAGTCCTTCCTAGCTTCAGATGAGATTGGGTGTGCTTAAGGTTAGGTATGGTTGTAGACAGCATACTGTCTCATATAGTGAAGACTAGCCTCAAACTTACTATATAGTGAGGATGAACTCGAACTGGTGATCCTCCTGCATGCACTTCCCTGGGATTATAGGTCCACACCAGTATACCCAATTTATTTGTCAAAACATGATGTTTGGTTTGAGCATCAATGTACATAGAGATTAGTCTTTGATTAAGGTACCCTTGATGCTCTGGGTTTGATCTTCACCATCAAAACCGAACAACAAAACAGATGGACACCTTTTGTTGGAGACGAATGATAATAAAATGACAGCACATTGTAAGTTTCCTTTGGTTTGAGACCTTCTAATTCTGAGGGCTGTTCGCTTGGTCATTGGTGATAGTTTCTGCCCGTCAGTGAGGAGAGCAGGGCCGATTTAGGCTACCCTGTTTCCATGATCAACTCCAGCACAGTTGGGCGTGCTGGTTCGCCTCCCTGGGTCCCATCCGTGAGCTAACACTGCATCAGTGCTTGCTGTCATGAATCAAATAAATTATTTAAAGCACCCGGAACATCTCCTGGTACATTGTGAGCTATCTGTAAACATCCCTAATTACTTATTACCCTCTAATGATAGTTGTTTGTTTTCTTTCTTTCCTTTTTTTTTTTACATTTACAAAATTGAAGTTTTTGGTTGACTTGATTGTGTCTAAACATAGTTGGTGACAAAAGCGAAACAAGGAAGCTGTGTGAGATGCCCAAAGTCCCCAAATCTGTGACAGGCCATGAGCAGGAAGCTGTGCGAGATGCCCAAAGTCCCCAAATCTGTGACAGGCCATGAGCAGGAAGCTGTGCGAGATGCCCAAAGTCCCCAAATCTGTGACAGGCCATGAGCAGGAAGCTGTGCGAGATGCCCAAAGTCCCCAAATCTGTGACAGGCCATGAGCAGGAAGCTGTGCGAGATGCCCAAAGTCCCCAAATCTGTGACAGGCCATGAGCAGGAAGCTGTGCGAGATGCCCAAAGTCCCCAAATCTGTGACAGGCCATGAGCAGGAAGCTGTGCGAGATGCCCAAAGTCCCCAAATCTGTGACAGGCCATGAGCAGGAAGCTGTGCGAGATGCCCAAAGTCCCCAAATCTGTGACAGGCCATGAGCAGGAAGCTGTGCGAGATGCCCAAAGTCCCCAAATCTGTGACAGGCCATGAGCAGGAAGCTGTGCGAGATGCCCAAATCCCCCAAATCTGTGACCAGCCATGAGCCGGAAGCCTGGCCACGTGGCTCTAGTTCAGCTCTGTTTGACCAAGGGTTACAGTGTTTGCATTTTAACACTAACTGTGGGGATTTACCATGCAGCTGCCATTCATTCACGCCACTGTGTGCTTTTCTGCAGAGCCATCCGAAGCCGCAGCTTTAGAAGACTTGGCCCACTACCAGCATGAGTTCTGGTAAGTCATTTCAACCCTCTTTCTCTTGACAAAGCTACAAAACTGTGGTTTACTGAGATTTCCAGATACCTCAAGGTCCTCAACACTAACATCGCTACTTACGGTGCAAACGATTTTCAGCACACGTGAAGAACTCTACCATACACTGTGTATGCCGTGTCTGTCTTGACAGGAGCCCACTTCACTTTTAGTGGCATATAATCTACATACAATAAGCTGCTGTTATTTTCAGTAGGCATTTGATAAAACTTGGCATATTTCTATACCTTAGCGGCATTTCTCAATCAAGATGATTGATGCAAAACACACAGTTTAATCATAATCTTCCCCGGATGGAGGCTAACCCAGCACTTCCTTTATCCTGCTTGCAGAACAGCTAACTTACGCTTTTAAGAACCAAGATCTAAATAAATTAGTGTTTCAGGTATTTTTAGTCTTGGACTGGTGTTGAAATCTGGGAGCAGGGAAGAGAGAGCTGGGACAGATCCCTGGGCCCAATGCAGCTGAGGCTTGTCAGTGTCCAGCCTAGAGACATTTCCTTCCGGCAGTTGGTCCTACCTTGGCCTCCTGCACCTGCAGGTGGGGATGGGAGGCAGGGGACTATGTGAGTGTTTCATTCAGAGTTCTAATCCTGCACCGTATTGAGGTTATTTTCAGGAACCCCTGTAGATTAAAAGGCCTTTCCCATTTCTTTATATATTCGCTGGTTTAGCCAAGTCTGAGCTGTGTAGGACAGTGTGTGGTGAGGCCTGGGAGGGCTGTGGAGTGGAGTAGCCTATGGCTGCACCCTTCCAAATGTACTTCCTGTGCAGCTCGGGTCTGTGCTGAGTGTTCCTTTGCTTTTCCTCTGTGAAGTGCGCACTGCAATAGTGCTGATCCATTGGGAGTTTCCTAGCCCGAGTGTAGCAGAGCTCTTAATGTGCCATGCCTCCCCACGTAGATCTTACTCTTCTTAGCCCAGACTTCCTCCTTGCAGAGTGAGGTCTGTGGTTTGCCTTCGGTTCCTTTGATTTTTTTTTTCTGTGCCAAAACAGACACGCGTACTGCTTACTGACTCAGTTTCTCTTCTTTTTTCTTATTCTTTCGAGGCAAGGCAGAGTTTCTCTGTAGCTTTGGAGCCTGTCCTGGAACTCACTCTGTAGACCAGGCTGGCCTCGAACTCACAGAGATCCGCCTCCCGAGTGCTGAGATTAAAGGCATGTGCCACCACTGCCCATTCTGGCTCAGTTTCTATTGCTGATTTGCCTTTTGGTTAGTTCTTTCGTTTTTAGACAGTGTCATATAGCTCTGACTGGATTTAAATTTTCTATGTAGACAAGGATGACCTGGAACTCTTAATTGTCCTCCCTCTGTTACATGTGTGCACATGCCCCACTCCACATGGATGGAAGGCAGGGCCTCACATGTGTTAACAGTGGTTTTGACAGATGAACCATGCCCTTAGTCCTGCCTTTTGGCTTTTGTTGTCATTTATAACAGGCTGGGCCCTTTTTCCTGTTTCCTTTTAAAAACAAACAGAAACTTTGCTCTGTAGCCTGAAGTCTCTTGCTCTTCTAAGCCAGCCTTGCTGCTCCTGGCAGTTTTAAAGCGAGGAAGAGGAGGCCAGGTGAGGGTACATCAATGCTCAAGGCATAGCAGATGCCCTTCCTCCCCTGACTCGCTCTCAGGCAGGCACTGGAAGGGAGCTTTGTCCAGGGATCCGAAATCCTAGGCCTTTTGACCTGATAATCCTGTCTTGGGAATTTCTGTATTAATTCCAAGGAAACAAAAATGCTACCCTGAAGGCGGGGCGTGAGCAGCAGTATACTGTGTGTTTACTTGCTATTGAAATTGATCATTGGGAAGAGAGCTACATGGAAAATATGTGGTTGTATCTTTAGTGGAAAGAATGGCAGTAAAACCGTGTATTGTTACTATTTCAGTTGGTCTTGAGCGGCCACTCTTTGAGGGGATCATTGTCCTGGCAGGGTCCTGTTTCATTCTTCTGGAAAGCTATTACCCAGCACCCCCCAACCCCCGGGTGGGCCTGGCTTGCTGCCTCTGAGATGCAGATGGGGAAACTGAGCTTCAAGGAATTAATCACCTGTGTGGAGTGGAGGCGAATGTGGGCTGCTGCATACACAGCGACATACTTGCTGAAAAAGCTGAACTTTGAGTGTTCATTACTAAATACCAAATGCTTATTCCAGTTTGCTTGTTGTGTTTAATTGGAAAAAGAAAGGGGAGAAGAAAGAATGCGGGCCAGGTAGTAGCTCACAGGCACACCCCACAATTCCCCAGCGGGCTCAAGGCAAGGCCAACAGTCAGAAAGATGTGATCAGGGGAACTCCATCAGGTGCGCGGGGATAGGGCAGCGAAAGAGCATGCAATGGGATGCTGGAGCTTGCTGCATTTCCTTTTAACAAGTCCCTTCTTCCACGCATCCTGAATTGAGGGTCCCAGAGAGCAAACCTTTGTCTACAGGTGAATGTGAACCACAACCCCAGGCACCCTGGGCAGTCCTGGGCCACTGTGGAGGAGGCTCTGTAGAGGCAGTAGCCTGGTTGTCCTGCGACTGGTGTATCAGATACCCAGCCTTTGGAGAGACTGGTTATTAAAAGTTATTAAGGTGACTTAGTTTTAGCCAGGTTTGCTGGTAGTGGTATGGGTTGTAGGCCCAGCATTTAAGGAAATATATAACAAGTCAGGAAACAAACATTCTTTTTTTTTTTTTTAAAAAAAAAACAACTTTATTTATTTATTTATTATGTATACAACATTCCCACATGCCAGAAGAGGACACCAGATCTCATTACAGATGGTTGTGAGCCACCATGTGGTTGCTGGGAATTGAACTCAGGACCTCTGGAAGAGCAGCCAGTGCTCTTAACCACTGAGCCATCTCTCCAGCCCTAGACAAACATTCTTATCTTAGTTGGGGAGGAAGATGGGCTGTGAGTGGGAAGTTCAGTCTCAGCCTAGTGGTCTTTGGTAGACTTGGCCCATTGAGCCTCCATTATCTTATCAATCGAGTCGGTGTTCCTAACTCTAGCTCTCAAGGACTGGACCTAAAGGAGACAATGAAATAGTAATTGTGGACTACTCAACATAAAGTAGAAGGAGCAATCCTGGCAAAACACATGTAAAGAGCTGTAGTTATAATCATGTCTGCAGCTCCAGGGGTATTCTGCTGTGTGGTTCTTCCAAGCACACTGACTGCATACCCTCGGGTAATGTGGTCTTACCATCCTCTGTTCTTCCCTGGACTGTCTCCAAGTTCCCTCAGTGTTATCTGCTACTGAGCAGAACTCAGGAAAATCGTCACATAGGACTTCCCAAAAGTAAGAAAAGAGAGCTTTTAATCCCAGCACTCTGGAGGCAGAGGCGAGCAGATCTCTATGAGTTCGAGACCAGCCTGGTCTATATTAGCTAGTTCCAGGACAGGCTCCAAAACCACATAAAAACACTGTCTCTAAAAACAAACAAACAAAAATAATAAAAAGTAAATAAAGAAAGAAAAGAAAAGTAAAGGGGAAGCAGTCTTCTGGCTGAGGGCTTTGTAGCCAAGGTCTACAGACGAAAATCTCTCACGTACTCAGAGTGGAGAACATGCAGGAAGCCCTGAACTCTTGCATGTTATGAGACTTTAATAGGAAAGGGGGATGGAAGGACTGGTTAGGATGTCATGGCCGTCTCTGGGACAGTAACACAAGGTTCTAGACTGGAGAAGGGTGGCAATCTGAAGGCAATTTATAGAAAAGACAGCTTGTCTTTGCCGAGTAGAACTTGCGGTGCCATTTAGACACTTTTCAGATGTCAAGGAAGCCCCTCCAGGGAGGCAGTAGTGTTTGCATTCTCCACAGCACACTTCCTATCCCCAGATAACTTTTGTGTCCTGTTTGCTTCAGGCCTTAACTCTCCCATGAACCCTAGGGGACTTGTCCCAGGCCTGAGAAATCTGATAGGATATGTGTGGATAGAGCTGTTCTGTCGGGGCAGAACGCCTCAACTTTATCCCCACCTCGTGCCACGTGGGACTCTGATTGTCAAGTAGGCATGGTCACCAACCTTCTGTCCATCTTCTTTCTTTCAGAATATGATGCCGGAAGCTCTAAAGCTGTTGTGAATGGCTTGGCGCCCGGCCGCCATGGGCAAGACAAAGGTAAGGCTGTGGAAGAGAAGCTTGGCTTGGAATCGGAAAGCATTTCTAGAAGATGCAGGGCATGCTTGGCAGGGGCCATTCCCACCTTTCTGGGGAAGACATTCGTTGGCCTTATCTTAGGAGGCCTAGCTCCCATGGTGGCTTCTGAGACCTGAGCTGTGGTCCTGCTCTTCATGGGTCGGAAACTATCTTCTCCAGCTGTGAGATGATGTGCTCACAAGGATGCTGGCATGGCAGGTTAGATAGACAGTGCCAGGTAAGAGCCACGCCTGGTATCTACGACTCTCATTGGCCTGGAATTCCCTATATACGGCATGCCACCTTCACTAGTCACAACTAGGAACATCCGCAGTCCTATGGTAGAAATTACTTCACTGTCACCAGTTGTACTAGTTGTATGTATATCCTCTCAAGTTTTTAACATCCCCTTCACCCCATGCTGGGCATTCAGTCAGGAAAGACTTTGCATTTGTGAACAGGCACTTTCCCATTAAGCCTGTCTTGGTCCTCATATTTTCACTTTAGAAATTCTTCCAAATGGGAGATCTAAATGTGAGCGGAATGATGTGGTAAGAAGACATTTGAGTGCCAGGCAGCCCACCTTGGGGGGCCCCCCTCTGCTGCTCCCTCTTAGCAACTGGGGGCTTTCACTCTTCTACAAAGAACAAAGCAGACTCTCGAGGTCCTGTTTGCCCAGGATGCTCTCACCCCAATCCGACATCAGTGTTGCAGAATGGATTGACAGGAAGCAAGTTGGAGTCATTTGATAAACTTAATTCCAGTTCTGCCTGTGAAAAACAGAGCCACGTATGGGGCCCTTTCATCTCTGCAGGTGCGAGCTCCTTATCTACAGAAGAAGGGAGTTTGAACTCAGTGTTTATTTCTGCATCCTCTCCTGGGCTCCAGTGACTCCACAAACACTCATCTATCTGTGTTCCACAGTATCAGTGAGGAAAGGCTAAACTCCCGGCATGGGGCATTGAAGTTTAAAAAAAATATTCCCAAAGTATAATTTCAGAGTTTGCCATGTTTAGCCTTTGTAATTTTCATCAAATGCATCCAAATGCAGAGGAAGATGTTCACTCTGAAGGATCCCCTGGAGAGAGAAGGCAGAGGGCAGGAGACAGGAGTGGGAGCCTGGGTGGCATGAGGCTGAGCTCCTTGGAGACAGGAGATCAGTGCTGTCTTGGTCCGCACCTCGCTGGCTTGCCACCCTCCTCCTTTCACTGTGTGGGTTCATGTGGGTTATGTTCTTGGGGTCTTGGCCCACCGTGGTTATCTTACACTTGGAGACTATGGAGGAACAGGGCTGTGGAATGGCTGCAAATGGGTATTTAAAGCAGGAGCGGGGGGGGGGGGGGGGCTTTTGAAATTTTGGGACTACCAGCTAGCTCCATTCTATAAATCTGTTTATAGAAGAACCTTAAGAGTTTTTGTTTTGTTTCGTTTTGTTTTTAGGGGTCGAGGGAACACAGGAGGTAGTAATGATTTCCTTCTTGCCTTAGCAAGACTCGCCTTTGGTAGGAAATAAAGAGGCAGGTTTAAAGATCATCAGAGAGCCTTGTCAAAGTCACCAAGCCAGGATAACTGAGCTCCTTTCTCAGCACTTCAGAGCAGAATGACTGAGTGGTTGGCTTAGCCTCTTACTTCTTCTTCTGAAAATGCACCCCAAATCTGCCCTCACCCCAACACAGTCTCCCAAATGATTTTAAGGTAGCTAACAGGATTCCTGTGATAGTTCATCTATCTAGATAAGTGCAGAATTGCCACTTTTGACTTAGTTATTGCAGACATATACTCCATGCCTGCCAAATGCCTTCCAAAACAGTAGTGTGATGGGCAGGAGGGGCACTGCCCATTTTGAAGGTGTCTTCCATCTTCCTTCCTGCCTCCTTGACAATCCCAGTCATCTGATGCTGAGTCAACAGCCTCTGGTTTCCAAGCCGTCTACCCCTTGGGCACAATCACTGGAGTCGCTTTGGCCCCACAAGCACATCTTTCTTTACTGCCATTAAACGGAAAGAGTGAGGGAGGCCTCACAAGAAGATTGGGGATGGGCCTGCCATTGAGATGGTGGTCTAGGCAGGCAAGGAACAGGGTCTCAGCATCCAGCACTGTGTACCGTGCTGCTGCCCAGAGCCTTGGACTCTTGGGCATCCACTTGGACACTTGACACCTCCCCACTCCCCAGGAAAAGCAAGACCATCTGTTTCCCAACAGATGGAGGTTCTGATTTGCTTGAGGTCAGAGGGTGATGACCATCAGGGCAGGCACAGGATCCTAAAAGGTGTGATTTGGGAGAAGCAGTTGTGACTGCGGAAGGGACCAGCAATCTACGAGAATGTTCCTCCTGTTGCTGTACTCGCCTGCAGCCATGATCCTGTCCTCCAAGTCCCCGTTGCATAGCAAATGACCCACTGTCACCAGGGGACACCTTGTGCTCTGATTGTGTCCACCTTCCTCTACTTGCCAGGCCATCTGTGTCTCTGTAAACCTCTTTGTCCAGAGCCTTGGCAAGCTCCTGGTGTGCCAGGAGGCGCCAATAAACCCCGACCAACTCTATGCGAGTGATGGTTGGAGAAAGACTTCTGCTGCCTTGGCCCAGAACCCTAAAGAAAGAAAGTAGGCTATTTTTAATGACTGCATCTACTGCTCTTTGCATTGTTCTCCTAGCGTGGGCAACTTCCTTCCATTGTCTCTGCACAGTTCCTCGACTTGCCTGAGTGTCTCCCAAATGTTCTTTCTGGATGCACCGTTTACCCTTTTGTGTTTTCAGCAACTGCCGACCCTTTACGTGTTCGCTCTATTTCTGCTGTTAAAATAATTCCCGTGAAGACAGTGAAAAGCCCTTCAGGCCTGGTACTCCCTCCAGGTATCTCTCTTTGGGGCTGTTTCCTTTAATTGTCGGATCGTGCATGGGTTCTTCTCTTTGCTTCTAACACCACACTGTGAGCCTTAATCCTTGCATGTTTGGAAGCCATTTCCTTCCCCTAAGTTGTTTCCTTCGTGTGTGTGTGTGTGTGTGTGTGTGTGTGTGTGTGTGTTCTATCTGTAAGTCTGTAAGCCAGGAAGTAGGGGAATCTTTGTGTGGTGTGTGTGTGTTCTATCTGTAAGTCTGTAAGCCAGGAAGTAGGGGAATCTTTGTGTGGTGTGTGTGTGTTCTATCTGTAAGTCTGTAAGCCAGGAAGTAGGGGAGTCTTTGTGTGGTGTGTGTGTGTGTGTGTGTGTGTGTGTGTGTGTGTGTGTGTGTGGTCGGTCTGTCTGTAAGTCTGTAAGCCAGGGTATAGGGAAGAATCTGAGGCTGTAGTCTTGTCCGCTCTGTTTTAGAAGGGTTAATGCAGACGCTCAACCTTCACTCTGGGATGGGGCTCTTCTAAGAGGTTTGCAACTCCTAAGACAATACAATACTCCTAAGAAAAGCTAATCTGGCCTCTCACAGAACCTCTGAGTCAGGGTGAATGAGAAGCAGCTCCTATAGATGTCGGATGTTGGTTCCCTGTGTTATGCTCAGGCCATTCCCAGGAGCACGTCGGCCAGCCCCTCTCCAGCTTCACCTGCAGTTACTTCCTGCCTCTCCTCTCCAACAGGCGGGGGTGTACGGTTCATTTGAGGCTCTGACTCAGGGTTTCCTGTAGACAGAGAGACAAGTGGAGCTCAGAAGTTGGGCAGATCTGGATGTGTGTTCAGGACCAAACAGATGGACTGTCACTTTGCCAGTTTGCCTCACACCCCTTTGAAGTGACTGTAGTCTGGTTTTTCCAATAATTGTATTACACCAGCCACTCACTCTCTTGATGGGGTTAGGTGCTCTGTGAGCTTGCCACATGGTCTGTGGTGTGCTGTGGGTCTGTGCTTTCCTTGCCGTGGAAGAGGGCTGCTGGGGTAGGGATTGAGAACAGGGAGGAAGGAGGCTTGACTCCTCACCCCCCTCGCCCAGGAACAGACATGGGCAGTATGAGTCCCGCCCAGTGACACACCCTGAGCTTCATCCTCACATCCTCATTGTGGTCAGGAAGCTGGACTTGGAGCAGTTGGGGGTGCGGGGGTGTGGAAGTGAGTGTGGGTTTGAATTCAGAAGCTGGTCTCCGAGCAGTTTGGGGCGTGGGGAGTGAGTGTGGAACTGAGCGTAGAAGCTGGACTCTGGGCAGTTTGGGGGTGTGGGGAGTGAGTGTGGAGTTGCTTAGCTCAGCTGCACGTAAGGACACACTTGGCACATGCGCTCTGTGAAATTGCGTGGTCTGCCCCAGTTTCCTGCCTCATCACTGGTTTTCCTGAAGGATGGCACCAGGCCTATTAAAGCAAGCCCTCCTTTCTGTTAACCACACTGTCAGCTAGTTATGGTGAACCACGGTCAGAAATAGTAAACGAAACTTTCTAGACACGGACCGCTCCTCGCAAGCTTTAGATTGCATAGGAAAAGATGTTGCTTCTGGAGGCTGAGTATTGTCTGTGGTTTAAGACATCACCGCGGGACTGGGGACACATAGCCCTGGATATGGGTGGCTGCTTTGAACGCTTTGTTAAAGGTGTCCAGGATCCGTTGTTGACCCTGGTGACTCTGAAGGTGGATGGTTGGGACTCTATGTAGATCAGCAGAGGTTCCGAGGACACTCTTGTGCTGCGTGGGGGCTGAGCCTGTGGCCACCCTGCCGGCTGTGTGTTCTCTCATTACGTTAGAGTGTGAGAGCTCCCATCCGTGAATAGCACCCCCTCTTTCTCAGAGTTCAGGGGTCTTAACCAGCGAGAGACACAAGCAGCAGCGATTCTCTTCAGGACATCCCTGATGCGCCTCATTGCCTGCTGCCTTTTCTATGAAAAGGGGGATCCACAAGTTTGAGGGATCTTTCACGAACTCTCCTGTGAGCCCATACTAACTGGCCAAAAATTCGCTTAACAATTAGAACTTCATTTCGTAGAAGGAATGAGCCAGCTTCCATCGGGAAATGTTTCAGCTGACATTGTAATTCATGCATTTACTCAGCACGTGCCTTGCCTCTCCTCCCTAATCTCATGATGCTGCCATGGATTAATTTTCATTGGCCATAGATGGTTAGAGAGTAGGCATAGATGTACCCAGGTCATCTCATTCCCCTGCTGTAACCATCCGCTAACGGTCTATCATGAACTCCCTCAGGTACCTTGGATCTAACTCTCTCCTTTGGATCTTTATTTCTCAGACATGGACCCTACAAAAATCTGCACTGGAAAAGGAACAGTGACTCTTCGGGCCTCGCCTTCCTACAGGGAAACCCCAAGCAGCAGCCCTGTGAGCCCTCAGGACTCTCCGAAGCATGAGAGCAAGTCAGGTGTGCTACTCTGGAGACTGGGAGGGGAGATACGCAGAAGAGAAGGCAGATATCCCTGTGGTTCTGCAGGGCTGGGGAGAAGTGTTGTGAGTCCATCAGCTGCGCCTTCTTCTCCAGGGTCCCCAGGACAGTGACTTCTGTCCCTTCTGTGATGATTCTTAGTGAGTCAAGCTCTGGACTGATAGGTGGCCGTGTGCTTTGGGTGAAGGCACAGCCTCATGACCCCTACTTTAGTATAGGGTGGTTCAGTCTCTAAACACTCTTCAGGCCGTCATTCTTTGTGCCTCACAGTCATCAGAAATAGACAGGCAAGAGGGGCTCAGCCTGGAGTTTGAGACTTGTGGTGCCTGCTTGTAAGTCTGAGGTGAGGTCTTTGATTTTATGTTTCTGACAAGTTCTAAGGTCATGCTGTGGAGCTGGTCCAACGACCATGTTTGAAAACGGCTACAGAAAATGGGGTTATCTCTTCCCTGGAAACTGGGAAGCTAAGCACACTCTTGGAAACCAGAGTGTATAAAGGAAACAGGGTTTGCAACTTTTGGTACAGTGGGAGGTGGGTGCTGTTGACACGGTGGGATTATGTAGGATGCAAATGAGTAATGCTCACATCTCCTGACTTGGGTACCAAGGTTGATGCTTGAGAATGAGGCCAGGCTAGGGTTCAAACACAAGCTCCCTAGAAGCAATAATACCCATCCTCTGGGAGGTCATCTTTGTTCCTAGGTCTAGGGAAGGCCTGAGCAGTTCTCAGCACCAAAAACTGGCCTGGGGCTTTTTGGTCTTATTTTTAAGCCCACTCTTGACTTTTGACCTGTTGCAGTTTGCAGCTTTTCCCTTCTTTGGGAAAGATGTGGGTGAGAAGAAAGGCAAAATAATTTCTTCAGAAGGCTGTAGGGTGTGTGGGGAAGAGATGATCCAAAGGAAAAGGCCAGTGAAGCAACCTTTGCTGACCAATTCTTAGGCGGCGGAGAGGGAGGCTTGAGCTCCCTCTAGTGGTTGTAATTGGCACGACTGCAGAGCTCGGCTCTCTCCACTGTGGCACATGCTAGCAGAATTACATGTGCAGTTGAGGTGGTCCTATGGTAATTCCTATGAAAATATCCCAGTGAATTTGGTGGGAAAGAATTCAATATTTTTGAGCAAGTTTTAAAAAATTTCTAACGCTACATGTACTTGGAAGAACTGAGAGGCAGTTATCAGTCATACACACCTTTTTTTAAAAAATAAATTTATTTGTTAAAAAAGATTATAGTGCCAGGTGGTGGTGGTGCACATTTTTAATTGCAGCACTCGAGTAGCAGAGGCAGGTGGATCTCTGTGAGTTCAAGGCCAGCCTGGTCTACAGAATGTGTTCCAGGACAGGCAAGGCTCCAAAGAGAAACTTTGCCTTGAAAAACAAAACAGCAACAAATATTATAGTATAATTTCATTTTCTCCCTTCAACTTCACCCATAAGCCCCCCAGTCCTTACTCTCATTAAGATCATGGCCTCTTTTTCTTTGTCGTTATTGATGGCAGTGGTGGTGGTGGTGGCTCCGGTGGTGGTGGCAGTGGTGGCTGGGTGGTGGTGGTGGTGTCTGAATGCAGGGTGCTCTGTCTGTATACTGTCACCTGTATGTATCTGGTTTTTGGGCTGGCCCTTTGGCATTGGATAGCCAACGATGTGCTCTTCCCTGGGGAAGACTACTTCTGCCGCACTCAGCGCCCTCAGTTGCCTGTAGTTCTTTGTCTAAGGTCGAGGCCTCATGAGCTTCCCCCTTCCACATTATCAGGTCTGCTGGTGCTGTCCTTGTGCAGGTTTAGGCAGCCATCTTGGTGAGACTTCATGGATATAGCATCTCTGACGATGCTAGGCAGCACAATCTCACAGCAAGCTTCCTGTTCCCCTGCCTCTTAGAATCTTTCTGCCCACCCTCCCACAATGATCCCTGAGCCGTAAGTGTAGGAGTTGTATTGCAGATGTATTAGTTGGGACTGGGATTCACAACCATGCATTTAACAGGTTGTGGTTTTCTGTAGTGGTCTTTGTTGCAAAGAGAAGCATCCTTGATAAGGGGTGGGAACTATACTTTGCCTGTGGCTATAACGACAAATGCTTGAGTCTCATTAGAAACTTTGCTGGTTTGGTAAAGCTGTGGTTATAGCTTCTCCTCCAGGATCCATCTTATAGTAAATAAGTGTCTTCCTCCTAGTAAACGGAGGCTGTTGGATCCTTTCGCCGCCTGTGCTCTCCATCTTTGCCACCCCCATCAACCCCTGTAAGTTTCCGTGTTGCTGGCTATTGGCCTGATCTAGAAGCGCCAGTCTTTAGATGGCTCCCAACACCTACATTGCAGAGATACCTCCAGTTTTCAGCTATTGCTCTAACTCCCTCCTCTTGAGAGAGAAAGTATAGCTAGATTATCACAGAGTCTCCTGGTTTTTGGTGTTGGCACTTTCTGTCTTTAAAATCTGAGCCAATCCATCAACCTTAGATGGCTTCATTCTCATCTATAAATTGGGCACTATTATACTGGAGTCGGTGGCATTAAATGAGCTCTTTCATAACAAGCATTCCTCACAGGCCTATCCTGATAGCCCTCATTGTTGCCGTACATCAGGAGGCCTGCTAAAGGTTGAATCCTATCAGTTTGAAGGCGTGATGTTCTGGGATAGGAGTGAGGGCAGTGGAGATGGAGCACAAGTTAAAGTGTCTTTGAAAGAATGAAATGACAGGGCTTGATGCGAGACTCCAGAACCCCAGGCTGACCCGGTGGTTTTCTAGATTATGGTTCTCATGGAGATGAGGGATTTGTGAAGGATGTTGGGAAGACATGTTCTATTCCATCATTGCTATGCTGAGTTTCCTGACAGGAGAAGGGCTTCAGGAGAAAGTTCTAGGAGGCATTTGGAAATCAAAGTCCACAGTGCAGATACATGAGTCTTGTGAGTCCACATGAACCAGAAGAAAATTGAGGAATCTTCTGTCGTGGATTGCTGCTACCAAGATAGAATACACACACATGTGAGCATCAGACCAGGGAGAAAGAAGCTGGACCCTCAGAGATGGTCCATCTAAATCCACTGTTCAGACTCAATGTTTATGATATATACATTTAAAACTTTTTAATTTTATTTTTAATTATGTATGCATGTGCCATTATGTGGGTTGCAATTGTAGTATAGGTGTCTGTGGAAAACAGAGGTGACAGATGCTGTTGGACCTGGAATTATAGGTGGTTGCAAGCTGCTTCCCCGTCCCATGTAGGTGCTGAGAACTGAACCCCAGGGTTCTTTGAAAGAACAGCAAGGGCACTTAACCACTGAACCATTTCTGTAGCCCAGAATATTTTTTGAGTGGTAGCTGGACCCCAAGCCCCTGACCAACACCTCAGCTCTGATTATGGACCTTGGACCGTGGGATTAGAGGCACCTGAGAATGTGGGAATAATTTCAGTACTGACTTCCTGAGCCAGGAAGAAGCCTCGTTACTCTTCTCCTTGTTTCCTGTTGATCTTATTACCTAGCCATGGCTGGGTGTTTGCTCCACCAGTGTCCTAGTCAGTGGTTTTTTTGTTGTTTTGTTTTTACTCTTTTGGAAGAATAGTTAAGGAGTCTGCACTGGACATGGGCGCAATTCCCAGTTCCTTTCTGGTGTGGTCTAGAGGCCGAAGAGCTAACCTCAGATGCTGTCCCGACTCACACGCCAAGCTCTAGGTTAGCAGTTCCTTGCATTCTGGGCACTGTGTTCATTGGCCCCAGTGTTTGCTGAAAAGTTACCCTAGGCCAGAATGACTTGCAGCCACAGTTAACTCGTTTCCTCTTGTGTGATTCTTACATTTGCTCTTCTGTAGCTGGGCTTTCTTTGGGATCCCCAACTCCCCAGTAATGACATGGAGACTTAAATTTTTAATTATGAAAGCTTGGCCTTTAGCTTAGGCTTGTTCCCAACTAGCACCTATAGCTTAAATTAATCTGTTTTTGTTAATTCTATTAATCTACATTCTGGCATGTGGTTTTTTACTTCTCTTCCATTTCGTATGCCCTACTTGCTCCGTGTCTTGCTGGCATCTCTCATGCCTCTAGGTTCTAACATCCTGAGTTCCTTTCTCTGTCGGAAGTCCTGTCTAACCTCTCCTGCCTAGCTATTGGCCATTCAGCTTTTTATTAAACCAAGTCACAGCAATATATATTCACACAGTGTACAGATACCCTGCAACACTCTTCTGATTGGCAGTAGCAAATGTTCCATAAACTAGGTACTCTTTACCCATTAAATCCGTCCTTTTTATGAGCATATGTATAAGAATTAGGGCCCACTGAAAAGCTCGAGGAAAGAGCCTCAGAAGACAGCATCGTCCCTTCTGACACCCCACTGCAAATATAGGGGACTTCTCAAACCACCTCAGGCTCAGTGCTAATGCGCAAAGGGTCCTGTTTGTTTACTACAGGGAAAGGATAGAGATTACAATCAGCCCAGAGAAGTGCATGGTATAGGGTCTGGGGAAATACCAAAACATTCCAGACATGGTTTCCTAGTGTCAGCATGTGAGCCTCTGTGTCTAAAGTTCTACTGGGGCTCTGAACATAGGTGTACGCCACTGTCTTCCTGGAAGGCCCGTCTCCACTCTAGTAGGCAATGAAGCTCTTACTGGCTCAGGGTCCTGGCTCCAAATCATATTGGTGTGATTCAAGTCCTCAGGTAAACAAGACATTCTTATTCGGTGTAGCATTCTAGGGACTTGGCATTTACCTCCCAGAAGCCTAGGGTAAAGGCCAGACTTTTTAATTCATGATATTAAATTCTCCATTATGTCACATAAATAAAAGGAAGGAAGAAGTGAGCGTTAGTGCACATGTGAGCCTACCTTGTGAACTCTTTCCCGACCACTGTGAACCTCCTTAATGAAAAGTATCCTAAGATCCCAAGAAGAACTATTTTTTTAAAAAAAAAAAATAAGAAACCAAAAATGAAATTAGAAGTGAATAAGATAAAAGCAGCTCTCTGGAGGCTTTTAAACATGGGACAAAAAGGTACACAAAGAACAGATGGGATACAAGGCAAAGTAGATTATCTCTTTTACTGAAGGGCTGAGCATCTCCAGGCTGCAAATCTACCTACGAGCCAACCTTCCGTTTTATTGGAGGAAGCATCTTGACAGTCTCTTCCATCAGCAGCCGGTGATTGATGACTATGTATGTAAAGCTTCACCTTGCGCACTCAGATGTAATTGGCACTGGGCTGCTCCCAACCTTCGAGATTCAGAAGAAAAGATAATGGATGAGGACTGAGAAAATGCCAGAGATGCGCTCTCCTTCAGTAAGGAGCCAGGCTGCTCATTGAGATCCGGGGAACTATCCTTCTGGGCACAGCGAGGGAAGGAGTTTTGAAGATTTGAAATAAGAAGAAAAAAAAAAACCCTGAGTCATTTCCAAGGACAGTATGACTTGGATTTTATTAAATGGAGAGATCATATACTGTAATTTATATCTTTGAGAATTTTCTGATGTTTTGAGCTGGATGTAGTGTTACACACCTGTAATCTCACCACTAGGGAGGCAGAAACAGGAGAATTGCTAAGAGTCTGAGGCCAGCCTGGGCTACAGCCAGACTGTATAGTAAGACCCTGATTCAAAAGCAGACAGGGCTATGGTGATGACTCAGTACTGCCAGTGCAGGAACGAGGGGCTTGGCCTTGAATCCCTAGCTCTCCTGTAAAAGCCCAACTTAGCTGTTTGTCTATAACCCGGTACTGGGTGTGTGGGGTGGGGGGGAGAGAACCTGGACCATACTTCAGGCTTCCTAGTGAGCAGTCTAATTAAATCAGTGAGTGCCAAGTCTAGTGAGAGACCCTGTTCCAAAAGCAGGATGGATAGAGACTGGAAGATTCTCAGTTGTTGACCTCTGACCTCCACATGCACACGCATAGGCGAGCATACCCGTGTGTGTGTGTGTGTGTGTGTGTGTGTGTGTGTGTGTGTATTCTCCACACATTGGCATAAAACACACAAAATCCCAAACCATAATAAATACACACATACCCTGTAATTTATATCTGTGGGGATTTCTTTCCCTATGTTTTGGATTTCAGTTTTATAAAGCCCGTACTTTATGCCATATATTTTATTTTAATATGTTTGAATTTACTTTATGTGTATGAATGTTTTGCCTGCATGTACCATGTATATGCCATATGCCTGGTGCCTGCAGAGGTCAGTAAAGGGCATCAGATTCCCTGGAACTAGAGTTAGGGTTGAACCACCATTCTGACATGTCAGGGTTTATACCCTGAAAGAAAACTGACTAGTTGGGGCTTGAACCTGGGTCCTCTGCAAGAGCAACACATACTCTGAACCACTGAGCCATGCGCTGTGCCATATATGTTCATTTGGTCCTGTGACTCATGAAAGAGTCATGAGGATGCAGTCAACAAGGCAGAAGATTGAGCTCACAGGAAGCGATCTGATTGCATGAGGATGACTTCCTTCTGATGCCTGTAGTTTAGAACAGTCACTCCTCCGTTTTCATGACATGTCTGTTTTCCAGTGTGACTTGAATAGAACCTACCCAACAGGAAGCCGAAAAGTCAGCAAAAGAATGTGTCCCTGAGTCTGTGTGCTGCATTTGCCTCCATCCCCAAGGGACAAGCCTATTGCTATCTGGTGTATATATAAAGAGCATCTGAAAAGTGGTCCAACAGGGGTATCTAGAAATAGCGACTTGGAAAAGAAGGGAGATTAAAAGTGTTAGAGTAAAGAGGATGAAGGGCCATTGTCACAGAATGTCACCTGTATTCTTGGGGCTGCCAGGTACAGGAAGTTGTCTGGGTCAGGCACCTAGCTAGCAGTGAGGATTAAATGGTTACCTTCACATGCCTGATCTCAGACTCCTCGGCAACTTTGAGAGAAGGTCAAGGAGGAGGGATCCTGGTTTACAGATAAGAAATGTGAAATTTAGTGTGGTTAAAGCCTTGCTCCGGTTACCCAGCCAGTCCAGTGCAGTAATAGCAGCATGTATGGAGCACATACCCTGTGAGTGTTTAACACGGTGCTCTTGGAGAAGACAATTAGCCATGAGCTGTCTGTAAGGCGGTGGCAGAGATGTAATAGGCAACCTATACAAGGGAATATAACTGAGTCACCATAAAATTCTGGATTTGGGGGTGTGACAATATGTTGTTTCCTCCTAAATAAGGATATTTTAGAAATAATATCTGTATTCTTTGAGAAGATCTTAAAATGTGTTTTGATCACCTTCCCCTTCCCGGCCCCTTGCAGATCCACTCCTCCTCCCTACCCACTTAGATTTGTGTGTTGCTACTGTATTGCTTCATCCCTCTGTGTGAGGCTTTCTGATCTGGGCAAAGCATTTGGCCTCTCTCCTTTCTCATCCATGAAGTACAGTAAGCATTTAATTAAATTAAATACTAAATAGGTATAAAGTGGAGCCATGTCTGGCCCCCGAAAAGTGCTTAATAAATGTTTGCACATCTCGACTTGACATCTGGGGAGTCTACTGTTGGTCTGAGAGACCCACACCGAAGTAGAGGCTTAGACTTCAAGGACAGTGAATCCCCTGCTTGTCTCTACAGGAGTGAGAAAAGAAGGTTCTTTAGGAAATAGGAGATGGGATGTTAAAGGATTGCAAGAGTAGGGGTGGCCAAACTGGCCACGAGCAAAATCCAGCTTATTGGCTAAGATGGCTTTTATATTTTAAATGGCTGATAGAAAAATATGAAGAAGAATGATACTATATACCATGTCAAAGCCTTTGAAATTTCTGATCTGAACTCTGGTCTTCATGATTGTGTAACAAAGTCGTTTCACCTCTTCAGCCCATATTGTGAATGTTTTAGTGCCTTGTGTAATGGGATGAAGACAGGGATCAAAAAACAAACAAGCAAACAAGCCCCCCCCCAACAAAACCCAAACCATGCTATAGAGGCTTCAGTCATGTGCTACCGCTAGGGTCCAGTAATTAACTCAGCCCGCTAAGGTGCAGTCTTAGCCTACGGCAAGCTTTGGGGTGGGGAATGAGACTGCGAAGGGCTGGGCAGCAGCGAGTTCTTTTGCCTTTCAGTCTGTAAAGTAAGAATGTCAAGGAACAATTGTTTCTTCATTCCTGTGAATGTAGCCTTGTGTTCTCAAAGGTCAGCGCCTGTGAACACATCATGGTTTCAAGTGGGTTCCTATGGTAATGGGGCCGTGGTGACTGAGGGTGTTTTGTGTCAGGCCAGGGCTGCTGATTTTCATCGGTCAGTGTGTCTCATGCTTGCTTCCCGCAAACGTAACCGTTTCTGTTTTTCCCTTTTTGTTTTCATCCTTCTTGCTCCTCGCACAGGCCTGGAGCCAGAGGACCCTCCAGCAGGTATGGCTTTGCATGCCTTCTTTCCTCGTGTGCCTTGGTGCACCTGGGATCCTTGAATTTGAGGAAAGCCAGCGGGTGTTACCTAGGAGTAATGGGGTTTGTTTTTCTTTTTTGTCTTGCCACAGAGGAGTGGAGACTTTCATCCAGTGCCGATGCCAATGGCAACGCCCAGCCCTCCCCACTTGCTGCCAAGGGCTATAGAAGCGTGCATCCCAGCCTTTCTTCTGACAAGCCCCAGGTAGGTGTGTGCCCACAGATGGGGTGGGAACTCAGTAGTGGTGCCTATTCTCAAATTTGGCAGCCCAAACTTGTGGCTTCCTGCTAACCCAGCTGGATTGTGGAACAGGAGTCCAGTCTTTGGTCTTCTCTGAAATAGCTTTCTTAGGAGGAGAGTTGGGATCAAAGGGAGCAGGAGTATGGGGTGAGGTTTGGTCTATGTGGCTGTTGGAAATAGGCCTGCTGTTTTCCAGGATTAACATACACGTGGAAGGGTTCTAAAAGAAGGAATTCATTTAGCCTTGGGCAGGTTGAGCTTATTTTTAAGGGATTCTTTAGAGCATAATCAGAGGAAACCCTCATATTTACACGATTCACTTTCTAAAGCTGAGACTCTGAACACTGTGGTCACAGAGGGACATCAGGTATTTGTGACCAGACCATAAACCCAGTAGCCCAAGGGCCTGAGGACAGAAATCACAATGGCAGCACACACAGCCTGGCCTCAACATCCAGCTCATCTCTGCAATAGGAAATCCCCCATCTACAGCCATACCACCATATGAACGGTATTGAACCCGCACAATCTCGTGTGATCTTGAAAGCTAAACCGGGTTAGGCATGGCCAGTACTTGCATGGTGTACTGCTATTACAATTTGGAGTAGGGTTGGCTTTAGTTGTTGCTGCTGGGTGGTTTTCTACCCTTTCTTCCTTCTCCTCTCTATACTTTGTTATTTGTTAAAAGGCATAGATCCTATCATTCCAGTGGTGTGTGAAGGATGCTGTATGAGGAGGAACCACTAACATGGAATGGAGCCATCTTCCTTATAGGGGATGCTACTGCTCAGACGATCCCTGGGTGGTACAAGCTACCCTGCCTCGTTCTAATGTTCCTAGAACAGACCTGACCCCCCATTCTGCAGTTTGTCCCTCGTCTGTCTTGTCCAAAGGCTGCACCATAAAGCCTTTCTCCCTCCTGCCTTGACTTACCTTCCCACTTGCAGCTTTGTACACCTAGGCCCTGGTTGGAGCCAGGAGCTGTGGATATGCCTGGCCTCTCAGAGATTACTTGTTCGTTAAAAGACTTGCCAGAATTTTCCCATTTCTGAAAGTTTTCTGAGCATGTAATGTGTTGTCTGTGGCATTGGTGCTTCTTCACGTTGTCTCAAGGATGGGCACTATTGCTCTACCCAGACTCGAACACAACAAGATCTAGTCAAAGCAGAAGTTGAAGTACCTTGCCTTTTACCATCAGTGAGCCCCAAAGGCTAACCCTCCAATGCCTCTTGGTTTTGTGATACACACACACTCACACACACACACACACACACACACACACACACAACAAAAACAAACAAACAAAAAAAAAAACATGGTCCAGGGTAGGGTTGTATTTCAGGGATGAAAATGAAAATCTTAACCCCGAACAAGGCCCAGGACTCATTTTCCAGTACCATATAAATAAATAAATAAATAAAAATATCACATGGGAGATAAAAATGAGTCCTTTGAAAATACTTGCATTTAACACAACTTTATTAGGTACTAGTCCTCAAACCAGTGGACTGAACATTGCCCTCAAGGAGTTCATAAGGGAAGCTGGATAGTAAGGTTGAGCATCCTGTGATATCTCTCTACGTCAGCATGTGTTTTCAATCTCTTTGTCACTCAACTTCACGTTTCCTGGGCTTCCCTCAGGGAGACTGGCAAATGGCTGACCCAAGAATTTTGTCCTGCCCATCCAATGTAAGATTTGCCATTTGAACGTCAAGGATGGCTAGTACTTTGCAGATTTAGTTTCGTGAATTCGTAACTGTGTAGTGCTTGCTCTGTTTACACCTGGGCTTCAAGAAAGGCAAAGCAAGGTGGACAACTGCTTGGCTTTGTTCCAGCCCTGTGGAGTTTATGGATCTGTTGGCAGAACGTCTTCCCTTCAGGACTGAGTTGGGGTCCAGAAGACAGATGGGCTAGGTGGGAATCCTATGTCTTGCCCACCTGGGCTTGCTCCTTGCTATTCCCCGGACCACGGAACCACAGTGTCCCTTTCTGTAATGTCATCATCAGCATGGTAATCCTAGTAGAGATGAGGTTTGGCAGTTTCTGGAAAGTTTCTGGAAACTATATAAACTATGAACTCACGTTTTCCAAATAGCCTCTCTCTCCCATAGGCCCACCTTCTAAAAAGATGTGGAATTTCATTAGTGGTCAGGGGGCAGATTAGGCTGCAATCCTTAGGTTGAAGCAAAAAGCTGTTCCTTTGTGTCCTTGCTTAGCCTCACTGCCTCCTCCTCTAGAGTTAAAAGAAGCCCCGAGACAGGAAGTCCTTTGACTCTGTGTGTGTTGTGGACACTCTGGGGAAGTGTCCTCTCTGCAAGGTCACAACCCTAGGAGGGCTTGTGCCTGATGTCATGCAGTCCTAGTACCATACATGGCCATGGCTGAATTAAGTTTAAAACTCATAGAAACAGATTTCTATGTTTGGACAAAAAAAAAAATAACGTGCAAGATACTCCAGTGCAAAGTCAAAGTAAATCTGAGCCCAGAGCGAAATGATTTTCTGCTCGCTTCTCATCAGCCCCATCCTTACTTGACAGTCCCAGTGGTGGAAGCTAGCTCAGTTGCTGTGTCTGGGTATTGTAAGCTAGACTGCAGAGGGTCCTAGCACTCAGTCTAAGTTCATCAAGCTGAGGAGGGCCTCTTGGTTGTGGATTTGGGGCTCATATAATGGCCACACTCCATTGGCACTATGTGGGGCAAAACAGAGATCTGGTTTTAGGTGTAGGCTGTTCATTGTTTCTGGATGATAGTCTAATCCAGCGTCATAAAGATTTTTTTTACTGTCTCAACTAGTCCCCTTTTCTAATGCCTTCTCCCTTCTCCACATAACTCCTACAAAATATCAAATAAAATGAGAACTAGCCTCAGTGTAATCAGTGTGTATGGCACATGTATGTGCATATGCGGCTGTGCTCATGTGTGTGTGCATATACGAAGACAGAAGGATGTTAGGTGGTTTCCTCAATGGTTTTCTGTCTTATGCCTTTGAGACAGGGCTTTTCACTGAATCACAAGCTTGCCATTTCAGTCAGGTCAGCTGGCCAGTGAGCTCTGGGATCCCTCTGTCTCTTCCCCCACATCATCAGGGTTACAAGATTTTACAGACATACCAAGCTGTTTATTTCAGTCCTGGCTATTCCAACGCATGTCCTCATGCTTGCAGAGCAAGCCAGCTTACTCATGGGGCCATCTTCCCAGCCCCATCCTAGGTTTTGACTACAACACATCTGCCATAATTCACCAACTTCTAGACTTTCAGATGTGTACACTTAAAGGATGGTTCTGGTTTTGTTCTCGTGCTGAAGTCTGAAGATCAGGGCCAGCAAGTACAGTCTGGGGGGCTTGGGGAGCATTGGTGCTTCTTCTCTGGACTCTAGTTCCCAGGTGAACCACAGGTTGGCTGAGAAGGACCAGGCTGGAGGGTCACCGTGCCTCCTGTCCCTCTGCCTACTGAGACCCATGCACGAAAGCTGTTGTGAGGAGAGGGGAGAGGTACGGGTTTTAACTGTAACTCACCAGAGCTTTGCCCTCACCCTGTGACTAAAGCTGTAGAGGAATGATTTCCTGTGCATGGTGATGGACCAACTGAATAAACCAGACTCAGCCCAGCCCCATAGGCTAATGATAGGCCAAATGGCGCAGGCTTCTTCTGACCCTGTGCCTCAGACGTGGGAGACTGCATGCTTTTATCTCTCGACTGTCTCCATGCCCTTTGATTATAGTTCTGGAGTTCGAATTCAGAGCTTTATACGTGCTAGGCCAACTGAGCAACATTCTCAGCTATGTTCTTAGTGATGAATTCTGTCAGATGATTTCTTCTGAGAAAAGAAAACACGTGGACTCAGTTTTCAGTGTCCTCCTCCCCTTAGTGAACTTTGTGTGCTTGTAGAATTGAGAGCTGAATCGGAGGCTCAAGGAAGGCATCTGCCTCCTGGGAACACAGACACAGGAGGGCCTCCCTTTCTCTTTTTCCTACTGGGAAAGAATTAAAGTATCTCAGACAAGTCTAATGAACTTAAACTTTTAAAACCAAAGGCTTTGATGAGAGTCTTGAGGAAGAGGGGGTTGGGGAGGAAAGAGGACTCAACTTTGGGGCATCATTCACTGGCAGGTGAGCCTTTGAGCATGTCCTTGAGTCAGGGGGTCAATAAAGATGCAGCCAAACAAGCGTTGGTGTTGGAGCTGACCAGGAAGCCAGGCCAGCCCTGCAGGTAAGTGTGAGTCAGTCCTTGGAGCTGCCCAGATGACAGCTGTGGGCACCAGAAGGATTTGCTCAAAGGTCTGCTGAGAGTTGTTTTGTCTTTTATCATGCAGTGCTGCTGTGTCTAATGATCCTTCTCTCCATCTCCCCTCCTCTTCTCTCTCCCCGTTCTCATGTCATGTCTTGAAACCACTACTAAAGGTTCTGTCTCCCCCACGCCTTCTGTTCCCTCAAAAGGACCGCTCTGCATGGCAGCTCCCCACCGTCCACGGCACCCACAAAGACTCCCTCTACATGAGCTCACCAAAGCCTTACATCCCACCCAGCACCCCCATCCAGCAGGACCCCTCACTGCCTCAGCCCATCTCTGTTCCCCTGGCAGCTAGATTGGCTCCCAAAGGTGCAACGTGTCCTGATTCATTGCTTTTGGGGTCCATGGTCCTTGATGCTTCCTCCCAGCCCCAGAAACACTATGTAGCCTCCAGATTAGTGTACAGTAAGAATGTGAGCTCTAACCCACATCGTGAGGCCACAGGGAATAAAAAGGTCAGCAGCTTATATGTCCCGTCTTTATCCAATAACATTTGCCGAGCAACATTGGAAACCTACCCTCCTGTTGCACGTGACTCAGCCAAAGACACTCCCTCGGAGGCTGCAGGCACCCAGGCACCAGCTCCCAGCCTTGTCCCTGGCACAGCCACAGCTAGCACAGGAAAACCACCCCCTGCTCCTCCTCCTGACCCTCCCAAGCTATTCTTTGACCACCGCAAAGATGCTGGTAACCTTGGTGAGAATCCCACACTGGGGGCATGGGCTTTGTTCCCAGATGCAGTGAGACCTCCCGTGGTAGGCCCCCAGGTTACCTCTGATCTTGAAAACCAGAAGAACAAAGAAACTTACCTTTTGCAGCCGTGTTATCCAGCCAAGGCAAGAAACTAGGAATGTGTGTGTGTCTTCTATGCTGTCTCTTTCAAAACCAATTCGAGTGGCTCCCTTGTTCTCTGGGCTTCCCTACCGTCCCTCTCCTCGTTAGTGCTACAGCGCTCGAATCCTGAATTCTTTGCTTTAGACTGCCCAGCGTAGCCTCTTCTGTCTCCCTGTCTCTTGTCTGTAAATGTCTCAGGATGCCAGAGCGTGGAATTCATAGACTAGTGATGTGGTAAGATCGGGTGTTTGTATCCTATGAGACGGTGCTAAAGAAGCTGTGTTTACTCCCAAGCTTGCAGGCTGTGTGGCCGTTTAGTGGCGTTAGACACTGTCTGCTTGCCTGCCTGCATATTCTGTTGTTTGCTCTCTTTCTCCCTCATAAAGTGTTAAAAGGATTCAAAAATAGATGGATGGAAAGTGAACTTGGACGGGGCTCCCTCTGTGTCATAGAGTGTCAGGAGGCCAGCTGGCTAGCACTGGCTAGCACTGGCTGTCTCATGTACTCTGTGGAAAGGGCACTGATTAAATATTTCTCCAAGTGCATCACTGCATGTCCGTGCGCAACTGTTTAAATGTGGAATTCCTGCCTCTCTGCAGTCCCCTTTGCGTAACGACCCCTTATTTCCCACAGGATGCCACCTCCTCCAGCCAAGCCTCGTCTGAGGTAATAGTTGTCCCTCTCTACCTGGTTAATACTGACAGAGGGCAAGAAGGCACTGCCACTACTCCGGCATCTCTGGGGCCACTTGGCTGCGTCCACACCATCCCGGCGACCACCCCTGCTGCCTCACCTTTGACCTTCCCCACACTAGATGATTTCATTCCCCCTCATCTGCAGAGGCGGCCCCACCACAGCCAGCCAGCCAGTGCTTGTGGCTCCCTCCCCCCTGCTAGCCAGAGGCCACCACCCTCACCACCACCTCCGCTGGTCCCTCCCATACCGGAGGACCTCCACAGAGGCTTGGAGCCTGACCTCCCGGGAGCTGTCTCAAGTACCGTAAGCTTGCTGGACCCCCCCTTCCCCACGGCTTCCTGAATGTCTGCTTCTGGCAGTAAAACCCTCCCTTTCTCACTGAAGTACTAAGTTCTGAGGAGGCCTTGGTCACTGTGCTTGTGTGATGGCTGGCCCTATGTTTGCTGTCTCCGAGTGCATGCCTCCCCGTACATCCTGTGGGCCATCTGTGACCGCTCTTGACTTTGAAGAACCTTCTCTTCTCTGCTCTATTGCAAGTGCACGTCTTCCTGATGGAACTTTGTCTTTCCTTTGAGAAGCACCTGTGGCCTTTACTCAGACCTGACAGAGATCGCATTGAAGGCTGAGGAAAGCTGCAGGGTCCTGTGGAGAGCCGTAGGCAGGTGTGGAAATGATGGAGCGAGAGGTTGTGAGTGAGGAACAGTTTCCCTCTGGGCTGATTCCCTAAGTGAGCTCTCTTTTTTAACAGAAGTACAGAGATGGGGAGGCGGGAAGAAGAGGTTTAATTGAGTAAATGGATTGAAAACCTGTGTGTCAAGGCCTTCTCTCACAAGACAGATAATTACTAGGGCCCCTGAGGAAGAGGTCATTGTTATTTTGGCGACAATAATTGTTGGAAGTTAGAAGGTCTTGACAGTTCAGTGTGAGTCTCTTCGCAGCTGGCCCAGCTGCTTCCAGCACAGTATGTCTCCTTCCACAGGAGCCCAGGATAAGAGAATCTGAATGTATGGCGTCATAAAGTGTAATGTGAAGACACTCACGGGCCATATGGTTCAGTGGGGTTGAATAGTCACAGTTCCCATGATGGGAACTCATGGTTTAGTTCAGCATAGGTGAAGTATTTGGTTACTGTTGATTGCATTGCTGAGGACTAGTGAATGAAAAAGTTAGAGTAACTGGTTAGTTAGTGATGGCTTCATCCCTACCGGGTTCTAAGCAATTAGGTTCCACAGGTACACTTACAACAAGCCAGAGCTCCTGCTCTTAAATGGTCTGGAGGAGGGGGTAGAATACATCCACTCTCTAGGCTAGAGAAGTCGAGTTTATATATCATGGATTTGGAAGGTCTAGGAGGGGCTGGGGCCAGGGCCTCTCACTTGGTTGCAAGTATCTAAAGGGTTTTGATGTTGAGGCCATAAACACCACTTACTGATGTACAGTGAGCCAAGTATTTGCTGATCGAGCTAAACATTTACTAGCATCCTTTGTTGGAGGAAGGATGCTAACAAAACTAGCTTACATAGCTTGTTAAGCTGAATCAGAGAACAGGAAGAAAAGTTCTTATTTGGCTCAATAGGGAAATTGTAATGAAGTGTTAGGTACAAGGAAGCTTAGAACTATGACATCATGGGCTGGACCTCTTCTCAGATCTCCAGATACAGCCCAGGGCAGTTAGACCAGGACCAGGGCAGCTGTAACCATGAATTTGGCTCTTCTGTTTGAGCTTTGGAGCTCATCTCTGCTGCAGACTGATGTATTCCTCCCCTCCTAGGTGAATTTAAAGGCATTCTGCTTTAGGATGTACTGATATCTTGCTAGATATCTTGCTAGTGTGTTTCTCTGTGCAGCAAGCAGAGTGAGTCTTAGCAGAGTGCACTCAGATATTGCTATAAGCCATCCTGGTATGTACTCTGCTTTTGGGCATTTGTTTAGCTCTACGTTTGCATATTGGGGTTTGTTTGTATGTGTGTGTGCCAGGACAGATTAGTTGAGATAGTGTACACAATCTGTCCAATTTTCCTAATTGTTCTGCAGTAGACTTTCCAGAAGTTGACTTAATAACGTTTACTTTGGCTTTAGGTAACAGTAAGAGATTAAAAGCAGACTGCTTGACTTCCCCTCTAGATGCCCCGTGGGTGGCATCCAGGCTGTAAGTTGATACAAACCCCTCAAGCCTTGGAAAAAGATCTTACTCACAAAATTGAGCTCATAGAAGTTCCCTATCCAGGGAACATCTAAAAGAAAGCCCAGCCAAGGCATTGGTGACAAAGCCCCTACTGTGTGGCAAGAGCTGTCCAGGGTGCTGAAACCCGCACCTCTCCTGATGAACCTGCATTCTATTGCCACAAAGCTTAGCCCACACACTCCTTGCTGTCAGATAACTCCTGTCATTCACACAGTATTTTTCTGAGCACCTGCTACTTGCAGGGTATTGTGTTGCATGGTGGCAGAAGAGGGAGGCATGGGGTCCTTGTCTTGCAGGTGTATATATAGTAGCTGTTTCTGAGCTTAATTTTTTTTTAAAAAAAATAGCTACCAATATCTTGTTCTTAAAGACCTTTAAGAATGCCGTCTTGCCAAGCATAATGATGCATGCCTAGAGGCAAGTGGATCTTTGAATTTGATGCCAACCTGGTCTACTTAGAGAATTTCAAGCTATCCTGGGCTATATAGTGAGAGCCTGTCTTTAACAAAAGAAAAAGGGAAAAGAATGCCCTCCTGGGACTGAGGATATAGAATGTTTGCCTAGCACAGGCTCAGCCCTAAATTCAGTCCCCAGAACTAGGTCATGAGGATTGCCATCTTTGCTTTAAGGTTTGAAAGATATAAAATAAAAACTTTGCAGGATCTATAAGTGTGGTAGAGGAAACAAAAGGCTGCCATTATCCCCATCAGCAGATTATCAAAGTGTTAGTAATTTGTTGATATTTCTGGGGGCGGTCTCAAGTTTTTAAAGCCAAGATTCTCCCATGTCTTGGTTCAAAGAACTGTTATTTTGATGCTCAGTGAAGAAACGTCCCAGCAGGGTAGGATCCTCCTCAGATCTCAAAAGCCAAAGCTGCTGAATTTGCTCAGTGATTCTGAAGTTTGTAATAACTTTCCTGAGAACCATTATAAGGGGGTTCCTCTGTTCTTCTCTCATGATTTGTCTGATATCTCCCTAGAGGGTGCCTTAACTTCCCTGACTTTTCCCACTTAACCAGTCCTCGTTCTTGGATCGCATTTGGAATTGCATGAGTTTTGCATGTTGTACTATTTTGATTTGAATTTGCTTTTTAGTAACCAGATTGATATACAACTATTACTAGGTGAAAATAATGGATGATACTGAGACTTTCAGCAACATTTACCTACCTTTCTTCTCTCCCCCCTTACTAATACCTACAAAGAGAATAAATTTCCAGATTAAACTTCTAACTGGAATGGACTCATTGGTTACATTTTTGTTTATAGTTAACGTTTTGTAGAGGTTTCTATTCCTTCTTCTTACAGAGTCTTTATTCTCGATGTCCTGTATTCACTCTTCTTTCTGATGTTTTGTTTTTCAGGGCAGTCCTTTATTAAATGAAGTTTCTTCTTCCCATATTGAAACTGATTCCCAAGCCTTCCTTCCAACAAGCAAACCGTCATCTGCCTACCCCTCCACCACAATCGTCAACCCCACCATAGTGCTCTTGCAGCACAATCGAGGTAAGGCAGTCTCTTGCAGGATGTAGTCTGCAACTCTTCCCAACCCTGCCCCAGGCCATCCGTCCCAGCTCTTGTAGGACCCACAAAATTGATCAATCCTAGACAGAGGCTCCTGATCTGGAATGATGTCAGGTATCTGTGAGACTGGGCTAGTTCAAGTTCATTGCTGTGCTTTCGTCTTGTATGTTTATCTGCAGACGGTTCATGTGCTAAAATGAAAGTGTGTGTGTCTGGTTCTTCGCTGTATGATTTGTGATGGGGCTTTGCCTCAAACATGCCTGCAATATGTCTTTTAATTTCTGTCATAAAAGGACTGACTTCGTTCAAAGTAGTCAGTTTCTAGAAAGCGTAGTTTTCAATACCAAGTTTCAAAAGAGGAAACAGTGAATAGATGATTGTCTACAATGTAGAGCGTGTCTTTGTGGCTCTGTACAGAGGCTCCTAGGCTGTCTTCTGGTTATTGGCTAGTCCTCTTCTCACAGCAGGCTCTGTGGTAAGTGGCCATTCAGTGGCAATCTCCTTGATGGAGACTCATATGTCTGTCTGCACTGCTTCCATCCACATGGCCCAGACAGCTCTGTTTAGGGGTTCTGATTGGTTCCTGTTGTTTCTCTGGCTATTCCAGTTAGTCCTGCAGCATCTCTGAAGGGGCCTCAGGGTCAATAAAAACCCACGAGCTTTGAAGTAGTCATAATATATTTTTACCATTCTGCTTTAAGATTCAGGCAATGGTTCTAAATCCCAACTTTTCCACTTTGGAGTTGCATAGAGGAATAAACTCTGAGTTTATAAGAGTCCTTTTGCCACATGACATGGGACACTTTGAGGCCATCTCCCCGGAGAGGGCTCTTCTGTGTGGAACCCAGGGAACAGCATATCCTGGTTTCAGTCTTCTCTTGTCACCTTCCTCACCCACATCATAGTGTCCTCCCCTTCCTGCCTCTCCCTTAGGGAAGATGGGGCTGAAATCTAATTTCCATTGCTTTCCATACTGAGGAGAAGTTTCTCTTTCCTCCTTCTCACTGGGAAAGTCGATGCGTAAAGCATTTTCTCTCACTTAAAATATGTTCTCTCAAATCTGAAATGGTTGCTTTAGTGGTTTCAGTTCTTTTTCTTTCTGTCTGTCTTTTTTTTGCACTGTGTGGCCCCAGTGTTCTTTCAAAGAACAGAAGAGTGCTCCGTCTAAGTGGCCATTCTCCTTCTAGCCTTGCCACCCTCCCTGGCAGCTCCTCTCTGCCAGTGTCTGTCATGCAGAACAAAGAAAAATGCAGGAAAAAGCAAAAGCCTCTCTGTGAACTCCTTCATGACTCACTGTTCTAAAAAGCAAGTTGGTTCCCAGAAAGAAAGACACTTTCTTAAAAATCGGGATTTATTCCCAAGGCAACTTGGTTTTTGGGAAATGCCAAGCGTAATGTCAGCTGCTTTTGCCAAGTCCCTCTGACAACACCTACAGGGACGTTTTCAGGCACCAAAACGCCTGAGTTCCCTCTTTGTTTCTTCCTTGAATAAAGTGAAATTTTCTTATTCATCAAAAAGGACTTTCGGTTCCTGCCTTTATTTTGACCAAGTCCTGTTTTGGGTTCAAAAATGAGAATTGTTCTTCAGAAAAGCATGAGAGTAACGGTTCTACAGGCAGATGGATCTTCTTTAAACTCATGAATGGTTTCCCATAAAGAGAGAAACCATGGGTTCATCCCAGGTAAGGCAGGAGAGGTAGGGAAGTGGGAAGGAAACTCCACCAGTAGGGTCTGGAGCAAATGTATTTGGTACTGCTTGGAATGTACCCAGCCTAGCGTCTCTGCTTCTCCTCACAGAACGGATTCTTAACTATTGCAAGGTTTCCTAAGGGGGTGATAACTTTATTCTGTATCTGAAATTCTACTTTAGTCATCTTTTAAAATAATTCCATTTCTTTCTGTCTAGACTGTCACAGAGCACAGTTTGGCAATGACCCTGTCTCCCGCAGCCAGCCTCCTGCCATTAGGGACAAACAGGCGCTGAGCCTCTGGCCTGACTCTGGTGGCCGTGAACAGCACGGTCTCCTTTCCACCCTTTCTTGATCTTTCAGGCCAGCATGTTTAGGGCATCGCTTACCTGCAGTCAGCAAATCAGGGATTTGACTCAAGAAACCCGAAGGGCTGAAAGAGGTACATGGCCCCCTGCTCAGGACCTTTCTGCCTCTATTTTGTGTTGGATCATGAGAGTCTAGTTAACCTGCAGTTCATATTCAGGAACTCTGGGGATGGGATAGGAAAACAAGGTTCCAGAGTTATCGAAAGTTTATAGGCAGGCCATTGTGCTTGGCAATGGACCACCTTGGAAAGGAAGACCTTATGGTACCCAGACAGGTCTGTGGACAGGAACGGTCAGAGGATCCTGTGAATGAACAGCTGTTGCACACCTTCGAAGTCAGGAGCGACAAGGAAGACCCGGCTGGCACCTTGCAGAACAGAATGTGGCACCCATAGATCCCTTTAGATACCATAGCACCGTGACATCACAGATCAGGAAACTGAGGCCACGTGGTTACTTGATTGGTCATTGTCACATTGCAAGTCGCCCTCCCAGCTGAGCTTGATACTCACCTAGGCTCTCGTGCAGCTGGTGCGAGTCTCTTGCTCAAAGCTTAGGTGGCCAGCTGCCATGTCCACTGGCCTTTAGCTCCCACACTGCTCTGTTTACTTCTTCCCCATACCAATTCTAGCATCAGAATAGGAATGCAGCCATGGGGTAGGAAAATGGCATGCATGGGCCAACCAGTATGGTCTATTTTTATCGCTCTGCTTGATATTTGGCAGCTGTAGAGGGTAAAGGTTACTTGTGTGCTTATCGAATAGTGAGTGCACACAGGATGCTGCCAACGAGACCTTGGGCTCCCCTCCACATGATTACCTAGGAGGGTGAGCAACTGCATGAAGGACGGTGGGAGAGGGGGGTCACGAGGGTTGGGAAGAGCTGGAGACTGGAAGCTGGAGATTTGGGTTCTAGAACCAGATGGTCTTCAGTGTTATCTTGAGTAATCTAACCCTGTAGCCCCTAGCTAATACTGATTATTTTTAGAATTTCTTTATTACCCGGGAGCGGGCAGATGTTCGGTGACTAAGCCACAGTGCTAAGGACGTTCATTGAGGAAAATAGCTGTACCTAACAGCCAGAGCTGTTGCTAAGATTTCAAGTGCTAGATAAAAAAGCTCTTACAACGGGGCTGTCATTGGGCAAGCTCAGGAGATGGCAGTTGTCATGTCTGATCTTAATATATTTACCAAAAGGTACCGAGTCTGGGATGTTACGAGGTCTGTGTGAACCCAGAGTTGTTGGAAGGGTCATGAGTGATGAGATCACTTTGAAACAAGAGGGAACTCGTAAAACACTTCGGTGGGCCCAGGTCCTGGTGCAGATCTGTAGGTCGGGGAGCTGGGGAACCTCTCACTACGTCAATGACCGCTGCCTCAGCTGGGCTGTGTGTTTTAACACCCAAGCCTAGAAAACAGCAAGGACCAGAGTGTGAGGTCTTAATTAGTTATGCTGGGACTTCTCTGCCTTACCGGGTGCTGGATAAGTATCACTTACATTGTGTTCTTTTCTTTCATCACAGAACAGCAAAAACGACTCAGTAGTCTTTCAGGTAGGTGAGCCATCTGTTTATTTACCTGCTATCTTCAGATCCTGTTCCAGCTAGTGTCCAATCGGCACAGTCTTCTGAATTTCCCTTGTGTTGATTGATGGGCCACAGGGATCATGCAAACAGGAATAGTTTCTATACCCTGGAGCAGACAGAGCCATGAACCACAGTAGTAAACGTGCCTTGTGGAACTGTGAGGTGCACCCAGGTAGCCAGACCAGACTGTGCCCAGTCCAATGGAAGGTCTCTAAAGAACATTCTGTTGGTCTGTCTCTCTCTGAGATGAATCAGGGGTTGGGAAATGTGGGAAGTTCTTTCCTTTCTGAATGAAAAAAAAATTCTGCCAGTAGATGGATGGCCCCCTGTGACAAGTCTAAATGAGCGCTCCCAGACCCACACAGTACTCAAAGCTGCCACTTGAACTCATTGGGACTCAATTCAAGAGGGTATACTTAATAGACAAGGGTAGCAGTCTGGATCCCAAGCAGATGACGCTTCCTTCCTTGCTGACTACACCTTTAAGTAATCACCAAGGTCCCTGATGGTGGAGTAACCGCAAATACAGTCAGTTGTCAGGGCTCCTTCCTAAGAGGGTATGCAGGATGAGACTGTGCCAAGCCAGGGAGGCTGAGATCCTGGAGAAACCCAGGGATGGAGGTATTCAACCATTTCCTGCTGCTTCCAACCCTGGTTTTCACACTCCCATTCTCTTCTGTGAAGGAGGAAAGTGGCCATGTCTGCCAGATTGTTTCTGCTAATGGGTGACTTTGCCCCAAGCTTTGTGCTGAGTGCTAAGTAGGCATGAAGTGCTGTGGTCTTCAGGTGCTCGCATTGACTTTGGTCTGTATTGAGTTCCACTCTTGGGCCTGGTGCAGAGGCAGGCTCTGGGGCTGCAGAAGGGTGCTGTACTGCCCATCAGCAGCTAGTGGTGTGGCATGATGGCTTAGTACTGTCCTTTGCTTGTGGTCTCCCTGGGAGGAGCTAATGAAGGCAGTTGTTTCGCCGTCCAGACAAAGCCTGTGTGTACACAGGGCACACGGAGCAAAGGCTCATGAGCTCTAGCATAAGAACCTCTGATCCAGTGAGGAGCTGAAGCCACCAGTTTCTGAGCAGCTGCTACGTGGTTTCTGCATGACTTTAGCATACCGCTGCTCTTGTGATTTGGGCAGAGCCTGACTGGGGAGGACATGAGGTTCTCACACCCTCTCAACTTTATCAGGACTTGGCTACAGGACCAGAACTATGGTTAATCTCAAGGTGCCCTTCACAGCCCTTCCTTGAACCACCAGATTCCAGCACACTTTATTCCACTGGCCAGCCCAGGTAGCCGTGGATGGAAAACACGCACACACACACACACACACACACACACACACACACACACACGAGTGGGGGAGAGGGAGACATCTCCTACCTATGGTAGCTTGGAAGGATTGTTGAAATTGATGGAAAAAGCATCTAACTACATGTTGGGAGACCCAGAGATTTTTTTGTTTGTTTGTTTTTGTCCCTGGGTAAATGACATCACCTCTCGTACCACAGTTTCCTCATGTGGGAAAGGGGGTGCTAATTTACGGTCCTGCCTTCAGGGGCTATTGTCTGTGACTGAAATGAGGAGGATGCTGTCCACACTGGATAGTGCCATGTTCATGGGTGGCTTCTGCATGATGCAGGCAGGCTCTTAACACACGATGCCCTGGGTTTCCTTGAGTTTGAGAACGGATCCACTGGTCTCCAGGAGCTTCCTGGAGTGGCATTCTCTAGCTTCTAGAGAATTCTCTAAAGGACATGAGCATCTACCTACTACCTGTAGGTCTGAAACACAGGACTGCCAGCCTCTTTCCCTTCAGCACGGTCCTAGTGAACATCTGCGGGGCTCAGCAGTTAATCGAAGAGTATTTGGCCTTTCATTGCTGTTACCAAATACTTGGCAGAACACCTCAAGGAAAGGAAGTTGTTGGTTGCTGGTGGTTTTAGGAGATTCAGTCTGTCATGGCAGAGAGGGCCTGGTGGAGCTGTTCACACCCTGGTGAAGATGAAGCAGAGAGAAGCAGCAACAGAAGGAGGCCAGGACAAGATGATGGCCCAGTGAGATGCTTCCCCCAACCAGGCTTCAACTAGGCTTTAACTTCACAACCTCCAATAATAAATCTTGAATTCATAGATAGATTAAACCACTGATTGGACAGAGTCCTCACAATTTAATCATCTTTGAAAATGCCTTCATTGGCATAACCAGGGATGTACTTCACTAATATGACTCCAGTCAACTTGACAGTCAAGAGGAACCATTGTGGAGAGTTATCTGGGAATGGAGACTTAGTGGTGTTGGCCTTGTGTGGTTTGTGGTCCCCTTGGTTAAAGACTGCAGATACTGACACAGAGTGTAGAGAGACCACTGTCCTTCCCCCAGGGAAATATAAGCATTGCTTTAGACTGTCACGAAGCTTTGGATATACAGAAAATCTGTCCCACCTCCTCCTGAGAGAGACCCCATTTGAGGTTGTTATTATCATTTGTTTACTGATTCAAAACTTTTTTTTAAAAAAAAGATTTTATTTTATGTGTATGAGTGTTTATATGCATGAATATATGAATGCCATGTGTGTGCCTAGGGCCCCTGGAGTCTAAAGAGGGCAATGAATCTCTTGGAACTGGAGTTAAAGGTAGTTGGGAGCTACCCGTGTGGATGCTGGGAAACACCTCAGTTCTCTGCAAGACTAGCACGTGCTCTTAACCACTGAGCCGTCTCTCTATCCCCCAACTCAAGGCTTTTTGAAGCATATTGTAAAACCAGAAAGAAACACTTGTAAGGGATTAGAATATGATGTAAGGGATCAGAATGTGTACTGTGAATTTCAGAGGGTTGCCTTCCTTGACCTGTGTCACTTTAGGGTTTTACTGTATCAAGTAACATTTTTTTCCTTTGGGGTCTGAGCCTTTCATGTGTCAGAATCCCATGACATTAAGCCTCTAAAGTTTAAACAAGGGGCGGGGGACACACACTGATTTTTTAGAACAAAGTAACTGGAAAATTGCATTTTTTAAAGAAGATTTACTTGGTCCAGAAGCCTTGAACACATGTCTATGGACATCATCTCATAGTGTCTAAATACCAAGCAAGGTAGAGTTTGAATCAGTTCACTGGTCCCTTTTTTATTTCACTTGAGGAAGGCCTTTCCAGGCGGGAGGAGAATGTTCGGAGACCAAGTCAAGGGTAGACTGGTAACTCAGAATCCTCTTATATTTGGAGTTGTCTGACGGCTCTTTGGCCTTGCATTGGAATTTCCTGAGAAATTCCAGAAATTCTAGGAAGACAGTCTGACCTGGCCTCCTTGGAGGTTTGTGGTAATGGTATGGGGATTGGGTTTTCTAAGCCCTCCTTAGATCCACAAGTAAATTTAGAAACCATTCTGCCCTCATAGGTGGAGCAAGGCCATAAGAAGCTTGTCTGAGGTCAGGGGAAAGTGACTCTGTTGAGTAGATCAAGCATTAGAAACCTGAGCATGCGAGCTACACTGTTCCCACCCCCTCAGCTGCTTCTTCATACATGGACACCTCTGACTTTGTCACCGCTTTGCATGGAACCTCATATCCCACCTTCCTGCCAGAAGACACTTGATCCCCAGCCAGCACTTTGCGCTTCTCAGTCAGGGTGTAACTACTAATTGATGGAGGTTGGGGGAGAGACCTGCTTTAGTCTTCACTGATAAGACTTCAGCCCTGCTTGGCTTAAGCCCCTTTGCCCTCCACCTGTTTCCATCTGACACAGTTCTTCCTCTGTGATGAGTTCACTCCTGCTTCTTTTTTCACGCGTGTCCCTTTCTCTGCAATCTGGTGCCCATTCCTGTTGGCCTCCTGAAATAACTCTCACAGAGTTCTTGTCCCTTTCCTGTTGCTCGAATGTCTCCCACACAGACTTGGGGATTCTCTGCTTCTCTGCCTGTTTCTTTCATATTTTTCAGTGTGTGACTTCGTCCCTGGGCTCCGCTTGCTTACTTCCTTCTACCATAAAGATCTGCCATCATCTTTGTGCTGGTAGCTGTAAAACTCCATCCTGCCAAGGCATGTCAGCTGGGCCCTTCAGCATCTCCTGGATGCCTTAAGGCCTTTTTATTTTATTTATTTATTTAAAGCCATGAATTCTTTTTGTCTTATTGAAGAGTTTAGTGCAATGCCAGGCACCTAATGAAGTTGGAATAGCTCAAGATGGCACATAGTTGATGATGCTGTTCCTTCTGCCAGGAACATCCTCCACTTTCTTTTCATCTGGTTGACTCCTTCCTCTTAGAGAAGTTGGCTCTGAAACTAAATTCTGCAACTAAGCTGGGTGCTGACTTCCTCTGTCAGTCCTCACTACTCTGATTCTCGTTGCTCGTCCTCTAAAGTATAAGCCCCCTGAAGACTAAGAGTCTGAGAGGTTTCACCTTCATGTCTACATGCAGAATGCTAGGCATAGCACCTGGCAAGTACTTAGGGAACATCTCCATCAACTGGATAGTCTGGCTTGGAAAAAGAGTCAGTAACGAGTGACCGTGTAATCTGTGGACCATTCCTGGTTTGTTTGTTGGCTCTCTGGAAGTTCCAGTCGTAAACCAGGCTAAATAAACTGTAACGAGCACCCAGCAATGCCTAGCTGTCTGAGTACTTTGCCTTACAGCATCTTTGTGAGCTTCCCAATGGAAATGTCATTCCCATATTTTTTGAATGAGAAAACTAAGGCATGGGAACATTAAATGAGGAGACTTAAGTGACTCCCAAGATTAAAAAAAAAAAAGTAACTTTCCAGTAATGATTACCATTTCCTTGAGGTTTTACCTGCTCCCTCACCTTTTCTGATATCTTCAGAACAGTTTCATACCTCTACAAGCTTCTCTTAAAGAGCTAGATAACAAACATTTGATGCTTTGCAGGCCATGTGGCCACAGCATACTCAGCCATGGTAACACACAAAAGCATTCATAAACAATGTGTGGACAAACCACCGTGGCTGTGTTCCAGTGAAATGTTACTTACAAAAGCAGGTGGCCGGCAGTGGGCTGGACTTCACGGACCCCTGACCTACGTGGGGCTAGTTCCAGTTGGAAGTTAGCAAATGGCCCTTTCCCCTAGCTGGACGGCGGGAGAGTTTTTTGCTTTGGAGTTTAAGCCTGTGGTTGCTTTTCATTTCCAGATTCTGCCTCAGAGAGAAGAGTGGGAGAGCAGGACTCAGTGCCAACCCCAGCAGAACTCACCTCGCCCAGCAGGGCCCCGGAAAGGAGAGCAAAAGATGACAGCAGCAGGCGGGTGGTGAAGAGCGCACAGGACCTAAGCAATGTGTCTATGGATGAAGTGGGCATCCCACTCCGGGTACGAATGTGGGTCTTCGGGTCCTCTCTGGGCTTCATCTTAAACAAGTACTGGCAAGAATGTGGCCTTATGTGTCTGTGAGCCCCCTTGGGGGGGGGGGGGGGTCACTGTGGCTTGGAGGGGAGCACAAACCACACCCCAGTGAGCATATCCAGACTTCTCCAAAGTAGGTGTAGGGTGTTACTAAGTCTCGTGAGAAAAGGAACGCCTGGGTGGAGCACAGTTGCGGAACTTTCCTGCAGCAGAGCAGCCAATGGGCTTGGGCTGCCCATGCTCCATAGGCAAGACTGTCACTGCGTGGAGCCCATCAGCAATTCTTGTTCCAGAGTTAAGGGCATCCCCAGCAAAGTGAGGCTGTGTATCTGGGTTCAGGAGGGAGATTCGTGGATAAGAGTTGCCTCATCATGAAAGGTAAGCAGGACAAGGCCACCAGGCAAAGGAGGCCCTTCAAGGCCTTCAGGACCAACAGGCCTCTTCCTGGGCCAGGTGTGCCAGTGCTCCTGAAGGAAAACGTGCCCCTTGTGACTGGGTCATACTAATCCCACTTAAACCCACTCCTCCTTATATGTCCACCAGACCACTGGCTGTAATATGTGTCTTTGGTTTCCATTTGGAAAATGGGGCTTTTTTTTTTTTTTCCTTTCAGAGGGTAGATAGAAACAGTAGTAGTCTAAGCCTTTGGAGAACTCTACTTTGGCCATATGTAATAACAGAGAGAGTGATCAAAGCTCCTATGCTGGACATTATCTTATATCGCCATTTGAGTGGTGGAGCTCATAGGTTGCTACATCAGTCAGCTTAGCTGTGCTGTTAGGAATATTCAGCACAGCCTGCTTATGGAGTAAGGAGAGGCCTATCTGGGATCATGGTTAGGGAGGTTCAATTCTAAATTTGAGCCGCCTGCTCTGCAGGAGCCTCTGACAAGGACAGCATATCATGGCAAAGGCATACTAGTGCTCGTACAGTGTGCTGGGGAGCAGAGAGGATGGCTGGGTGACACCCCACATCATGGCAAGGGTGTACTCAAAGTTAGCGTTTGTACAGTGTGCTGGGGAGCAGAGAGGATGGCAGGGTGACATCCCACATCCTTATGGAGAAGTCATCCCCAGTGGTCTAAGGACCTCTCACTAGGCCCTACCTCCTAAACTTCCACAGCACCTCCCAGTGCTGCCTGCCTGGGAGAGAAGCCATTAACTACAGAGGACACACATCCACACACAGCATCAAAAAGGCAGGGATGTGCAGGATCACATCACTCCCAAGATCTCATGATGCGTGGGTGTCAGAGTGTCTACAAATGCTGCGCTAGTTGGCCCTTCTACTTTCTGACTCTTCTCTATGTGGGACAATGCACTTTGATTTGTTTTCTATTTATTTCCCTCATCTGTAAAATGGGGGTGATACTATCTTATTCAGCCACCTTATTTTATTTCTGTCTTTGGAAAAGGCCTGGTTCCAGTGAGCATGAAAGCCCTGGAATTGGCTGCCATATGGGTTCTGTTTTAATGTATGTGTTTTAAACATGGCTTTGTGCAAGGTGACTTACATACATTTGTACAGAATAATCCAGAAGAAGCAGAGGTAGATTGTGATAAGAAGGATTTATTGCCTTGTGGTTCTGGGAGGGCTTAGCTTCAGTTTCATGAAGTCTGTGTGTGGAGAGAGACTGTCTCTAAAAATGAAATTTTAAGGAAGGTGGGGCACAGGGCTAGGGAGATGGTTCAGTGGTTAAGAGCACTTTCTGCTCTTATAGAAGACTCAGGGTGCACATGGCTGGTTCTGATGCCCCCTGCTGGTCTCCACCAACACTGTGTGCACATGGTACACATAAATTAATACAGGCAAAGCATTCAGATACATAAATTAAAAATAAACATGTGTTTTTAAAAGAAAGAAAGCATGGCATATTTCAAATCTGCCTTTGTCTGTTACATCCTTAGGCCAAATCTCATTTTTCAAAATCATATCTGAGTCTTTTATTATGACTGCTTTCTCAAAAGTTTTGCCTTTAAAGGAAGTTCTCAATACTGCAGCTAGGGATGCGCATGCTGGAGCGCTTGCCTCATGTGCAAGGCCCTGGGATCGATCCTAGTACCACCCTGCTTGATTTTGACTTTGTCATCATAGATCTTCTGAATTGCCCATTGTTTTACCCTTTGCTTCTGTTTTTCTCCAGAATACTGAGAGATCGAAAGACTGGTACAAAACCATGTTTAAACAGATCCACAAGCTGAACAGAGGTACCAATTTTCACTTACATAAGTCATGTGATTCTGTGGGAATTTGTTGTCGATTGGTTATGGGCCTGTTCTCAGTTCATTTTGACTCCAGGAGTGTGCTCCGTCTATTGGATTCCATTAGGTACCGGTCTGCCTGACTTTGGCCATGCACCCGCAGAGCACAGGTGGGAGGGTTGTACCTGGGCCTGCTTCAGCTTTGGGACTTGAGGTCAGCTTGCAAGTCCTCCCTCCACCTGTTGTGCCGCGCAGGAGGCTGAGAGCGGCACTCCGCCCATGCTCCCACACCTGGAGAACAGGCAGTTCCATCTCCCACCTGCTTCCAGCTTTAGGAATAGCTTGTGTCAGCCCATGACTGCTTTGTGAGGAGATCAAATGAGCAAAGCCCTGGACTGGGAGTTCAGAAAACTGTTCTTCCCTGGAGCCTGCCTTCAGGCGATTATGTGCTCTTAGGTGGATCTTGTATCTTTCTGTGTCTGTCCTGCTTCCAGTCCTCTGAAGGGTATTGTGGCCATTCAAATGGGAACACGCTTGACCCTGTGAAGTGTGATGCTATTGTGAATCTCCGAGGCCATGCTAGTGTGCGAAGTAAGCTTCCCCAACTGGGGACCAGAGCTTGGCAGGTAGAGAATCAGTCGTGAGCTGACACACTAGAGCGAGGGGCTTACAGATCCAGAGGACCCTGGGATTTCAGTGCGTGAACCAGCATGATGGCGGGACCTCAGGCTCGTGCTTTGGCAGATCACAACCCTACAAGCTTAGCCCCCACTGCTACCTATGCTGCCCGTCAGTTGACAGGCAGGGATGTCACTGCACTGTGGGAAGGGAGTCACTCTTCCTGAGAGCAGAGCATCCTGTCTTTCTTTGTGCCCAAATCCAGTCTGGCCGCCTGCCATGAAATACACCAAAGAAATAGTGTTCCCGTCAGTGTTCCCATTTAAGTCACAAATATCCACTCTCTTTGCCTAACTGTATATGCTAAACATCACTGTCAATTAGCTTTGCTGGGTTCAGAATGATCTACACTCTTCCTAAATATCAGCTTCTCTGAGTCAGGTGTATGTTTGCTAAGCTCCATCACGGTGGTGCTAAAGACTGGGTCTCCATGGTAAAGTCACTGCCCACTTCTTCGAGCCATCGGTGACTCCCCACCTTCAGACCTGGCTTTGGAAGGCTAAATGCAGGAATGAATGCATGCATATGCACAGAATGTGTTATTCTGCTCCAAGGCACCCATGGTCTTCTTATGCTCTCGTGATTAACACCGCTAAATTACAGATTCTCGACACACCTGCCTGCCCTAGTGGAGGCAGAGGCACCTGAAAAACTTAACACTCACTTGTTTGCTGGATTCTGATATGTACAAACCAGCTTTTGATTTGTAAAAAAAAAAATCACTTTAGGATAGTGTTTTCATTTATCATATTTCATATCTCTGACTTAAAAATGTGAAATTTGAAACTTGGTGTTTAGTGCTTCTGTCCATTGGAGTCAGTTTCTATGTTTTTGAGATGACTAATTCAGGCAAAAAGACTGGATTTTAAGGTTATTTTATATCATTAGTGAAGCTTATTGTATCCCAGAATTCAAGGAGTGTAAACTGTGTGGATTCCTACTTATTCGCTCTCTCTGTTTGTATCTTCCTATTCTCTCTCTCTTTCAAACGTGCTCCCACTGCCTAGACACTCCTGAAGAAAACCCTTATTTCCCTACCTACAAATTCCCTGAACTTCCTGAAATCCTGCAAAATTCTGAAGGTACCATAAGTTTAGACAGTGCATCTGTTGTCATAGCTTTAAGTTAGTTCTTAGAGTCCCATTATAGGTGTACAGTTTGGCTTTTAGATTTTGTTTTTAATACTCGTTTTCGTCCCATGAGCATTTTATTTCACTCATTTGCATGGTGTGCTATATTAAAATAACTAAGTCCTTTCTAATTCATTAATCTAAGCGTGATGCCTGTGTGCTTTAATAACACTAAGATAGATAATCATTGGAGAGTGTCAGCCGGGGGTTAATCATTTCCTCCGCGTCATGGTGGATAGCTTCCAATCCCCTGCTTTTCTCTGCTGCAGAGGACAACCCTTACACTCCTACCTACCGGTTTCCTGCATCTACTCCTAGTCCTAAATCTGAAGGTAATTACAGGAAATCGTGTGCCTCGCTCCTAACTGGTGCTCTTACTTCTCACTGTGGGGTTTTTGCTGGTGGCTGAGGAAATCTTCCTGTTTATTTGCTTCCCCTAACCTTTTGTGTGGTTGTCTCTCCTCATGGCATTTTAATCCCTGCCCCTATAGGGTTTGCATACCTTAGGGGTAGCTTTCATAATGTGTGGGGCTCTGAGAAAAGCAGCTTGTACCAACTACCCAAGGCCTGGTATCTGGGGTGTCACTTAGTGTATTCTGATGGCTGGGCAGTGACTTCAGGAAGCTGAGGAGGGAGACCTGACAGCTATCAACACTAGAAGCTTACCAGTTTCCCACACTGCACCCGATTGTCACTGGGCCCCTCTGGCCATGGGTCCTCAGGGTGTCTCTCTTTGATTGGGAATTCCTGAAGAGGTGTGTAGGCTTAAGTGTCAGTTTGGGTGAGATATTCTTCAAAAGAATATTTGGGCTAAACTGGGAAGCATTTCATACAAGAGCTGGATTGGAATATGACCTGATATGGAGAACAGCTATGCCTGTGCCTTGGAGTTATTCTTCTTATGCTGGGGGAGGGGGTACGGTGTGGGGGAGAACAGTATCAAAGAAGGCTGTAAAAGCTGGGTGAGGGAAAGTATCTTGGAGAAAACCCTGCTACTCCCATGGGATTGGGAGATGGCCCAAAGCCTGTCCTAGACAGGGCCCTTGGCTTCCTTTGTCTTGGCTGTGATCTCAAGGCAGGATTTCATGGCCCAGTATCAAGTTCTTAGGTCATTGGTCACTGCACCTTGGAACACAGGCTGATAGCAGGGTCTGCTTTCTGTTACATGGGAAATCTGGCACAAGAGGAAGTAGGGCTGTTTTGCCTAGAGATATAAACAGTAAGAGAAGGCAAGAGAGCTTGCCACACATTTTTAGAAGTGGGTATGTTTATGTATGCCTATGCATACACACAATATTTTCAGAGACAGAAAAAGGAAAAAATGGCCTTAAAAAATTAAAAGGTTAAAAACTTTAAGTTGAGCATAAGAAGCCATACTAATGAAGATAATTAGGCTTCAACACAAATTTTGAAGACGTTGTCTTCCCCTAAGAGGTCTTTTAAAAATAGGGTAAATTCTCTCACGCCCCCACCCTGCCTAGATGACATGCCTAGCATATTGCGGATTATATTCAGTTAGATAAAAGCTTTTTACAAATGTGAAAAGCACGTGAGGAATTTTAATAATTGTTGGGCTTAATTTTTTTTTAATGTTCAGGAGGTTTTCTGGCTTTCTGAATCTGTGGTTTTATCCTGTCTGAGCATCATAAGCAATGTGTCTGTGAGTGCCAAAGGACCACCTTAGCTCTGTCCATGGTGCCGCTCCTCACAGGCAGCTCCGGGGCTCTGTCTGCACATTGATGACAGATCAGCACCAAATGCAGCCTCTGCCGTAGTTGCTAACATGCACTGAGAAGGAGAGACGGTAGAGGTGCATACATATAATCCCAGTGCTCAGGAAGCTGAGGCGGGAGGATTACTATGAATTCAATGCTATATTGGGCTACATAGTAAGTACCAGACTAGCTAGGGCTGCTTAGTGAGACCCTTAAAGAGGAAGAGAGGAAGGAAAGAAGGGAGAGTTCAGCCGAGAGAGAACCTAGAAATTGGTGCTGTGGGTCTCATGCGGGGGTGGAGTAGTCTGGTTGATGCTACTGTTGTTTTGTTGTCTTGTAATTCAGAATTTGGAAGTAGGAGTATCTGTAAGAAGCCTATGAAAGCCTGCCTGAGGGCTGGTATGTCTAAATTGTAGTCGTTTTTAAGAAAGAAGATACTTCTAAGTATCTCAGAGCTGATTGTTCTGAGCAGTGGGGCCTGTGAGCACGTGCTTGCCCCAGCTTAGAAACCTTCCTTCTCCCTGAGTGAGCAAGTAAACTGCTAGGCAGATGCTGGAAGATAAATGGGACGGCCATTTCTTAATGAGTTTACGTGTTGACGAAAATAATCCTCTGTAAGTTACAGCAAAGAGCAGTCTGGGCATTTTATAATCCTTAAGACAGCTCGGAACCCCACACTCCTCTCCTTTCCCCTCCCCGGATTTTATTTAAGGGGCAGCAGTGTGTGGTGACTGCCGTGCTCTTACTGCTATTCCACCTAACACCAAAGCTGCTTCAACATTTCCGTTGTGCCCTTCTGCACCTGAGAAATGTATGTGTTGCTTCACGTATATACTTATCAAACATTTACTGACAATAAACCAGAAAGAAACTTATTCTAAGCTGGATGGTGGTGGCTCACGGCTTTTATCCCAGGACCTGGGAGGCAGAGTTAGGGGGATCTCTGTGAGTTCAAGGCCAGCCTAGTCTACAGAGCGAGTTCCAGGACAGGTTCCAAAGCTGCACAGACCCTGTCTCGAAAAACAAAACAAAAAAAAAAAAACAAAAAAAACCCAAAACCAGAACCAGAAATCTTTCTCTGTACAGTCAAAACACTGAGCTAGAGTTTCGGTCAACGTTGGGGTATGTGGAGTGATGCTGTGTGCAGTGCACAGTATACATGTATGCTCAGAAGCATGGACGCAGTGGAGCTGCCTGATAGTTGGGAGCCAGAAATGCCTTGGATTTGTTTGCTTTGAGTTTGAATTCGCTTTCATTCATTCCATGTTTTAAAACTTTTTACTGATTCCAATTTTTTCACTGCCCACACTCAGCCACAGATTTGGAGACTTTGGTGTCCACTGTGAGGCTGTGTGCGGAGCACATCACTACTGTCAACCTTATTTTCATCTTCCTAGCACCCACGAGATGATCCTGAAGAAGCTTGGAGGGGGCGGTTAGGTAGTATGTGCAAAGTCACACAGGACGTGGTTGAGTCAGGATTCAACCATGGCTGATTCTGGGGAACTCTGAACACGGGATTTTGTTCTGCTGATCCTCCCCTCCTGATAGACTTTGTGCACTTGATTGCCCCCCCGCCTTTGCCAAGAGCTCTCTGATAACTCATGGCAGCTTCTCTTGAGTCAATCCTGTGTTGGGCTGCTGAGCTGGTGTCTCTTGGGATCTGTGTGGGAACATGCAGTTAGGAAAGCTCCCCAAGCAATGAGACCTGTTGCAAAGAGAGAGGGCCCGCTTGTTTTTCCCGGTTGCCCGGCAAGCTTACACCCGAAATAATCACACAGAAACTGCATTCATTTAAACACTGCCTGGCCCATTAGCTCTGACTTCTTATTGGCTAATTCTTACATCTTAATTTAACCCATTTCTATTAATCTGTCTATCGCCACGTGACTATGGCTTATGGGCAAGATTCTAACCAGCATCCATCTCAGGCAGGAGATCCATGGCGTCTCTCACTCTGCCCTTCTTTCTCCCAGAATTCAGTTCTGTCTCCTCTGCCTACCTAAGTTCTGTCCTATCAACTAGGCCAAGGCAGTTTCTTTATTCATTATCCAATGAAAGCAACACACAAACAGAAGGAACTCCTACACCATAGACCAAGCATGACAGACCCACTGAAATGTCAAGATTTCTTCCTCAAAACTCCCCCCACTCCTTGCACCAAAGGACCAACGTGCTAATTTGAAAGTTTGAAAGTTTAAGGGCGGTGGAGAGATGGCTCAGAGGTTAAGAGAACTGACTGCTCTTCTAGAGGTCCTGAATTCAATTCCCAGCAACCACAAGGTGGCTCACAACCATCTATAATGAGATTTGGTGCCCTCTTCTGGCATACAGACATACATGCAGGTAGGACTGGAGTGAGGACTGGAGATTCAGAACTCTGGCCTTGTAAGGACAGCTGACTTGGCACATTCGCTGTCAAGAAAAGATATTTTTACACAGTGTCCCAAATCTACAACAAAGCCAAGTAGCTGTGACCCACGACCTATGAGGACCCATTGAACCACACTGGGGTGAGGTCAGAGAGCAGCTTTCCTCCTGGTTCGTGACTCCCCTTAGCACCGCTTCTCGTTGGAGGTTGGAACTGCCATCTCTGTTGCTGTGACTCATGCTGCCACTTATAAACATCGTCACAGGGGTCCGTCTATGTTCCCCTTCCCTCCTTCTCCTGCTTTTCCTCAGGCAAAGCTTGCCGGAGGCAGTTTTCTCAGGCACACATAAAGCTGAGTGAAAATAACTCTCCTAGCTGTGCAGGATTTCTATGAATAGCCTCATTTTTCTTGAGTTTGAGTGAAGTTGTTCTGTTGTGAAGATGTTTGGCTGACTTGTGCCTCCTGCCCCAAACTTTTGCTAGTCCTGCCCAGGGGAGGGGCCAGGCGGCTTGTGGCAGTCACCTTTGTTCTCCTTATGTGAGCTGCCCAGAAGGTCCCCTCCCAGCATGTGCAAAAGTCTTTGGTCTGCAGCATAGTTAAGAACTGAAGCAGACATCCCCTTTCCACCTCGGGACCCAGAAGGCTGGATGAAGATGGGAATGGTGAGCCTTCTCTAGCCCGTGGGTCCCTCCAGACTCTGGGTCTCATTAGCCCACGGATCCCTCCAGGCTGTCTCCCTCAGTTTGTTCCTTTCCCATTTTCAAATAACTTCTCAGAATTCTCTTTCTTAGGAGTGTGTCTTCTGCAGCTTCTCTCCACTCTCTTGTGGCCTTTGTTTTCCATCCCTTAATATATGGCAGTCTTTAACCAGAACATACGTACTCTGTGACTTAATATATGGCAGTCTTTAACCAGAACATACGTAATCTGTGACTTAATATATGGCAATCTTTAACCAGAACATATGTAATCTGTGACTTAATATATGGCAGTCTTTAACCAGAACATACGTAATCTGTGACTTTCCACACAAGCCCCCTATACTTGCCTTCTTTGTCCCCCTTTGCTTGCCTTTTCTTTGCCTCCCCAGACTCTATCTCCTTTTCCTTGGCTGTTTTCTGTGGGATGTTTTCTGTTTCCATCTTGTATCCTTGTTCTTGCTAAGCACAGGGAGTAAAGCCTCAGAAGGAATTATATTGAATGACGGAATAAGATCGTGTTAAAGTGAGAGCCGTTATTATCACAAAAATAATTTTAGGTTTAAAGACTTATGAAGCACTAACTGGAGATTTAATGGCACAGTTTGCGGTTCTGTGAATGCTGCTTTTGACTGAGCATCCCATTTTGTCACTTATGTAGAGCTTTAAATGGTTTGGTCCAGCAATCTCTCCAGTTGACTTTCAGAATTCTATAAATTCTAAACAGCAACTGCAAAATCAACCCTGAAGGAAAGCTTTTAGAAATTCATTTAACGTTGTTGTTGTGTTTGAAAAGGCAATTATGCAGCTCCTGGCAGCTCTGGGACTAACTATTGTGCCACAAAGGCCGGGGAGAATGTTGTGTGTCAACACCAGAGCCCATCAGGGGCCTTTAAGGCACCAAAGTTCACCCTGTGTGTGCTGCGTAATGTTCAAGCTTCCTGGAATGGTTGACTTGGGAAGTTCTGAGTGTTAGTGCCAAGGTTTGATGTCAGTTGCTTGGTGTTTATTCCAAGGGGCAAAGATAGCATATAGTTCCATCACAAGCAGGAATCACAAGATCCCCGCTCAGCTGAATCCCCTGGCATTGTTGTCAAGAACGCTTGGAGGCTGTGACAGCACACTCTGCGTCGCTAGTTCTTAAAAGACTTGAGAAAGGTTTTTCTTTGTGTACTTATGGTTAAACAGTGCACATGTATATTACTCTGTTTGGCTATGGGTTGAAGGATGGCCTTACACTCAGCTTTCCAGGCCCTGGTTATTCTAACTGTATACCCAGCTTCCTCATTGTGGAGATGCTTACCAGGAGAAAGTTTCAGACAACAGCAAGTGCAGGATGTAGCAATGTTATATTATCCCCGGAGGCCAATAGAAGGCAAAGTGAGTGCGGCAGAGTTACTCTGAAGGCTTGCCTAAGCATCTCCTTGAGTGAGCAAAGGCTTCAAGGCTGGAGATGAGATGTCTTGGCATGTGGTGCCCTTCAGTTTTAGGACAACACCTTTCATTGCTTCTTCCAGACTTAAAAAAAAAAAAATGGAGTTTCCTTGCCCAGGATTGGAGCTATAAAGGTGAAGTGAAAGGTCATAATAGCCACTTCGTCCCAGGACTGAAGTGACCTCTTTCTTACTGAGTCACCGGGGGCAACTTTTCTTGCCTTCTTGGACCCTGGTCTCCTTGTTTATAAAATGAGTGGTATAGCTAGTTTTTGCTATTATTAATGGTAGATTTTATTGCTATTTTAATTCATAAAATGAAGTAAAATTTGCTTTTATTAGATTTATGAAAGAGATAACAAAAATAATTGTGGACCTTGTCATACTTGTTGAAGTTGTCAGATTAACCTGTTTGACAGCGGGGTGTTTGCATACAGTCCCCAAACCTATGTCCATGCTAGAGTCCTGTGGCCGCCGTGAGAATGAAAAGCTCACTCACAGCGACACCCTGGCCATGTGTATCTTAGGGTGGATGAGACTCCGTTTTCTACCGTGAGACTCTGACTCAGGGAGAGAAGAAGCAAGGATGGGCGAGAGAGGACGAGAGGAGGAGGGGGGAGAGTGAATCAGTCACTCAGTTTCTGCCCTTGCCCTGTCCCATCCCCTTCTTGCTTTCCTCTGCATTTTAACTCACCAGAGTCGGGCTCCTTGAGCTGTTTTCTTCCCCATCGCATAAGAACTATTTCTCACTGCCTTCTAAAACTTGACATTAGAAATGTCTAGAGGAAACAGTGTTGAAAAATCTTAACATTAATCTTCACGTTAAAACCCATTTGATGCTGTCCCTGCGCTCCTACTTTGTTCGGGCTTTAGTAGCCATGTGATAGTTGGAACTGGCCTTTCCACCACCTGCTGCTAGGCTGCCATCTTCCATGATTCAAAGAGGTTTAGGGTCTTCAGCTAAAATATTAGGCTTGGTTTAAAGCAGTGTTTTGTTTTCAAAGTTAACTTGGGGTGGGGCAGGCCAGGTGCCCTTAGCTAAAGCTGAGTTTTGGTGTCTTTTGATACCATAGTGCTTTATAAATACATCACGTTCCTTAAAAAAACAAAACAAAACTCTAAAACAAACAAACGAAAAGCTAGTAACACAAAATTCTTCAGAATACTTTTTCCAAAAATACATTTCTGATTCCATTTCATCCTTCCACTATCGTATTTTTGGAAGTTAACATAAATAAACTTACCAATACTCAGTTTATAATAATGAAAGGATAGTGGGTTGTCGTGATGCAGGCCTGTAGTCCTAGCACGCAGAAGACTAAGGCAGGAAGACTGCATTAGAAATCAGCCTGAGCATCATCGTAAGGCCTCCCCATCCCACCCTAAAAAAGAAAGGCTTGGCTGTGTTGGTGAAGAATCATAGTCCCTGTCAACCCTTGGTGTTGACTAGTTCTTTTAAAGACAAGGGGAGCTGGAAGGAGAACAAGTTACCCTGGTGCTGGATTCCTATCTGTTGTTTTGGCTGAGGGACACCTGGGACAGACAATAGTGAGAAGAAGGGAAGGGCCAGAAGGTAGAAGCTGTTTTTGAATGCTGCTGTACTCAACATAATAGTAATGTTTGCTTTGTTTACATTTGATAGAACATTCTGACCTTTTTTTGCTCTGATACTTAATTTGCCTAGACACAGGGGCTTGATTAATACTGTCATTAATACAGCATTTCAAATCCCTTGACTTGACTTTGCTGCTTAGGTCATGTGTTTTGCTGGAATAGTGTTATGGATCTTAGTGAATGAAATTGGGTCTTTTTTCTAGATGCAAGTACCATGAATTCAGATGAGCAAGGTATTGGACTCTCCGGCACTCTGGAGAAGAAATGTTTAGGAAGGATTATCATGGATGTCATAGCTTGTACTCGGGACAGATCTGTTCCTGTAAATGACCTGTGATCTGATTTCTACTTTAATACATGCACCCCTTCCCTTGAGGGGTTCAGATCTTTTCTTGGTCATCTCAGAACCCACTGTTCAGTTTATCTAGGGGTGTGTACACACACACACCTATAGAACCCATCATACATCACAGAAATTCATATGAATTTGACTTGTTGCAGACTCAGTTTAGATGCTCACACCAAGCAGTACCTTCACCGAGCACCACCCTGAGTGGTACCTTCACAGAGCACCACCGGTACCTTTACAGAGTGTCATCCCAAGCAGTACCTTCACAGAGCATCACCTGAGTGGCACCTTCACAGAGCATCACTCTGAGTGGTACCTTCACAGAGCGTCATCCCAAGCAGCACCTTCACAGAGCAGCCTCACATCAGCCGTGGTAGTGTTAGATCCTGAAAGATCTACTCACTGAGCAAAGCTGAGGTGTAATCCGGGTTTTCTTGAACTCTTTTCTTAGCTGTAGGACCTCTTTACCGGTTGTGTTGTCTGAAGAGCATACGCAACAGGTCAAAGCTACAATAGGAAGCTAGGAACCACATTCTCTGGACCTCTTTTCCTTATCCAGTAATAGCCATGAGCTTAGAAAGAGGCCATGGCATCCAACAGGCAAGACCTGAGACTGAGCATTGAGTGACTGGATCCTTCTCAGCCCCCACTTCCCACTCTGATAGATGCAAAGCTCTGCATTCCAGCTTTGGTGGGGGACCTTCTCCTTGTGAGGAGTCTTATCTCCGTACATCTCCTGGTGTCTGAAACCAGTTTCTGCTGGGCTGTGTTGGATCTGAAGGACTCCTGCAAGCCTCACTGCTCTGCAGTGTAGTCTATGTGATGTAGCCCCAGGCTTGAGTCCCTTCCCCTCTGGGTCCCTGGTGTGGCTGGATGTTGTGCAGGACTGTGGAAGGGGGCGTGGTGGGCACCCTGGATCTCTCACTTGAGTCTGTCCTGCCTGACTTCCTCTTTTTTGTTCTCTAGATGATGATTCTGATCTGCACTCTCCTCGATATTCCTTCTCTGAAGACAGTAAGTGAAGCCCTTCTTGTGGGGAGGAAGGGAGGATGGTGGAAGAGACATCTTGAGGTTTAGTTTTCATTTGAGTCTGAAGTATTTTGTGTGTACTTTCTCTCCAGCAAAGTCTCCCCTTTCTGTGCCTCGCTCAAAAAGTGAGATGAACTACATTGACGGGGAGAAAGTAGTGAAGAGGTCGGCCACACTACCCCTCCCAGCCCGCTCATCTTCACTGAAGTCCAGCCCAGAGAGGTAAGTGGTCCCTTGGATGCTCATCCATGTCTCCCCAGTATCTGCATCCCAGGAGCTTTTGTTAGGAACAAGAAACGGAATCTCTGTGCTGTCACCTCTCGGTCCATACCCTGATCTGTGGAATAAGAATAAAAATAGCATGACTTCTCCATGAGAGTGTTGCAAGGATAAAATAAGCGATTGCACTTGGCCTTGCTATTAGGGCCTGGTTCATAGTGTGAGCATAATTGCTATTGACTATAATTAGTATAGGCTTTTATCTAGTCAAGAAGAAAAGTTTGCAGTATTAGGTATTGAAGCCAGAGTCTTCCTGAATGCTAGGCAAGTACTCTGCCACAGAGCTGGGCAGCTCTCCTTTTTCACTGTTTATTTTGAGACAGCATCTTGGTAAGTTGTTCATGCTGTTTTTGGGTGTGCCCTGTAGCCCAAGCAGGGCTTGAACTGTCAACCTTCCTACCTTAGTCTATAAATAGTTGGGATTACAGGCGTACACTACCAGGCTCTACTTATTATAAGAAAAATCTTAAATTGGAACCATCATTTACATATTCACAATAAAGACTGTAATACTAAACACAGCTATATTCTGTCATGTCTACTTACTAATATAACATGTATTATTGAGACAGATGTCCTATGGAGTAATCATCTCTTGTCACCTAGATAGGTGTCCCATGTATCCTCTGACCTCAATTTTTGCCAACTTCCACAAACTAAAAGTTCTGTGCAGAGTAAACTTATATTTCTTCTTAAATTCACATCTAGTTTCATGCATCTCTAGCTCTACAGGCAAGTGAATGGCTGTTTTAAAAGCCCACTTGTGCCTGACACATCTACCTGATGAATCTGATAATGAATATAAAAGAAAGACTGGATATACTCAGAAATTCTTTATAAGTATATTTATTAGGCACCTACTGGGTACGTTCTGTGCATATTGAATTAGACTTTGCAGAAGAATACACAAATCATTGTCCAGCCATTCATGAAAAGCAAAATATAACCATAGTGCAAAGTGCAGTAATGTTCCTGCATAAAAGTTGGTAGACGATTTCCAAAGACTCACGTATCCTTTGCAATCCATCTCTGCATGTCAGACTAAAAATTGGGACCAGGGCTGACAAGAGGCTCAACGGGTAAAGGTGCCTGGCACCAACGCTTGACCTGAGTTTGATCTCTGGAAACCACATAAAGATGGGAGGAAAGAGAACTGGCTCCACAGAGCTGTCCTTCAACTTTCACATGCACACCATGGCATGGCGCATGAATGCACGCACACCACACTTACAGAGTCTTAGTTAGGGCTGCCGTTGCTGGGGTGAAACACCATGACCAAAACGCTTGTGGAAGGAAAGGGTTTATTTCACTAGCAGTTCATCATCAAAAGCAGGACAGGAACTCACGCAGAGCAGGAACCTGGAGGCAGGAGCTGGTGCAGATGCCACAGAGAATGCTGCTTACTGGCTTCCTCATCACGTCTTGCTCAGCCTGCTTTCTTATAGAACCCAGGTCCACCAGCCCAGGGATGGCACCACCCACAAAGGACTGGCCCTCCTCCATCAATTGTTAATTAAGAAAATGCCCTACAGCTGGATCTTATGGAGGTATTTTCTAAATTGAGGTTCCCTCTAGCTTGTGTCTAGTTGACATAAAATTAGCCAACACCTAGACAGATTAAAATTAATAAAAAGAACCTCAAAACTTTGACCCACGCTGAAGTTAGCGTGTAGTAGGTTGAGATGCAGACTAGGAAAGAACTCCGGGCATACAGCTGGTGTTTGCCTAGGGCGGCTGTATACCTGGCATACAGTGGTCGCTATCTTCCAGTTAGATAAATTAAAGTTTCAGGAGTTTGTAAAGTACTGTGATTATCTGGGTGACAAGGGTTTGAGCCACAATCTGGAAGCTTGAGGACCTGCATTTATGCTTTGCATAAATTGTGTGGGAGTTCGAGTGTTTGGGGAATGTTAAAATCGTAAGAGCAGAGCGAGGAGAAAGAGTTTTTTCCAGGACAAGCCTTGCTTCGTTTTCCTCCCTTCTTTCTCTCCCTTCCTCTCTCCACCTACTGGTGCCAGGTTTTAGGAACAGGGTATCTCCATGCCCCTTGTAAAGCCAAGTTGGAGACTGAATTGGGTTGTTTGGAGAAGCAAACAGCACACCTAAATTGCTAGCCCTTGATTCCAGTTTTATACCTTGGATATAAAAATTCTTTAAGACTACCATCAACCAGGCTCAGACTGTGTGGGAAGCTGGTGCCGCTTTCATGAAAATAGGATTTTTCTTTCTACAGAAACGACTGGGAGCCCCCAGATAAGAAAGTGGATACAAGAAAATACCGAGCAGAGCCCAAAAGCATTTACGAATATCAGCCTGGCAAGTCTTCTGTTCTGACCAATGAGAAGATGGTAATGTGCATATGAAAGCCCTTTGTTCCCCTCTGCCCACGTGGTCCACATTGGACACACTGTGTAGTTGGACCATATTCTTCCCCGCTGAGATAGGCTTGTTTTGTTTAGAACAGTGAAGAAAATTGAAGTATTCTCACCCTCTGCATTTTTCAGGTCTTGATGAAAATAAGTCCCAAGTCTGCTTCTGAGCAACTGGTTTTTTGTTTTATTTTATTTTGTTCTGTTTTGTTTTTGTGGCTCTGTTGTTCCAATTGTGCATGGTTTATGGTTTTAACTCATTTTAATTTTCTACTAACAAAGATTGATCTTCTGGTTTTTTGTTTTGTTTTTAGGAAAAAAACTATCACTTTTTCAGGCTTATTGATTAAAGGTTTTTCTTTTTTGTAGGCACCTTTGGTTTGAAATGGATAGAATTTACAGAAATGACCAGACTAGCATTAAAATCATTCCAAGATGAATAAGCAATAGAATGTTGTAGCTTGGGGCAAAGCCCTGGGCTGCTAGAATTTATGTTTTAGGTCTTCTGTCTTTGATTGGCACATGGCTGAGAACTCACTAATGAAATCAGTTTACCTGATTGTCCCTTAAACAAATTTACATCTCTAGAAAATTGAGTGGGAAAATGGTGTGGAAATTCCAGGCCAACGTGGAAATGTAGTCACTTCTGTGAAACAGGAAGGCTTTACAAATTGATTAGTTCCATATCTGCCAATCATGCTTCCTTTCATTCACCCTCCATTAGAAAAAGCTGGTTTAGATTTCGGTAAATGGTTAAAGAGATTCTCCAGAGCTGCGTCAGCATGTGGCCTTCTGGCTGGACAGCGGGATAGAAGGGTTATGCTGGATGTTGGTTTCATTAAGAGCTGTTAGCCCCACTGTTCTACATGTCTTTCAATTGATTTGACTTTTACTGAAATGAAAACGTGACGTCTTTATACGTGCTGGAGTAATTTTAATTAGGGAAAAGGTCATCGGTTCACAGAAACGCTTCCAGAGTTGTCATTCTTCAGTGTTTGCTGGGCACCATGGGTATTTTAAGCAGAAAGTTAAGAGACAAGCAGAATGAATTCCTTCTGGGTCCTTGCTTCATTGGGGGCTCTCGACCTGCAGGAAATAAATGCACATGGCAACCTTCAATCCAGGGGTTGATGGGAAAAAAGCCACAGTCTTTAGTAATAAACCTGCTGGCTTCCATTGTGCATTAATACAGTCCAGTGACTTCAGGGATTCTGGAGGCCCTTGGGTGCTTTTATTTGGGCAGTGGCCATTTATAGATTGTCCTTGCTTTTACTGAAGGCACACCCTTTTTCTTAATTTTGTCTTTGTGTTTCCATCCCTTGGTCTTAGTAATTTTACCTCTATTCAGAACTAGGAAAACACATTATTTTGTTTTCCTCTTTGGTACCACAGTGCTTGGGCTCATTGGCATTATTTTTACAGATGCTGGGAAGTGCCCCACAATGCCTCCATGGAGGACCCATGGGAGTGATGGAGACTGTCCACCAGGACGGCAAAACACCATCTGTGTTTCAGTGCAGGTGCCCCTCTGAAATGTTCCAGGCCTGAGGCCCACATAGCACTATGTGGGCACCTGCCCAACAGCTCAGTTCAGTGCCCTTTACCCCAGTTAGCTCTGTCCTTCCAAAGAGAAGTTGTTTTTAGAGAGGAATTTCAGTTGAATCTTAATTTTCTGACGGTGGTTGAATTGGTCCATTATGCTTGATCTTTTTTAATCCTGCTATTTTTATCACGTGAACAGAAAAGCTGCTATGTGAATTTCTATGTGCCTTTTAGTATGAATACTGGCTGACTAGGATTTGAGCGGCACCCTCATTCATATACTTTTTGAAGAGAACTAAAGAATCATTTTATTAACCATTAAATGTGTAAACTGGTGACGAATGCAGAATCTAAGTTAGATTTTATTTTAATTTGCTTTGTCTCTTCGTGAATAGAGAAAAAACCACCACTTTTTCTTCCATTTGAGTTGCTCACAGCTACTTAATTCTGCCAGTTCAAGGAAGAGGCCCAGGCACAGCCTCTTGCCTCACTAACCAAGTAGAAGTCAACCTTTTCTCCATGGCCTTGGGCTTAGAGCAATATTGGTTTGTCCCTGCTTTGTCAGGAATGTCTAGACTTTACTCCTTTTTATACTTTTCCCCCTGAAATCTCCTATAGGACATGAGCTTCATTTAACCAAATATAGAAAGAAATAACTTTTTCGTGCCTAGCTTTGGGATAGATTTTGGAGTTCCTGTTACGTAGGAGTGTGGCAGCAAGGACAGTGAGATAGTCGTGGCAGGTACAGAATGAACATGGAAGTGTGAACAAGGGGATTTGCCCAGCCCTGCCTCCTTCTGACTCAGCTGGCACTTGAGCTCCTTCCCTGGCATTTCAGGCTAGCTACTAGCCCTGCTTGAGTTTCGTGCCATGTGCACCCTCATGAAGGGGATGAGTGTAGTTTGCAGTGCTGGCTGGATCAGCCCTCGAAGATCTGAGCTCTGGGTTCCAATCCTGACTTGGCTGTATGCCTTCAGGCAAGACAGTTAACCTTCTGAATCTCAAGGTTTTCCTTTGTGAACAGAAATATGATCTGGCCCTCCAACCTGATGGTGTGCCAGGTGATGTGGCCAACATGGGTGATGGGGTCGAAGAGCCACCAAAACTGTAAAACATGATGGAAGTGAACCCCGTGTTCACATGATTTACTAATTGAAATCTGAAGCCGGTCTTTGGCTCCTGTTCAAGCAACAACATTGTCTTTGAGGAGACGACATTTTCCTGGCAAGCTACTTGCTCTTTCCATGGATTTTATCAAGCTGGAAAGAGAGCAGATCACAGCAGGGAAGACCAGAGCCCGGCATTGTGGAAGTGCCGTGGGTATGGGAACAGGGCTCCTCTGCTTCCAGAAGGATGTTCCCTGTTAGTCTGTTCCTTGATTGGATGCACTGCCATTTATACCCGGCAGACGAATGCGGACATGCGTGCTGTTGGCAGTACTTACCTTTATGTCTGGGCAACTTGAGGCTTTGGACCCAAGTTATTTAACGTAACCTGTTTTTACTCTGCATCAACCTTGGCAGTCAACTATTATGCAGGCAGCGTTCAAGAATAAAATTAGTTAATTCTTTCAGGGCTGTAAGTATCATAACTACTCTTAGGCAGTTTCCCAAAAGGGTTGGTATGTTAGTACATTTTATAAAAAAAAAAATCCTAACCTATTCCCAGGGAATGGTTTATAAATAGTCTTTGTAAAAATAACAAATATGAAGTAGGTTTCATGGAAATCCATCATTCTAGGTTGTAGAAGGTCCCCATGGTTAAGCCATCATTCTCTAGTGGTTTGATCTTCGTGGGCATTGTGCTTCATTTCACCAAATAAAGGCAGACTATGCCGGGAAGATGGCTCAGTTGGTAAAGTGCTGGAGACCCGAGTTCAGTTCCCAGGAGAAGAGTAAAAAAGCCAGGCTTGGTTGCTTGTGCTTACAGTCCCAGCACTGGAGAGGCGGAGCCCAGGCAGATCTCTCAGGACTTAGTGGCCAGCCAGCCTTGCCCGACTGGCAAGCCCTAAGCCAATGAGTCCCTGGTTCAGAAAACAAAGTAACCGGCCCCTAAGGAACAGCACCTAAAGTTATCCTCTGATATCTACATACATGTGCAGAGCTATGTAAACACACCTGTACATACATGTGGCCACACACACACCAGGGACTATTAATGTCTGGAGGGGCAGGCCTTTTCCTTCAAGATGGAAACTCTAGAGGAAACTGATCTAGATGCAAGAGGGTGGAATTCTGCATAGATTCCCCTCTAGTTTCAAATTACATTTCAGTTAAAGAAAGTCTCTGACCGGTGCCCATGTCTTCCACCTGTAACAGCAAGAATAAACGAATGGTGTAGATGTTTCCCGGGCTTTTGGAAGAAGCGCTTGGTAGAAGTCACTAAGACAGCTTCCAGACTTGTCTGCAAGCAGCCAAGGGCTATCCAGAGGTGTCAGTGCAGCTGTAGGTGGGGCTGGGCAGCGTGTTCTCCCGTGCCATCGGCATTGTGGCCAGGGGGCAGCCCAGTTTCTCGTGGGACATCTTCAACCTCTTCAGAAACCGTGTGCATTTTTGTATTTCAGATTGTTATAGAAAAAGCGCATCTCAGCCTTTTGTCACTTTCAGAGTTATTAGGAACGTAAGAGCTTAAGCAAATGTTCACCATCAAACACGTCTGCCTCATATGATTAAACTCCTTTTATTGGAAAACTTGATGTGATTTCTGATCATCCATCGTTAGTGTTTTCAATAAGCAGTTGGCATTCCCTAGATGAAGTGCCAGAACTTTAATACGTATTTGATGAAATATTAAATCATAGAATCAAATTATCGATCTATGTGATACTTCTTAGTGTCATGCGAAGCGAGGACTCTAACTTTGGAACGCATATAACCCAGAGGTTTCTCCCCCGTTCTGTTCTCTGTCTTGTCCAGCTTTCCTGTCACTTAATTTTTTTTTCTCGGTCCTTTAACATTTATTTGTTAGAACACAGAGTATATCCTGTCTGTACCCATTCCCCACGGATGCTTGTGTCCTCTACTTTGACTTACATCACTTTTCGCTTTGCCGTGTATGACACATGGCACCTCACCTGTTCATGTGCCATTAAAGATGCAGCATTAACCAGTTGGCTTTTCTAAAGCGTCATTACTTGCATTTATTTTGGAAAACCTCAAAGCAGCCTTGCAAATAAGTACTAAACTTGTCCCATCCCCTAAAAACCGTTTGTTTTACTCTGACGTAGACGCTGAATGTTTGGTGTGCGCTCACCAGTTTATATGCTCGCAGCTAATGTATCTTTACAAGAGGAAATAAGGGCCATCTTTTCTCCAGTGCTGAAATGACTGGGAATAGCGTTCTGCCCGTATTGTTTTGTGGTGAAGAGTCGCAGTGCGGTGCCGAGTCCTCCAGCTCCAGTCCTTCTGCCTCTGCTGCAGGACTGAAAACAAAACCCTCACTGCTCCCAACCTCAGTGTCCCTGCTTTTATGAACACATCCTCTCCCTCCAGTTTCAGTGCCCTGATTTTTGCTGGTGTCGGTAAAACCGGACGGTCCCTGACAAAAGCAGGTGCTGTGTCGCCCAGAATCGCTGCATCTCTACTGGCCTGTTCCTATGTAATCTTTTGCATAATGTTATCCTTCTCTTTCTTCCATTTCCCTGTCACCAACCCTTATAGAGTCGGGATATAAGCCCAGAAGAGATAGATTTAAAGAATGAACCTTGGTATAAATTCTTTTCGGAATTGGAGTTTGGGAAACCGGTAAGTGCGATAGCTCCCGTGGTTCTACTCCTTGTGAGATAATGCTGTTGGTGCACGGTCGCTGCTGCAGAGTCAGGTCTGCGTGAGGGGTTCAGGAGTGGGAGCAGCCATGACAGTCGGCAGTAGTCGGGTAGTCTTATCTTACAGCAGCCAGTAGGCTTTCCCACCAGAAAGGACACTGAGCTCCGGGATACACTTCCTAGAACATCCAGAAAGCATGACCGAGGCATCGCTTGTCCTAGGACCATCCCTCTGCCACACCCAACAGATGTCAGCTGGTGGGTGGCATTTTTTTCTGCCATCCAGTCACTACTTGAAGCAACCTTTAAGGTACACTGAAGACAGGCATGGGAATGCATCACCGAGAAGGCCAGCGCTACGGTGCTTCAAATCGTGTTTCTGAAGCATGTGCAGGAGACATGTGTCTGAGCGGCTCCTCCCCCACCCAAAAAAAAGGTGCTTCTCTTTGTAGGTACAACTTCAGTCCAGCCCAGTGAAAGGCAGCTTTTAGGGAATGGTTTCTCTGAGTTGTGCTAGCATTTTCCAGGATTTGGAATGGAGGGTAGAATTCTAGAAAATTTAGTGTTTGGCGGCTTCCCTGAGGTATTTCTGACTTGGCAGTGCAAATTGAGTCTGGCCCTTAGGGAGGGAGTTCCTTAGTCCTGCGCCCAGATGAGTTTTGAGCACGAGGATAATCTGAGCTCATCCCTCCACTCAGGGTGATGGACTTTTAACCTGTAGTCTACTTTGATTTCCCAATGAGAACTGTAAAAGGAATTTATAGGTGGAAGAGTTGAGCATATAAAAATGAAACATTAGACATATGGACAAGACTCTAACCATTGGTTTCGGTCTTGGATGATTGCTTTGTTTGCAGAGAGGAACTGATTTTGTAGTTCAGTAAAATGTTAAATTCCATGCTGTGTATTTTTCATGAAGAAGACAACGGCAAGTCAGGCTGTGCTTTGGAGTTGCTGGTTTGGCTTAAAGATGCTGAACTTGAAAGTTCAGGTTATCTTCTGAGTTAGGAGTGCCCAGTTTCCAACATTCTGCTTGTAGTAGCCAGTAGTCCTCTCTTCTGGACCTTCCTCCATGCATGCCCCTACCTTCACCTGTTGTTGATGAAGAGCGCCACCTAGGGACAGTGGAGAGGAAGCATCTAGCCCAACTGCACTGAGCTTTCCCCTCCTCAGAGCTGCTGTGCTGAGTGCACAGCTCATTTCTTCTCCTTTCTCTCTCTTCTTTTCTGCTGCCCACCATTTGGACACTAAATTTAATGCACACAGTCTTTTCCACTTGCAAATACTGAGCAGTATCCTAATCCTCTTCCTTAAAAGCTGCTCAGTTAGGTGTAGTCCACTCCAAAACACTATGATTGATGTACAGAGCAGCGGTGTCATGCTGTACTGGCAGAAGACAGGAGATATTCATTTTCAATTACTTTTTCCAGAATCCATTGCCAGTGATTTTTGAAATCCCTTTCAGGAGCTACCATCTCCCCATCTACCAAATAACTGAACTAGTTTAATCTGAAATATTACTTTCTAGCAAAAGCTAGGGGAACTTTCTTTACTAAATTAATACTAGTAATATGTTTTTATAAGTCTATCATTGCAGACGACTTTCATTGATATTAGACAGTAGTAGTTCAACCCCAGCCTTTAGTAAACAGGTCCTGAGAATAACTTGATAAATTAACAGTTCTACCAAAAACTGTAACTTACCTCATATAAACATGGAGGATACAGGCCATTCGTCAAATAATGCCTTCTCTTTGGCAGGGTAGGGAGGAGGGGTCCTTTTCATGTAGCCTTAACTTTCAAAGACTTGTCCTAAGAACACGGGCCATGATCCCCAGGAGCCCCAGCAAGAGAACATTTACATGTGGTTCGAGCCGTCCTTAGGGTGGACTTGTTATCTAGGTGAGCCAGCAGAGTTGAGAAAGGAGCAGGAGGGCGAGGACGTTTTCCTTCTCCTTGTTGCATTATGATGAAGCACAGGGTGCACCACTGTGATGCGGGCATGCACCGTGGATGCTGCTTTGGAAGATGCATTAGCCATTCATGAGAGGAAGGCATCCTCTCTACTCTTTTTGTTGCTCTCACGCCAACTTAGGGCCATTACTCCCGGGTAAAAACCCACTAGAACTTGGCTGCCGACAGTTGCTGGGCTGCTTTTTCTTTCCCAGCCTCCCCTAAAGCCACTCAAGAAGAACTGAAAATTGCAACAAGATCCTGATTGTTGACCTCAATAAGTTGCCCCGAAATGATGGATAATTCAAGGCTCCAGGGCCGGCTGGGGTAGGGTGGGCTGGTGATTTCTAGACACTTGCTTATGGCCGTTCGTGACAGAGAAAGTCGAAAGGTACAGGATAGCACATGTAGAAAGGCCACCTGCCCAGACAGCCCCCGAGTGTGGAAAGCACTGAGAAGGAATGGTAGCTGCCTTATCACTGACCTCAGCACAGGGCCCACACACAGGCACTGCTGCTGTCGGCAAAACAGCCAGAGTCAGTTTGCTTTTCTCTTGGAGAGGCCTTACCAGAAACATGAGGGCCTGCCTTTCTTCTCCCTGCCCCTCCAATTTCTACAGAAATCGATTTGATCTCTGTCCACAAATTCAGGACACTGTTTCTCAGTGTTAAGGCCTTCGAAATGTTTTTGTAGGGCGAATTGACATGAAGCTTGTGGGCTATCTTAGGAGTTCTTGACCATCTCCGTTTCTGATCTCCCCAGAGGTCATAGTATGGGAGATCTCACATGTGCATAGACACAGTCAGAAAACCCCGTCTGTGAGAGAAGTTCAGAGTTAGCAGTCTCTGGAAGTGTGCTCAGCTCTCATCCACACACACTCTTGTTAAGCCTACAGCATCCTCCTCGCAGATTCCTACCTCTCTGATTGTCTATGAAGCGTGCAGGAGCAAGCAGAGTACCTCCGATCTGCTGAGGAGGGTGGGTGTACCTCTAGTGGTAGTGTTAACAGTGAATTCTGCTCACTTACCAGTTAAGCTGCTGGTGTGAACCCCCACTCTGGATGCTCTCGCTACAAACCGGACTCCCCTTTAGTTCAGGCCACCCTCCCATGGGTCAGATCTGTAGATTTATACATCTATTGACATGAAATAATTTTGTTTTTACAGTAGGTGAGACTATTTCCAAAATATAAACTCTCCAGTGTCAGTCTTTGGGAAAAAAAAGTTTCTAATTTGTTCAAATTGGTATTGATGCTTTTCTCCCCCTTTTAATTTTAAATTTTCATTGCTGAGGATCTGGGTTGATATACTCTTGAGACTTAAATACATTGCCTACTTAGTGCTTTCTGTCCCATCCCCGCCCCAGGACAGACAGCTGTGTGTCCTCGGGCAGGACCCCAGCCCTTTGCTTTGAGCTCACCTCTCTGTGTCGGTCGGTTCCTAGCGTGCCCCTCTTTGTTTGAGCCCCCATGTTTGTCTTTATGTCTTTATGCTCATTTCTACATTTCCTCCTCTGCTTCCCGTCAGCCTCCCAAAAAGATATGGGACTATACTCCTGGAGACTGCTCTATCCTTCCTAGAGAGGATAGAAAGGTAATCCCGTGCTTCTCCGCGGACTGTGCGCTAGACCTCTAGCTTTGGGTGCCGTGAGTGTGCTGTGGGTTTCTGCTCTTTTCTTAAATCTTTCTTTTTTTTAACTTAGTAACTTGTTTGGCCTGGTGATGAAACTATTTAACAAAGTCTGTGAGACATACTAATGTTTAGAGGTTTTTTAAACAACCCTTGTCATGGTCGCTGTACTCTGACACAGAGGAAGCAGGCCTTTCCTCACAGGTAGGTTTTTTGTGGCATTTGTAGTTCTCATTCCAAGTAGAATAGATGTCCGAAGCTCTGAGACTCGGGATTTCACTGAACATGCCTAATGTTGCTTTCTCTGTTTACACGTCTTTAGACTAATTTCTAGTGAGCTCTTGTGATTGCGTTAGGTCTTCGTGACCCTATTAAAATATGACTCTTTAAAAGAAACATACCTCATTTTCAAACTTAACCTTCCATTCCTTTTCCTTTTCTCTAAACTAAAACCTTCTTTCTCATCTTTTCTTTCTTGAACCAGACTAATCTAGAAAAAGATCTCAACTTCTGCCAAGCAGAGTTAGAGGCAGATTTAGACAAAGTGGAGACGGTTAATAAGTCACCCAGTGCAAACTCGCCACAGGTATTTCCCAGTTTTTCTCTCCATGTCGGTTCCTTTTCAAGCCCTGCTTTGCTTTGTTCTCTGTCCTTTGGCTTTATGTTGTGGAGATGATAGGGGGCGATGCTGCTAGCTTTAAATGCATGGCTTTCTGAATGCTGTTCACATACTCACACGCACACACTCTCACACACAAACACACTCACACACACAAACACACACTCACATACACACAAACACACACATACACACAAACACACACACATGCACACTCATACACACACTCACACATACACACACACACTCACACACATACACACACTCACACACATACACACAAACACACACACACATGCACACTCATACACATACACACAAACACACACTCACACACATACACACAAACACACACACATGCACACTCATACACACACTCACACACATACACACAAACACACACTCAAACATACACACAAACATACACTCACACACATGCACACTCATACACACTCACACACACACATGCACACTCACACACACATACATACACACAAACACACTCACATACATATGCACACTCATACACACACACTCACACACAAATACACACACACATACACACACACAGAGTCAGTTTTTGTTTGGATTCCTTTAGAGCTTGGCATCTTCCTTAAAGGGGCTTTTCAAATACAGGATAGCTGATAATTTGGCTTCTCCCCTACTCACCATGCCCCGGACTACTTCTTTGATGACCTTTTAAAGTGATTTCCTTTGTCTTCTTTGCGTTTCCAGAGTGCTATTGGGGGGGGGGGGCAGTTTTTTTTTCTCTTTGTAGCCCTGGGAGATGCCAACCTCAGAGGTCATTTTGAGAGACACGGCAGCAGTAACTGGGTTCAAGGCAACAGAAATAGCAATGGTGTTTGTCATTGTGGAGGTCAGCAAGTTCCCAATAGAAAACACACTCCAGATATCAAATAGCCCAGAAACACACGTTTGAAACTGGGCCTGTGATAAAATGTCTGTGTTAAGAGGTAGGAAGGGGTAAGGAGAGAGCCAGTCCAAGGTAAACAGACTTGTAGGGAGAAGCTGAATGTTTGCTGAAGTGGGCTTTAGGTTCCCTGACAAAATTGAAGAGATTCATAGGAGAAAATAATGGCTTTAGAAGAAATTTATAAAAAAAGTAACGTAGACAGACACTGCTGCAGTGGCCAGGAAGGAGGAAAAGTGCAGTTGATAATGGACCTGTACCACATGTAGGCATTGTTGAGAAGAGTCGGAACACCAGTGCGAGGGAGTTGGGCACGAAAGTCAGGTGAAGGCTAGAGGCTCAAACCCAGGAAGGGGCAGAGAAACCACTGTTTGATGGTGGCCTCCCTGTGAGTCTGGGGTAAAAGAGTGGGAAGCCAGTGAGCTGTGGCAGTCATGGCTGCTTCCTTGGGGTCCGTTGAGACACCAGTGGATGAAGAAGACAGTGGTCGCTAGGCCCTTCTCCTCCATCAGAACTGTAAGAGGCAGAGAGTTAAGCTGTCACACACTCAGTTGAGACAGGCAGGTAATTGAGGTGAAGATAGAGTGGGATTCTGGGTTTCTAATACGGTGGAAGCTGGGACCTGGTATAATTACTGTGGGGTTGAAGATTCAAGGAAGTATTATCCAGCTTGTTCTCTGATGCGTTCTGGCTGTGGGTAATAATAACAATGACTGACATGCTGGGTGAGAGGTCTATAGTAATAGGCTGGCCCAAGTGAATCAAGAGACGCTTTCAGAGTAGTCAAATGTAACAAGGAACTCCTGCAACTCATGCAGAGATGGGGGCACAGCTATAGCCAATAGCTACCTCTGTGAGGGCACAAACCCTGCCAGGGAAACCGTGGTGTCTGACGTATCCACAAACCATTTCCATTGGTTATTTGGTGCTGTTAGTCTTGAACATATGTGAGGCATGCTTGCAGGGGCTCTATACACAAACCAGCTAGATGAGAAATCTCTGGTGGGAATGGGGGGACTGGACAGGTTTGGGAAAGATTATAGACTCAGGTGTGTGACTGAGGAGATGTTGGGGTTCCTTCAGACCATTGATGTAGCGAAAGAGGTGTTTGAGTGAGAGCACCATTCCCTTAGAAGTCGAATTGAAGGCAGGACATGGGAATGTCAGAGGCTCAGTGAGGAGGCAGCTGCAATGGTCCAAGTAGACAGCGGTAGGAGTCCACACAGTGGAGGCACCGAGAGGGAGGAGGGAAGGCTAGATGGAGAGAGGCTGCCAAGGGAGTTGCAGTGGGCTAGTTTGTGTAGCTGGCATGAGGATGGTGAGCTGAGGAAAGGGAAGAGATGGATAACCTTAGGGTTTGGGTCAGAAAGCTGGTAAAGTACGGATATCAATATGTTGAAGAAGCCAGAAAGAGAATCAATGCAGAGGTAACGTTATGGTGTTGGCTTCAGGCATTTGGCTTCTGGGGTGCTGGCTGGAGATCAGGTAGAGATATCCAGAAGGTGATAGGAACTATAATACTAGATCTTAGGAAGCAGGCAAGGGCTTAAAAGGCCTATCGGAGTTGCCTGTGGGGGGGGGGGGGGGGGTCTTGGGAGTCAGTGAAGATGTCCACCAGTCAGCAAGTGAAAGACTGAAAGAGGTAGGGACCAACAGCTACCACTCAGATGTTGGATGGCATTGACAAGACAAGGGACAGGAAGGACAGTTCAGAGAGATGGCGGGTTGTATGATGGAGCAAGAGGAGAGAGACAGAACTACCCAGCTGCTCAGAGAGATCAAAAGGAATTCTGAGTAGCAAGATGACGAGTGCAGTTGCTTGCTGTCTTAAGTTTGACAACTGGGTCCCCTTCCTGAAACTGGATGGAGCAGGTGGAAGGAAAGAACTGAGAGTTGCTCCCTGGCCTCCGTGAATGCACCGTGGCACACATACCTTCCCCAACACAGTAATAAACAAACAAGTTAAAAAAGATAAACCCCCAGGATAGGTCCGTGGAATGGGTTGTAGAAATTTATAGACTTTGGTTTCTGGGTATTAGAGTTTGTGGAAAGGAACCGGAGTCCTGCAGGGATGTCATTATTGAGGACATGTGGGGAAGAAACATGTGGATCGGGGAGGGAGAAGACAGGGAGGGGTGGTAATGACCCCGAAGGACTTAACAGGGCCATGTCAAAGTTTTTCATGATGGACATACTGACAAGGTCTTCGAAAGTATAATCCCGAATGGGGCAAATGCCAAGAAGTAGGCCCTTTGTGGCAGGAGGTGGACAGGTGGCATCAATATAGCCGGAAGGGTTAGAGGATGATGGGGGAGGGGGATGAGCAGAGCTCTGGGAAGTAATGGCTGTGGGGGAGGAGAGGCAAACCTCACAGCAGTGCCTCGAAGGGAAAAGGACCCAGACTGACAGGCTGGAGCTGAAGACTTGAGTGAGGAACCACCAATGAAGCCACCGCTCCTCCCTGTAGTCTCCTCTGACCCACAGTCCCTTCCTCCCCTTTCTGTACCCTCCTTTTCTCTGAGTGTCTCTCTCCAGGCAGTTTGTTTTCCTTCAGACGGTTATTAGCAGACAGGATGATGATAGTCGTTATTAAATAGGAATAGCTGTGAATGTTGGCTTCTCCATTGATTTACTTCATACAAATATATTGAACCCTTGGCATTTTTTTTTTCTCCAATACAACCAAAGCACCTCTAAATTACAGATTCGGTTGCTTTCACTTTCTAGGAGCTCTTGGCTGACTTCTTCCTTTTGTTAGTGGCCTGTAGTTTTATGAAGCATCCCCCCAACCCATACTGACAGTGCTGTTACTGGATTTTGTGAAACTGTGTCTCGTCTTCACACTTCTCAGTCTCCAGGCATAAATGGATTGTGTAAACATGGTGTGATCATCTTAAATGCATTTAAAATGCAGTCTCTACCTAGAGTGTTGTGTGACCCTCCTGGATGTGGTGGCATTTGGGGTGCATGAAAGGACCCACGGTGGACTTGGCGGGGTGTCTGAGGACTGGGGAGGCACAGATGAAGGGGCTTCTGCTTCCTGGGGTTGCGGCTGAGGATAAATGTGAGCTGAAGTCCACCTCCAGGCCCATCTGTGTTGGTGGCTTCATCTCCTTTGAGGCAAAAGACGAGAGCCCGGCACCCCCCAGTCTTTGTGTCCAAGCCTCTTGTCCCTCAGGGGCACCATCTACTTGACCGAACTGAAGTGGCTTGTCTCCTTTCCTTTGCTTTGCAACCTGTAAGTCCACCCAAATCACGGTTCCTTTTTACATTATTCCTTTTTCTGTTTGACTTTTACAGAGCTCAGCAGTCAGCCCGACTCCAGACGTTACCTCAGAGCCTCCTGGATAGTAAGTAGCCACTCGGTGTTTTCAGGGCTAGACAGGGTGAGAAAGCCTGGTGGTTTGGACACGGTGTTCATCTGTGTCTGTCTGGTGGTGTCTGGTGGGAAGCAACAAAGGCTTCGGTCCTGAGAAGGGCTCAGGGCAGTGGGAGTCCTGTGCTTTGGACCTTGTCATTCAGTAGTTTGATGGTATTGTAGTTTTCAAATTAGTTTTATTTTGTTCTCTTTTTCTCGGAATTATTGTTACAATGACTCATGTTGCCTTCTACTAGCTTTTCCCCAGGTTGATACCTTTACCTCAGGAATGTGAAATTATTTGTCTATGTTTATTTTAATTTTATTTATTTCACGTGTGTTTGAGGGTATGCGTGTATGTGTGTGTGAATGTGGATGTGGGGGGTGTGAGGGTGTGGCTGTGGCTGTGTGTGGCTGTGTTGGTGTGGGTGTGTGTGCGTGTACATGTGTGTGTGTGTGGGTGTGGCTTTGGGTGTGGGTGTGTGGGGTGTGTGTGTGTGTGTGTTGGTGTGGCTGTGGAAGTCAGAGGACAAGCTTTTGGAGTCACTTCTCTTTTTACTGTGAACTCTGGGAATCTAACTGGGTCACCAGGCTTACATACCAGTTGCTTCTCTCTGCTGAGCCGTCTTATTGACCTGTTTGTCTACATTCGAGTCAAAATTGCCCTTAGTGGATCTTTGAGGGAAGGGCGTGTAGCTAGGATGTACCAGACCTGGAATAAAGATAGAGGGGCAGATAGTGGGATTAGGTCCTATGGCCAGTCCTGGCTTGTAGGATGAAAAGCTAGAGCCTAGATTTTCATATGGACATGGATTTTCCCCCTTCTGTCAGTTTTTAATATTTTGGCTGCACAATAACATGTACCTCTCATTCACTTCTTCATGAAGTAACTGATACTGTCTAGGGGTGCAGGAATGGTTTTATTTTCTCCGACAATTAATTGAAAGACAGGAGAGAAATGGAAATCTTGGGGTGTCCCAACAGAGCTACCATATGATATGTGGGAAATTGGGGTCCCCTTTTGTTTTTTAGTTTTATTAATTCAAGAATTTAAGAATGGGTATACATAAAAGCTTGAGGACATCTTACTAGAATGGAAAAGGAGAACCCCAAGGCGTCAGTCCCTTAGCTGCCTGGAAGGAAGGAAGAGGATGGAGAATGAACAAAAGCCACCTTGCTTGAGATAGGCCTTTACAGGACAGTCACCTGGCAGCAGGCAGCCCGTGGTCGGTATGGGAGATTTTGAAAAAGTAAGGAAGCCCAAAATGTGAATTAGGGAGCTTAAAGGCATTCTTAAGTTCTGGCCAGCAGCTGGGGGGGAAAAAAAAAAAAAAGAAAAGGAGAAAAAAATAGTTACATTTTTCTGCATCAGGCTTCAGAAAGACTTGCACATCTAGCTGAACCTCGTGCTGGCTAGATTCACAAGGACTGCACGTGGAGGTGGGAATTCTGGAAAGGAAAAGTACATTATCGTAAGATAAACCTGTCTAACTAGAGATGACCCAAGCCACTGACCAGCCCCATTGGATTCATCTTTATAGGAGCAGACAAGGGCATGTCTCCACCTACAGGTCGATCCCATTCTTCACATAATCAGAGACCTAACTCCTCTCCCAGCATGCTTTTCCCAGGGCTTTTCCATGCAGCTGTTATCCTGGCTGAGTATTTCCAGGGCTCCCCTTATCTTACCCCAGTAGATCTGTAGTAGATAGCAAACTCTTCTGCTATGTAAACACGTACTAACTGAACTTGCTTATGCCCAGGCTATATTAGTGCTTCTGGCCTCCGCCTTCACTGCCAGCTATCTTGAGTTATTTGTGTAGACTTTCCTAATTGCTGATTATAAACCCCCTGAGGGCAAGGCCTTCCACCTCCAGGGTGCCAGGTAGACCTGCCAAGAATTGAGATGCTGGTTTTGATTGCAGTGAGCATTTTAACCAGGACTCTCTGCCCGCCTTGCTTCAGGGTTGGCTGGAGTTAATGGTGCTGCCTGGCCTGCTCGCTGCCTCTCATCTTGAACTACAACGGACAGAGAAGCCTGCTGCACTGAGTGCCCAGCTCAGTAAATTCCTTAGGTCAGCTGGCACTATGCTGCTTATCACAGTAGGAATTTTGGAATGGTTCCTTGATTATCTGGGAGATTCCCTCACCCCCACAAAATGAGCATAACAAATGAGAGACAGAACGGCAGAGGAATAACGTGTATAAGGGTTAAAAGTGGACATCACTACTGTGCTCAGTCAGGGCTAAGAACACAGGTCTCCCCATACTTCGTTGCTGTTCACTGAGCACCCCAGGAGCAGGTGTAACCATCAGTCTCCAGTGTCCTGGTGAGGAAATGGGCGCTCTAGGACCGTGTCCTGCCTACAGTTCCACAGCTGCTGTGGGAGTGTTCTGCCCAGAGGAGAAGTAGTGATGCTCTGGACCAGATGTTGATAGCAGAACCTCATCTAAACTGTACTGATTCTAACTTGGTAAGAATGTAGCTGAATTTTGAGCTGTTAAATTCATTGTAAGCAACTCTTTGCAGCACTGGCCTAGCAGGATTAGAGGTGGCGAATCTAAAGTGCTTCACAGAGTCCCCTTTTCTCAGACCCCCTGAGCCTTTGTGATGATACTTGATGTGATGTTATCCCAGCCAGTCTTCCTCCCTTTCTCCCTCCTGGCCTCCCTCTCGTTTTTCTTTTGATGAGGTCTCACTGTTTAGCCTTGGCTTTCCTGGATCTCTCTTTGTAGATCAGACTGATCTCAAAACTCACAGAGATCTGCCTGCCTCTACTTCCTGAGTGCTGGGGTTGACAGTGTGCACCACACCACACCAGGCTTCCAGTCTTATTTATATTACTGAAATAAGTCTCCAAAGACCTCACTTTTGTTTTGGTGTGTGTGGGGGGTAGCTCATCTGAAATACTTAGTAGGACAAACTGGATCAAATACGTAAGCTATCTGGAGCTGGCGGGGAACCAGCCCAAGCATGGTACCTGAAATAAAGGGAAGCATGCATTTATTGGGCCCATAAATCACAATTTACCGGACCCCAGCTTGCTAAGCACAGAGGCAGGCCGTTTGCACACTGAACCTGGAGCTCTTGATGGAGGTACTGGGGTGACACGTTGAGGGGAGCATTGCCAAGGGATGAGGAGAGGCTTGCAGCTTTGTGGAGCCTACAGAATTAGTTTTAAAGCCACACTTTCTTGGGCAGACTGAAATTCAGAATTTTGTTCATGAGCACTTGTTATCTCACAATTTTAACAGAGCTGGATTCGGCAGCACGCCAGATGACTGACAGTTCAAAGCCAGCCTGGGGGAATGGGAAACATTGACTCAAAAGACAAGCAAATAAGCAAATGATGGTGATGATGATGATGATGATGATGATGATGATGATGGCGGCGGCGACAGGGCAGGGGGTCGGGGGGGCGGGGGGGTGGGAACAGTGTCAACCATCTTGTGTTCATGGTCAGTCAATGTCCCAGCATTCTAACTGACCAGTCCTTTCCCCCAATTCCTTTTGTTATAGTTACTGTCATAGCATATGCCTGGCTTTATATTTTATTCCCCAAGTGTTTCTGGATCTTTAAGTTTGTAATTTTCATCTAACCATTGCTTATCTTTTCAGCCTATTAAAACTGTCTTTGCTTAACCAAAAACTCTTTGCGCTATTTAGCCAGAAGGTGGCAGTCGAGGAAAAGCTGCTCTTTCTGAACCAGCAGAGAGAGCAGTTTCCTTAATCTGAAAGCAAAACACACGCTAAAGAACTGTATAAAACACTGATGATTCCCCGGTTCCTGGCCATACACTAGAAGCTTCTCTGTGTGTAGGTATTTGAGTTTGGCATCATTCATTCCATCAGCATTTGTTAGAAGGCCTACATGGCACCAGGTTTAGGAAGATTAATGCAGTCAACAGTCTGCCAGGGCTCACTGTGTAATGGGAAACAGATTGCTTAGCAGTGACTTGAATCCAGCGAGGCTGGTGTAATGCTGGGATCCAGAAGGGAGTGGGCACCTCTTACTGTGCAGAGGGTAAGAGATCAAAGGAAGGCTTTTTAGAGCTGGGGGGGGCAGGGGGGGAGAACAAAACAATAATGAAAATCAAAAAATAAATGACTTAGAAGACTGTATGGACCGCCTCCCACAAAACTACATTAACCACAATTGCCTGGTATTCTTTCTGAAGTTGTCAGTTGTTTTTGAACAAGAAGGATTTAAGGTTTATTTTCTTTTAAATTATGTATGTGTACATATGTCTGTGTGAGGGCATGTGCACCAGAGTTCAGTGTTCTTGAAGATGAGAAGAGGGTGTTGGATCCCCTGGAGCTGGAGTTAGAGGCAGTTGTGAGCAGGCTGAAGTGCTGGGAGCTGAACTTGTCTTCTGTAAGAGCAGGGTGTGTTCGTAACTGCCAAGCCATCTCTCCTAGGCTAGAAACTTTGGTCAGTTTTGTTATCTCTTGCACCTTGGAGAGTGACTGATAGGTAGAAGGTGTTCGATAAGTACTTGTTTAGTAAATTAGCACATGCTGTGTTGCCACACATCTTTCCTGGAGATAATACCAACAGTGATTGCAGGGAGTTGGGACTGGAGGCTGGGAGGGGTTTCATGTAGCAGGATCATAGATAATGATAGTGAAACGACAGCTTGGTAGAAGAGAGGAAGGCGGTTAATGTAGGCTAGCTTGAAAGCTGGACGTGGTGGCTGATAGGGTTTGGGGAGGAAAGAGAGGAAGGGGCTGATTCCCTAGGCTTTCTGCTTGAGTATGGGCAGGTGGTGGAACAAGCCAGGTATGGGGTGGGATGTGCTGGGCTGGAGATGTCTCAAGAGCATCCAGCTGATGTGTCTGGCAGTCAGCGTGGAGTCTGAAAGAAGGGCTTACAGGTTCGCTGGTGGATTTGCTAGACAACCTCACTATCAGTGTTAGTTTAGCAAATGAAAGAAACTGAAGCCAAGAAAACCATCTTGTTTGCAAGCTTTCAAACAACCTAAGCATCAGCACTTCTCAGCTGGAATTCCTTGTTGGAATCTGGCTTTTCACACCCTGTCCACTGCCCCAGACCGCTCTGTTAGTGCACCTGGACGCAGCTGACGCAGAGTGGACGCAGCTGACGCAGAGTGGTCGCTGCACGTGACGCAAGAGACACAGAGTGGTCACTCTGCTCTCTCACTTTATTCTTCCAGTGAGTGTGTTTCTGTTGAAACCTCTTTAAATCCCATGGCCAGCTCTGCATCTCAGCCAGAGTCTCAGTTCTCTGCCCTGTCTCCCGGCTCTCTCAGTCGGAACCCAGATCTGACTCAGTACCGGCTTCTCAGACAGAGCTGAGCTTCCGAACTTGCCTGGTTTTGTTTAATGTCAGTAGCTGCTTACTCTGGCTGTAGCTCCTTCACTCAGCCTGCAGGCCAGCGTGACTTCTCTCAGCTCTCATCTTTTTGGATATAGCAAAGTCCTAGCAACTCTGTGACCTTAAGCAAAGGCAGGCACCACTCTGGTCCTCAGTTTCCTCTTTTGAGCAATGGAACAAATGACCCTACATTAGGAAGGCCGTTGAAGATGGTGTGTTTAAAAACATGTCCTGAGACCCTTACACACTGCTCTTAAATAAGGTGCCTCGGTTGTACCTCGGGCACCTGGGAAAAACATTCTTTTGTTAACTTTGGTATCAGAAAGAAAACATTTGGCCGTAGCAACTGCATTCCCAGAGGTTTCCCGAGTGCTGGCTTGTCATTCTGTGAGAAGCAGGAAGAAATGAGTGGGACACCGAAAGGCAGGCTGGGTGGGGGAGTACCGAGGGCTGCTGAGGTAGAGGCCCTAGGTCAGGCAGCTGTGAGAAAGGAAAGGAAAGGTAGGTAGGAGGTCTGACTGAGCCTGAGGTCATTCAGAACGAAAAGGTGGCTGGTAGAAGTTGTCCGAGCTACTCTCCAGCACCACGGGCTGGACAGGACCCTCATATCAGAGCCCTAAGTCCCCCTAGCTGGGGGTTGACAAAGTCAAAGGACCAGATATGTGGATAGTTTTGCAGTTGAATACGGTGTTGTGTTGATCTTTAATTAGGAAACCCAATCAAGTGAAAAAACTGCTTTAGATGAACTTGTACTTTCTGGAGGCAGGATCTATAGACCCATCCTAGGGTCCCCCTTTTTAAACAGGAGTCTATGATTTTTTTTATCATAATCTTGGGATGGAAGGGTGGAGGTTTGTTTTTTTTTTTTTTTTTTTGCAAACCCTATAGGTCAGAAGCTACATGGGCAGAGCCAGTGTCTTCAGGCTGACCTCTGAGCCCAGGAAAGCCAAACCCCTTTCTCTGAGGTATGGGTGGTACTTTCAGGCAGATTTGCGGGATACCTGTGATGACAGATACCAGGGGTCAGCATCTCTAAATCACTTTTTTTTAAAGGAAGAATATCTCAATTCATGGTTTTACATACCTCAGCCCAAGTTTGCCAAGTTTTACACTTAGAAACTATGTAGCCTTTTATTCATTCAGAATCTTCACCTGGTGCCCTCATGGGCAGTGTGGTCTAGGGGGCTGTGGGAAACAAGGCAAAGCCTTGAGGAAAAGGTCAGCCCATCCTGATTTTGCGTTTCCTCCCAAGTGAGAGATGAATTGCTTGGTGCTTGCTTCATTTTTATCCGCGTGAGAGATGAACCGAGAATACCGCTTGGTGCTTACTTTGTTCGCATGGTTTTCAGCTTTGAGACTTAATTTTCTTGTCTTTGGGGTTCCAGTCTTTTCCCCCCATTTCAGATAATAGGAAAAAAAATCCCTTCATCCAGGCTCTAGGGAGTAAGAAGCCCGTGTAGCCTCGGGCAGGTCCTCTGCAATGGTGGTAAAGCTCTGAGCCTTCAGTGAGCATGAGGTACGGCTAGTTAGTGGCAACAGCTATGAGGGCTGATGCTCGTGCTGGAGGCACTTAGGGCCTGTAAGGTGTAGGCACCACTGCATCTCCGGGGCTCCTCTCTTCCTTGAGTCCTGCGTTCGGGTACCACTTGTTCCCAGGCTGGAGTCTTGGCAGATGATGCTTGGTGATAATGAAAATGAAACTCAGATACCCTTGACTCGGGCAGTGTGTGAAGCACTGCCTCATTGGCCAGATGGAAATAGTCTAAGACACCATCAGAGAATGCAACCTCCATCCAGCTAGGGTTCTGGCTCTGCAATCTGCTGATCTTGCCTACCTTGACAGGCTATCTAATCTATCAGGGCTTCATTTCCTTATCTAAAAACCAAAGGAAGAGAGGTGTGTGTGTGTGCGTGTGTGTGTGTGCCTTTTATGTCATACTTTTTTTTGCCATTGTTATCTGTAATTATTGGGACTCAAGCTGAATGAAGGGCTGGGTTTGTGGACTATGGAAAGTTCCATCAGTGGGTAGACACAAAGACAAATGGATAGACATATGATTAGTAAGTACCTTTCTATGTTCCCTGGAGAACCTCGGTGGGATTGATATGAGTGGCCACTCTTCCCATTCTTTAAACTTTTCTATATATCTGATAATACAATAAAATATTAGAGTGAATGAATTCCATGAGGCTGTTGGTCTTTAAAGTTGACAAATCTTATGATAACAGGAAAATGATCTCATTAGGATCAAAAGTATATAACAGAAGCCTATATACTTTTATGAGAAAGACATTGTTCTCTTCTGGAAGAATGAGGAGGTATATGGAGTAGAGGTAGAACGAGACCAAATATGTGTCATGTTAATGCTTCAGCAGGTTAGAGCACAGGAAAAGCAGATATGCAAAGGCAGCTCAGTGAGTAAATACTTTGGGGTTTTTTTCCTGTACCACACCTCATTCCAAAAAGAATTTGTAATAACTTGAAAAATACCTAGATTTCAAAGAAGATAAAAATAAATGAAGGCCTAGAGAAATGGCTCAGTGCTTGGGAGCTCTTACTGGTCTTGCAGGGGAACCAGGTTGGTTTCTAGCAGCTCACGATTGTCTGTGACTTTAACTCCAGGGGATCTGATGCCTTCTTCTGCATTCTCTGGGCACTTCAGCCATGTGGTGCACATATATGCACACGCAGGCACACACTCATACACATAAAATAAAAATAAATAGACCTTTAAACACATAAATGAATCAGAGGTTGGAATGATGGCTCAGCAGTTAAGACCACTTGTAGGGCTTGTAGAGGATCCAAGTTCAGTCCTCAGCACCCACATGATGGCTCACAACCAAATATAACTGTAGTTCTTAGGTGTCCAGTGCCTTCTTTTAACCTGTGTAGATACCGGACATATATGTGGTACATGCATACTTGTGGGCAAAGCATTCACATATATATATATATATATATATATATATATATATATATATAATCAGAATAAAGTTTATACTTTAAAAATAACAAATGAAGCAAATAAGTGGGCAATGGTGTGTAGATGAGAAACGGTGTCAGGTTCTGACAACAGCTTTGAAGGAAATGAATGCAAGATGTGGCTCTGATATTGGGTGTGGTGGTTTATGCCACTATGAGGCTGAGACCAGATCACCTGAGCCAAAATCTCAAACCAAAACTCTAGCTGTGATAAGGGCACCTAGAGTTCCAGGTTCTGACTTGGCTCGGTTGTTCATTTCCCCGAGGCCACAGAATGCTAGGGCTGTCTTCCTTTAGCTGGTGATTTTGATGGTTCTGTCAGCCAAAGCTCTCATGCAAGGTAACCTAGAAAAACATGATCTGGGCCATGGGCTTGAATGTGCTGGCCATACCTCTGGCCTCTGCATCCTCTGCTCACATCCCTGGATGTACCATCTTGTGTCTGGCCACTTGGCTCCTTGTTATCCTATCCACCCCCATTTTTTTAAGATAGGATCTCACTGTGTAGATCAGGTTGGCCCCAAACTTAAACTCCTCGTGCCCCAGTCTCCCAGGTACTGGAATCACAACCCTTATTTATTTCTTTTATTCTTTTTTGGGGGGATGGGGAAGGGTCTGAGACAGGGTTTCTCTGTATAGCTTTGGAGCCTGTCCTAGAACTAGCTCTCGTAGACTAGGCTGGCCTCAAACTTAGAGATCCACCTGCCTCTGCCTCCTGAGTGCTGGGATTAAAGGTGTGCATCACCACCCCTCGGCTCCTTATTTATAATTTAGACAAATGTAGACATTACAACTTCGGGAGCTTTGTTGCTTAGGTAGTGTTCCTGTGCTCCCAAGCCATGGTGGCCTACCTGTCCACAGAAATCTATGTCTAAATGAACAAGCCCTGAGAAAGCCCAGGGCCTGAGGAGGAAGCCAGAAAGATTAGCTTTCTTCTCAGCTGGTGACAAAGGGGCTTTCTAGAAGAATGCTGAACAAACTAACTTTATATGTTTTTCCTCCCTCTCCTTTTCTCTTTTAAAATGACTTTGTTTGTAGTATATATTCTTCCAACTTCCATGCAGTGAAGAGAGAATCAGATGGGACCCCCGGGGTTCTTGCTAGCTTGGAGAACGAGAGGCAGATTTATAAAAGTGTCTTGGAAGGTGGCGACATCCCTCTTCAGGGCCTGAGTGGGCTCAAACGACCCTCCAGCTCAGCTTCCACTAAAGGTAACGGATAGGCTGAAGACTGCAGGCGTCTGTCTCCTACATGCCTGTCACCTGAGTGTTGGCAGCGGATGGACCTCCAGCAGCAGGGGACAGCTCTGCCTGTTCAGGTCCACGTCCAGGCCTTGGAGTCTTCTTGTGCCCCCTCACCTATTTCCTTGCCGGCCATTTTTCTTTCTGGTATTAACGGTCCCCACCACCAACCCCAACCTTGTTCTCTCTGAAACATCTCTCTCTTTTTTGTTGTTCTAATACTGTTTTCCTAGAGTTAGCCGAGCTTTAGCCTTCCTTAACTCGTGGGGTAGCCATTTCTTTCGTTGCATCTTCGCACCTGCTTTGCAGCACAAATTATTTTGCTTCTGGACATCAACTGGAGACTTTTTAAAGCCCTTATGACAAATGAGCATGTTACCTCTCCTTTTTTTTTCCTCTCCCTTTTTTTTTTCTTCTTCTTTAAGGCAGCTTTCAGCTTTAACCTAATGGGTGTGTTTATTTTATTCTGCATGCTTACCAGTGGATCGTAAAGGCGGGAATGCTCACATGATTTCTTCATCATCAGTCCATAGCCGAACGTTTCACACTAGCAATGCCTTAGGCCCTGGGTGTAAGCCCAAGAAACCCCTGTCGGCTGCGAAAGCCTGCATTTCGGAGATCCTTCCTTCTAAATTCAAACCCAGGCTCTCTGCTCCCAGCGCTCTCTTGCAGGAACAGAAGAGTGTCCTGTTGCCCTCAGAGAAGGCTCAGAGCTGTGAGAACCTTTGTGTTTCTTTGAATGATCCCAAAAGAGGCCTCCCACTCCGAGTTGGGGGGAGCATCGAGAACCTGCTGATGCGCTCGCGGCGGGATTACGACAGCAGGTCCAGTAGCACCATGAGCCTCCAGGAGTACGGCACCAGCGCCAGGAGGCCCTGCCCTCTTTCCAGAAAGGCCGGACTGCACTTCTCCATGTTCTACCGGGACATGCACCAGATCAATCGAGCTGGCCTCTCCTTAGGCTCCATCTCCTCCTCAAGTGTGCGGGATCTCGCCTCCCACTTTGAAAGGAGCAGCCTGGCATTAGCCAGGGGTGAGCTGGGTGCTAGCCAGGAAGGCTCAGAGCATATCCCCAAGCACACTGTGTCTTCCCGTATCACAGCCTTTGAGCAACTCATTCAGCGGTCCCGGTCCATGCCATCCCTGGACTTCTCTGGCAGGCTCAGCAAGTCCCCCACACCCGTGCTGTCTAGAAGCGGCCTGACTTCAGCTCGTTCAGCCGAGTCCCTCCTCGAGTCTACCAAGCTCCGTCCAAGAGAGATGGATGGGATGAACTCTGGAGGGGTCTATGCATCCCCCACGTGTAGCAATATGGCGGACCATGCCTTGAGCTTCAGGAGCCTTGAGCCTTCTGAGCCCCTTTCTATCTGTTCAGATGAGCTAGACCACTGTTCCAATGTTTCTAATGACAGCAGGGAGGGCAGCGGGGGCAGTGTCCATGGAGACTTCCCCAAGCATCGCCTCAACAAGTGCAAGGGCACCTGCCCGGCCTCGTACACCCGCTTCACCACGATCCGGAAGCACGAGCAGCAGCAGTCCTCCAGGCAGCCAGACTGGCGCTCCGATTCCAGGGGCGACAGGAACAGTCTCCTCAGAAACATCTACCTGATGAGCCCCCTCCCTTTTCGGTTGAAAAAGCCCCTGCAACACCACCCCAGACAGCCTCCCCCCAATGACTCCTCAGGCCCCCCTGCCAGCCAGAAGGCAGATGTCCCCAGTCAGGGCCCTCAAGACCAGCCCCACTCTGAGGGGAAACCCATGGTCCCCACCCGCCTATCTTCCCGACACACCATGGCAAGGCTTAGCCACAACTCAGAGCCCTCTCTGGACAGATCTGCAGGCCTGGAGGATTGCACAGGGGCCGTTAATAACGGGAACCCCGTGCCCTACTCAGACCATGGCATGGACAGGAACAACAATCCACAAAGGGAACTGGCAGCGGCCCATGGAGGTGGCATTTTGTGTGTTTGACCGGTCTCACCTCCCCTGTCTCCACTTGGCTTGCTCTGTCCCTCCCTCTGTGTGCCCTCAATGCTCATCTTTTGCCTTGTCTTTTGCTTCTGTTTGTTTTGCTTGGCAATTAACCATGGCTTGTAGTGGCTGCACTTCTTTAAAAAACAAACCCCCCACTTCATTTAGACTAACCACCAAACTGTTTCGAAAGAAAAATTGGCCGTTTAGCTTATATCCAAGAACTGGGTTCATTTGAACTCTCAAACCCCTGTTGGCATCAATCCCCAGTCTCCCTGTGGTTTTTTGAGAGGCAGCCTCTCTCCGTGGCCCCATGTGTGTGAGTGTATGGTCTGTCCCTGTTAGAGCCTGCACGCCTCTTTGTGGGGACGCTTAAGAGAATGTCCCTTTCTTTGCTCACCTTTGGCCTTCTGGTGAGTTGTCTTTGTATTAAACTGGTTTGTAAGTAAATCAAAAAAGCCGGTGGGGTTGGGGCTTAGGGTTTTTTCTTCAGAATTTGTCATTAAGTGTTTTTTCAACAATGTTTATAAACTTGACCTTAATAATAGAAAAAACCTGGCTTCCCACCAAACCTTGGCCCGTTTTAACTCTGCTCTATTGTTTTGAAGATTCAGAGTCACCAAGACATTTTATACCAGCTGATTACTTGGAGTCTGCGGAAGAATTTATCCGGAGACGGCATGATGATAAAGAGGTAATTCTCCTATCTTAACCTTTTTGCTCTTGTTTGGGGGTAAAAGAAAAGTGAAGGAACTGAACTTTCTAGACATCTGTCAGAAAGGTTATGGTGCATTGACCAAGAGCAGTGGTGGCTTTAAGATAAGGGCTCCATTCATTCTTCTGTAGTCTGCTCTCCCGGACAGCAGGACCGACTGTCCACTATGGCCACTGGCTTCTAAGTGCCACCTCCCTCCAGTCTGTTGCAGGTAGATGACGTGGCCTGTATTGTACTTAATGCCTTGGAGGCTTAGAAGCGAGAGCTCAGGTTTCTCATCCTTCCCCCAAACAATACACCCCGTGTTGTTATTTAAGGAAATCCACCCTTCTGTTTCTCGGGTACTCAGAATCAGCACAGAGCATACCTCAAATGGGAGAGGATTGCCATCGGAAAAATAGAATGGCAGTACTGACCACATTACACTTTAGAAGCAATTTGAAGAAGTTGCTTGTAATTCTGCTGGCTTTACCGCAGAAAGGAGATGTTAGTTTAGTGCTGGCAAGCTCCACACGAGACTGTCAGAGTCTGGACGTTTCCTTGGGTCCACTGAAATGTCTCCGTGTGGGATGACTTTCAGGGCCTGGAATAGAGCTGTCCTGGGAGTGAATGAAAAAGCCATCCCGTAGATCGCCTGAGAGGGCAGCATCTTCACTTCTGCTGTGATAAAGCCTTACAATATACTTGTTCCGGCTGCACATCCCAAGGAAAAGGGAGTCTCGTAGATTAGATAAGTCCAGTGTCCACTTTCCTGCCTTTTGTTAAGAGATGCGTGGATACTCTGAACTGCTAGCGGTGCAGGATGGTGTTCAAATATCACATCTGTTCCCATCCCCCTTTTCTCTGTCAGTCCGGCTTGAGTGGTCCCAGAGTTTAGGTGGAGTTTCCTTAAGGGTTTAAGGCAAGGCTGACTTTGAGGGCTCTGATGATAACCGTTGCTGTTGGGTGGTGTAAAACCAACATGTCTCTCCTGTAGACTCTGTGCTTATCTCTCAGAAGCCAGGGGAGGTGTTTGGTGCCTAGAATTGTTTAAATTACCACATCTAAGACTCATAAATGATGAGTATCTGTCAGGACTTAGAGCAGGTTCCTTTCCAGGCTTTTCTGTACTTGTTCTATCAGCGAGACAAAGTTCTCATGCCATGAGAGGAAAGTTAAAAATCTATTTTAGTAATAAAACGTTAGTATTCAATGTGGAAGGTTCGGTGGGTGAGTCTTACTAAGAGGCATAGTTTCCTGACTTGGTTTAATCCCTTGAAAGCTGCACACTCAACGTGAGAGGTTTGCATCCTTGGAGATGTTGATGGACAGATCTTGAAATGGTTTGTCTTTCTTCATGGACATGGGCTCATGTAGTTGAACCACAGACCTGGTGGATTTCCTGAGTCGGGTTTAAGTACCTGGTTTAAACCTTTTCCCTTTGATATTTGCCCCACAGATAATGACCCACCAGCCAAAGCACCAGGGCTCTTGAACACGGCCTTGAGCATGTCTAATCCACTGCTGTAGAAACAGTCAGGAGGGTGTTAGTCTGCACCCTTTTATGCAAATCTGTTATGGTTGATACTGATGATAACAGCCTTTCAGAAAAGGAGAACTTATCTGTTCTTGAAGGTCCTTCAAGCCAACCCTCTTGTTTTATTCAACAAGGGTGTGGCTTGAACAGGGACACCTGGAAAGTACTTAGCCAGGAACTAAAGCCCTGCCTTCCTATAACAGCACTTTTTCTATGACACCATGCTTTGCAAACCACGCTGTCATCTTGCTTACTCTTTATGATAGTTTTTGGAGTGCTGGATGACCCATAGCCATTTGCTGAGTTGTTTTTGTAGATCCCAGAGGAACACTGGGCCATTATCTTTTGGAGCTGAATGTCACATGAGTCATTTCATTGTTTGCTGGACGAAGACTTATGTCTAACTGAGCATGTTAAGAAGTACTGGTTCTAATAAATACTTTCCCACAAGGAGTATTAATCCAGGAATGAAAATTGCAGTGGTATAAGAAAAGGCATTAACATTCTTTTCTATTGGGCCATTGGAATAGGCCATGAATGGTATTTGGTGAAAAGCAACATGGATTATTTGAAAAAGTCTTGAAGAAAAATAGATGGTTATTTCTTTTAAAAATACTTTTATTATTTACTATTTGAGAATTTCATGCAAATATACAAATGTTTGAATCAAATCCCTCCCCCACTCCCTCTACTCTAATTCATCCCATACCCCTCCCCCAACTCTCCCTCCCAACCTTTATTTCCTTAGTAGGGGTATCTGTTTTCTTCTAACCCCAGATGCCATTGTTTTCTCTACTGTGTCTACAGCATTCCTGAAACTCAACTTCATTTCACCTAGTGTAGAAACAAGCCAGTGAGACAGTAACAAGACTCCCCGTCAGCCACATGGAGAACCTTCTCTGTATATCCTGAGGCCTCCTGAAGCTTACGCCCAGGGGAAGAGGTGGCTGACCTAGGAGAAGAGGTGCCACATTCCGTGAAAGGGGTGGCGCAGCTATGTGCAGAAGATGATAGTGTAACTGATAAAAGAAGCAAAAAATAACCTAATTACTGGATAGTCCAGACCCATAGCCTGAGAGGCCTGGTATAGTTAAGGGAAAATAACAGTCTTAGAAACACTGTATGACTGTATAATTGCCTAAGGCAGATAGAGATGGCAGCTACCTACTCAACATGATAATAGTGCCTAGGCTATATATGTACCCTTGGGTCACCTGGCCTTCGTTGCCAGAAGGCGCAGGCTTTGGGCTGAGCCCAAGGATAGTCAGACACTATAGAATATAGAATCACTTGTCCCCATATCCCAATGTCCCCACTTTCTTCTGGGAAGTACTCTCTCCTTCCTACAAAATACACAGTAGATAATTACCAAGGGAACATAAAAGTTATAGTCATGAATCCTTTTGGCACCGACCCTTAATGTCTTCTCCCTATTCACCCATACCTTATTCCTTTGTTGCTTCTATGGCTATTTTCCCATTAAGCTGGACTAGATAATTTACTGCCCATTTTATACAATTTCATGGCAGAAACTTTTAGCGGACCAGAGACGACTTAAGCGTGAGCAAGAAGAGGCCGATATTGCAGCTCGACGCCACACGGGTGTCATCCCGACGCATCATCAGTTTATCACTAATGAGCGCTTTGGGGACCTCCTCAATATAGATGATACTGCAAAAAGGAAATCTGGGTTAGAGGTCTGTTCTGGTCGCCGCCAACTGCTGCTTGACCCAAAGCAATATTTGCCTTCCTTTGGCATTGCTCTCCATAGGCCTATTTAGTTCTCCAAACAGCGTCTGTCATCCTGGCTTCCCTAGCCTTGCTTTGGCTCTCTTGTGGCTGGTGAATAGACATGAATGAGCCCCACTATGTCCTGTGCCCTATATGTTAAGCATGCCTGGCTGTGGGACTGGGATCTGCTGGTGCACACTCCTGCTGCATGCTTAGAGCATTGGCTGCCTCATGAGTCCAGTTCTCTCCATCTTGCATTTGACCGTGGTACCATGTTGCATTGTGTTCTGCTTAGAAGCTGTGTCCCTTTGGCCATGTGTCTCAGAAGCTCGGGTATGAACAACCCAAGAGTCTTCTGTAAAGAGATGGTTAATGAAGCTTTCCTGATTAAAGTTCCCTAATGACCTTTTATAGCATTGGCAACAAACTTAGTGACATTGCTGCTGAAAACTCAGAGAGCAGTACCGATTGCTCAGTGGTGCTGAAGGATTGCACTGAAGTTTGGAACTCTGACTTCTGCAGCAAGGATAAACCGTGGAGGTGATAAGAGCCCTGCAAAGAGACACTTCATCTGCCACCTTAAGTTTCTCATTTCTAAGCTTAGACTTCAGGAGTTTAATACTATGCCAGGAATGAGAAGCAAGAGTGTAGTGATTTTACCCAGGTCTTGCTTCTCACAAGGCCAGTGTGGTAGATCAACGGCTGCTTCTTGAATGGGAGTTTATGCCCTGCTGTATAACCTTATGTGGTCCCGCTGAGGCTCAGGTCTTCTCCAAAAAGTGTATGGGTTGAGCTTAGTGGGTCCAGAGAAAGTGACACTAGACCTAGTTTTATTACCTTTTGGTATAACTGACGTTTCTGTCTTTCCAGTAATGGGCATCGTTAGCTTATTTTTTTTTTTTAAGAAATGAAAGGATCCTGGGAAGAAGTGATAAAGGAAAAAAGAGAGAGAATCTGACTTGAAGGAAATTTGGGGGACAAGGTAGATTCTAAAGTATGGAGAAAAAGAAGAAATGTAGAGGAAGCAAATGGTGGCGAGTCTCTGTTCACTTGTGAGTGACAGGCAGCCTCGTGGCGCTTGGTGTGAGGAATCCTTCTCAGCACAGCCCTGCTCCGAAGGCTCTGCTGACGATTTGGACCCAAGAGCAGGCCTGCCTGTGTGTGAGGAAGGAGCCACAGAACTGCCGTAGGGATACATGGGCTTGCCAGGGCGGCTCAACTGGAGGAGCTGTGACAGGCAGGCGCACTCTTCTTGCTGGACCTGAATCCCCTCCCAAGTGGTATTTCCCAAATCGTGTGAGAACTGCTAAATGCAGAAACCAAAATGCAGACTCCTGCATCCCACCACTGATGTTTTGATCTGGGGTGGGGTCTAAGAATTTGCAAGTGGTATGGTGCTTTGATGTATTAAGGTCCACGTTTAAAGAATCACTGTCCTTTAGTTGATGGACAGTTGAGACAGTGACATCAGCAAATGCTTGCCCTGTGCCCTGTAGATGGCAGAGTCAGCAGCTGCTAATTCTGTATAGCACTCTCTCCGTGTAGAGCAGAAACAACACAATTCCTGTCTTATGCAGAAATCACCTTCATACATCATTATGTCAGGCAGGTAAGGTGGCACATACCTTAATCCCAGCACCTGGGATATGGAGTTAGGAAAATCAGAGTTCAAAGTTATCCAAACAACGGCTATGTGCTGCTGTCTTAAACATTTTATAATGCTCACACGGCCACTAGCTGGATGTCATGGGTGAGCCATCTCTCTCCCGACACCTTTTTCATTGTGATTTCTATGAAGTTTTTATTCTTACAGTTTGGTCTTCGGGTCTTATTCTCACATCCATTCTGCTCATGTTTACCTACAACTGTTAAAGTATGCCATAAATATAGGCATTAGGATTATATGATATTTTCTTGATTATCAGGTGGTTGTTCGGTTGTCCCCTAATGCATATGTATACAGATAGAAGGGAACAGGAGCATGAAAATACAGGATGAAAAATTCCTATGGAGAACCAGTCTCAACACGTGCCTGTGATCTCAGCTTGGGAGGACGAGGGAAGATGATCCAAAGCTCAAGGCCAGCCTGGGCGCCAGTAAAGACACAGAAACTCCTGTGGTGCAATATGAACCCTAGAAGATCTCTGTGAAAGCCAACTCGAGAAGCCTGAAAATGTAGGACATATGACCAAAGGACAGCAACTAGAATAGCCCAATGATGCTTTTAGGTGCCTTTTCTCACCTCAAGGGCTCTACTTCCCCCTTCTCCTCTGCCCTTGTCTTCCAGACTGGTAGAGGGCCTACCATTCCTTTCCTTCTTGCTGTTCCCTTAGACAGAGGCCACAGCTGCTGACAAGGTCAGAGCTACGCCTGTAGAAATAGCTTGTGCACATGATTCTAGCAATTTCACACGTCCCTTTTTAAAGAATGTTTAAGGGCAGAGGAGAAAGATTTGCAAGCAGATAAATTCTTTGGAGATGGGGCCAAAGAATTCGAGACTGAGGCTTAGCACGTGCACAGGAGACTATGACGCAGAGAGACATTTAAGTGTGAGGGGGTTGTGACCCACAAGCCTCCACCCAGGTTAGAGATAGAGATTTGATCTGCTCCACAGTCCAGAGCCCAAGCCAACATCAAAGCAACACCCCCACCCCACCCCATGTGAGGAAGAATTTGAAGAATGTTATTTGTGCTCCTGGGTGACAGTAGATTAGAGTGAGGAGAAGGTAAAAATCAAAGGAAGCTCTGTGTCTGTGGGAACCAGAGGTCAGACCCAGAGCAACAGGGTTCTCCACTGAGGGCATGCAGACGCAGGCGTGACTGCTGACAAACTTAATGAGAACGTGGAGACGGCTAGGTCTGGCTTTCCAGGCTCGAGTGTCTAGGAGAAAGGGGTTGCCACAGCCAGGGTGGAGTTCCAGGATGTAGAGATAGAGTCAGGGTTCCCCTAGCTGGCTTTTCGAATGATGTCACAGACCGTAGGGGCATGTGGAATAGCAGATGTCGTGATAAGTGATAAGAGTTTGGTCTGCTTTCAATTCGTAGCTTACACTAGGCAAACAGGAGCTGACCCACAAGGAGAAGACAGTAGGAAAGGGTTGTCTGAAGCCTGCTGGCTGACAGCATGCCTGAGGGGCTTTGCAAACCATCTCTTACCTAAGTGTGGCCTTCTTGAAGGGGAATTTTCATGCATGACGCAGCTGACTAAACATCCGTCTGTCATTCTGATGAGGTCAGGTGCTGCGATTTGGTCCAGATTTCTAAACCGAAATGAACTGGTTAGATTGGGTTTCTCTGCTTTGCTTCCTAGAACCTCGTGAACATGTCTCCTTTTCATTGTTCCACTTTCACAACTTTTAACGCCGCATTGTTTCTTGTGTTTAGATGAGACCTGCCCGAGCCAAGTTCGACTTTAAAGCACAGACACTGAAGTAAGTCCTGCCATGTTTGTCTTCTTCGCTGCGCTTTGAAAATACTGTTGGCTTAGGGCAAAGAGTTGGGAGAAACAACTAAGACAGAAATGAAAATAATAAAGTGTAGACTCGATGCCAGGCACTGTTACACTGCCTATATTAACTCATTCGGCTCTCGTGAAAAAGGCCTGTGTCCTGTGGGGTGAGTGCTATCATTCCCACTTCCAAAATTAGGGAACCAATATGAAGGAGCTTAGCCCACTTGAGAGGTTATAGAGCCAGCGTTCAAACCCAGCAACTTGGTGTCTGAAGCTACCTCTTGCCTGACTCGGTGCTCTGCTTGATTAGATTGCAGCATGTTCTGACCCAGCCTTTTGTGGAAGCAATCAGAACCAGTGTCTAGGAATAGAACTTGGCCCATTTTACTATGGCATTCCCTAAAGAGAATGTCTACAGGATGCTAGCTAGCATTTATCTGAGTGTGTTCCTCGGAATGTTCATCCTGCAAGGTGTTCTAAAAAACAAAACCAAAAAACTAGTGTAGTGGAAATGAGTCAGAAAACCACTATATTTAGGCCCCGACCCCTGGGGGAGATGAGCTGTTGTTGGCATGTTTGTGGCCGTGGAACTCTCTCAGAGACAAAACTTCATCTGCTTATTTGGCCCAAGTGTTCTCTAAATTTAGGTGACCTGGAAACCTTTCTGTTTTCTATGGAACACAGTTTGGGAAATGCTACCAAAAACAGATTCCAGAAGGTCTTGCGAGCCTTATAGCTAAGTATGGATGAAAACAGACCATGAGTTTTCCTTGGCAGCTGAGGATAACGTGGCCAGCCACATCCCCTTGTCTGGCTGACAGGAGACACCAGGGGATAGGAGGAGAGCTTCCATTCATGAGTGATGGCAAACTCTGCCTCAAGGCTCCTCAACCCTGTTTTCCATTTCCTTCAACACAAAAGGAGTGGCCAGACCAAGTCTCAAGAATGCAGACATGAATCTGATGTGGTTGGATTTGATTGTATTACTCCATTCCCTGAGTTTACTAAGAGAGACAGCCTTGAGGGCTTTAGATTCAGGAAGTCCTGGCTCTGCCACTCACATCTCTGTAACCGTGGCGAAGTTATACAGGTTTTCACCCTCAGCTTCTCTCATTGCTAAGATGAGACTAGAAATTCCTCCCCTGCCAAGAGACTAGCCAGGGTAAGACCAGTAAGATGTTTTACACAATGAAGCAGAAGTCAATACTCAGTGTAGATTGTTCTCCATCCTCATTTTTCAGCCAAAGGGAATGATGAAGATATATGAATTAATTTGCAGATTAATCAAAGAGATAATATTTTTTCTTTAGATTGAGACTTTGGGTGATATTGTTTCATAGATTCCATTTTAAAAGTTTGGTGTCCCCCCTATTAGATAGAAGATGTAAGAAGACTTGAGGTCCACAAGATTGTCACCATTTATTAATACTGCTAATGCCAGAGAGCAGTTCCTTTCTCCCGGCTCGTGTTCTCATCATGATATGCTGTTTTTATAATAAAATCAATAGAACTTAGTAGAAAGAGTAAATTCCAGATTCACAGACAGGATTATTTTCAGTGTGTTCCTTTAAAAAACAAACTCTGCTCTGGGGCTATTTGATTCAACAAAGTCAACCAGGTTTTGTCTCCCTATACTTGGGGCCACACATATGACAACCTTCTAGAAAACATCTTTATGTCCCATCTGTAGTGTTTTGTGTATAGCCCAGGATAGATAGTTATGAATATGTTCCCATCCATAAGCATAAGACATTATGAGACGGTTGTATGATGGGGGAGGACCTGGAAGTTTGCAGGTGACGAGGTTGCACTGCAGCAACAAAAGATTGTACATGTTTGAAAGCGTCTTGTGCTGCTAATCCCAGCACTCTTCACTAGCATGTGGATCTGTGGGAGCCGAGGGAAGGCACTGGTGAACCACTTTCCTAGGGACGAGTGCCTGGTTCTTTCCATCGAAGAGCTGCATCAGACCAAGCTCCACCTAAATAAGCAAACAGAGCCCTTCTGTGGGAAGAGGTCAGGTGCAATAGGTACCTGGGTACCAAGGTGCCGGGTTTGAAGCCTGAATCTGTCACCTTGCAGGTAGGATAGGGAGGACATGAGCCACAGGAGCCCTGTTGTCTCTGTCGGTCACAAGTACAGACTTACCTATGTTCATCTGTCTCAGGGTGGTGGTTCTCTGCTTAACAGCGGGGCCATCAGATCTCGCCTCTGCCACACTGCAGGATACTTAGACAGGGAGAAGGCTTTGACAAAGTGCATCCAGAGCCATTCCTTTTCACGAAGATGAAATCCTTTTCGTGGACTTATTCAGGATTAGAACCAGTCTTCCAACACAAGATCCACAAAAGCCTCCTCAGATGCTTTTCTCCAGATCACAGCCAACATTTTATAGGTTTCCCAAATGTTTAGGTAGCATCCCTCATGTGGGGCTGGCTCCCTGTCATACTGCAAAACTGGCACGTCCCCTCCAGTTCCAGTGAGAGACCTTCTCGTGATGTTGGCGTGGTGCAAAAATGAAAATTATTTAGACATTTTTCTTTTTAATTCAAGAAAATGTCAAGTTATAATTTTGTTGTTTCATTTTGTTTATAATGATAATATATATTGATATAATATATAATGATATAATTTTATTTTTTTCCTCCGGGAAACAAAAGAAGTCTTTATTAGATATGAATACTATCACAGCTGAGGCAAATGAGGAGATGTGTGGGAACTAGTTGGGAAAGATACAGACAGCTTTTGAAAAGGGCATCCATTTTTATTTCCCGTTTTCCACGTTGAGAAGGAAGGCATGACTACAGAACATGCACTGTGTTGGGTGTTCCGTCTACAGTTTACAGTTGCAGTCTCCAGCTTTGGTTTAGGTGCTGTGGTCAGACAAAGGAGCAGTGTCACTGAGAGCTCGAGCCTCTTGTCCCAGAACTAGTAGATCTTTGAACTCAGCTCTGCCTGACTTCAGAGCTGTCTAGCGTAGGCTGATGGAGATGGGATGGTGAAGTAGGGGCCAGAAGGCTGAATGGGTGAGTGATTGGATGCCAGAATGTCATAGCCTGAAATGGTTCAGGCGCGTCTAGCTGAGGCAGTGAAAGTATCCAAAGGCAGACATTTCACTATTGAATAAATGTCAGTCAAGACTGCTGGGCTCCAGAATCCCCCCCCCCAAAAAAAATGTATTAAGAAAATTACAGCAAACTAATAAGGCCTCTGAGCACTTTCTAGTGCTAGTAAGTTTGTATGTTGACACTCATCCCACAAAAGATTAGAAAAATGCCCAGTATGATATAATTTCTTGACAATTGGAGTTCTCACTTCCAAGTATGGAGCCTTCCACCTTCTGTAACTTTATCCCTTGCCTTAGTTAGAGTTTTAGTGCTGTAAAGAGACACCATGACCATGGCAGCTTTTATAAAGGAAAATATTTAATTGGGGCTGGCTTACAGTTCCAGAGGTTTAGTTCATTGTTGTCGTGGTGAGAAACATGGCAGCATGCAGGCAGACATGGTGCTAGAAAAGGAGCTTAGAGTTCTACATCTTGATCCACAAGCAGCAGGAGACTATGAACAACACTAGGCGTAGCTTGAGCATATGAGACCTCAAAGCCTGTTTCAGTAGTGACACACTTCCTCCAACAAGGCCACACCTCCTGATAGTACCACTCCCTATGGAACAGGCATTCAAACACATGAGTCTATGGGGAGCCATTTCTATTCAAATCACCACATCCCCTTTGACTCTTTGCCAAGTCTTATTTTACTCAGTAAAACTGAAGTATCTTCACCAAGTGCACATTTTGAAACACCTGCTAAAAGGCAATGACCTTCTGTCAACAGGGAGCTGCCTCTGCAGAAGGGAGACATTGTTTACATCTACAAACAGATTGATCAGAACTGGTACGAAGGTGAACACCATGGCCGGGTGGGAATCTTCCCACGCACCTACATCGAGGTATTGTAGCCTGCAGCTCCATTCTCACAAAGAGCCCAGCCACAGCTAAGATGCCATTTTCTCACCGTGCCCTTGTGTTTTCTTCCCTTCCATTCCTCTCCTTGCCCTTCTTTTTCGCTTTCTTTCTGTTCTCAGCTTCTTCCTCCAGCTGAGAAGGCTCAGCCCAGGAAGTTGGCACCTGTGCAGGTTTTGGAATATGGAGAAGCCATTGCTAAGTTTAATTTTAATGGTGATACACAAGTAGAAATGTCCTTCCGAAAGGTAAGCTACATGTTTCATCCTGGCTTTGGGGCCTTTGAATGGTGCTGTTATCTAGGGAATATGGTGTTGCTATAGAGTGCCAATCTGTAGCCTTAAGAACACAGTGAATTGATCAAAATTTGTAATAAGGGGAATCAGAAGCTCTTCTGAGATGAGGTTTTATTTATTTTTATTTTAAGTATATGGGTGTTTTGCCTGCATGTGTACCACATAGGTGAAGTCCCTGTGAAGGCTAGAAGAGGCTATTGGTTTCTCTAGAACTGGAGTTACACAGGGTTGAGAGCCACCATGTGGATTCTGAGAAAACCAAACCCAGGTCCTCTGGAGGAGCAGTCAGTGCTCTAAACTGCTGAGCCATCTCTCCATCCCCCATATTTTTGTTTGTTCAGTTGGTTCCCATATTTTTGTTTGTTCAGTTGGTTTTGTGTTTTTAAATAACACAAGTCAGAGTTTAACCACACTGATCTCACCCATTCAAACCAGTATTTATGGTATCTTAGACATCATATATTAGCTGTGTAATGCTAAAGAACAGCCCCAAATACAACCCTCTGAAGCCTTTGCCTTGCAGATGAAGACTGTGTGTGACTGCTTTGTTCTAAAGGAGCCTAAGACACTACAGTTGCCTTCCTGCTTGAGGGCATACTTCTGAGCTCTTTACTGAAATGCTTAACCTCCCTGGTTAAGGGAGCGCTACAGTGTTAGCATTCCCACCCGAGTACTTCATCCATGGCCAATAGAGATGGCTCTCCTGAGGATAGAGTGTGATGAAGGATACAGGGTAGTGTAGGATGCAGGCAGGGACCTCATCCAGGCTGTGGTGTGGTGGTGCAGGGACTCTTGCTTGGCTGTGTCTTACAGGGTGAGAGGGTTACACTGCTCCGACAGGTGGATGAGAACTGGTACGAAGGGAGGATTCCTGGGACGTCCCGCCAAGGCATCTTCCCCATCACCTATGTGGATGTGCTTAAGAGGCCGTTGGTGAAAAACCCGGTGGATTACATCGACCTGCCTTATTCTTCCTCCCCAAGTCGCAGTGCCACTGCGAGCCCACAGGTATCTAAGCTTACATCCTCAGCTTTGGAGTTTTCATCTTCAGCTGTGTCGATGGCACACAGCCGCCCCCTTGGGGATGACTCTCAGATGGCTCTAAAAAGGAACCGCCTTGATCAGGGCAGTGTGGGGGTTATTTTCATACATGCTTATGAAATTTTCCTAGCACTCTTAAGTATCTGAATGGAAGGGAAGAGTTTAAGATAATTACTGTGGGGGTGAGGCGAGAGGGGGAAAAAAAAAACAAAAAACAAGAGACATCATTTTGTGCATCCCTGTGAAGCTGGCGGTGTGGATGGCTGCCCCTGTATGGCCAGCGTGTTTCTCTTTGCAGTGTTGTCTGACCATCAGGATTGGCTTACAGATGAGGGGTTGGGAGATAATTCCATGTTCTCATCTTAGACATGTAGACCAGATTCAGAGTGCCTTTGCATGCGTTCACTGGACCCAAGTTGAGAAAGAAACCTTCAATGTATCAGTCTCTGCAGGTCAAAAGGGAGTGAGTAGTTTATAGCCTTAGTAGCATGTTTTTTTTCTGAACATTAATTATGAGCATAGTGGTTGGAAATGTAATCCTAAATGATGCCCACTTTGTCCAAACCAAGGAAAACAAGAACTCTGAGTTCAAGAGAAATACGGTAGGGTGGCATCCTGTGGAATGAAATCGGAGGATGGCTGGAAACTGTGGGACTCGGTGAAGCCATGGTGTCTCTTTTCTCTGGTCCTCTCTCACTTCCTTCCCTCCACATACTGGTCACTGACACAACAGAGAGCCCTTGGTTTAAAGCACTAGAGGGGCTTTCCTAAACGGTGGGAAATGCGTTCTGCCTTCTCCCATGAGAAACTGTGAGACTGGAGCGGGCATTCTGCTCTGTAAGAGCATGGGGAATTTTCACTCGACTGTGGCCAAGAGTAATTGTAATACAAAATGACCACACAATTCATGCTTCTATCTGTAGAACCCTGCAGAGCTGAAGAAGGGGCCTGGACAGAGGCTGTCCCTCTAAGCCTGCAGTTCTGGGTCAGGGCGGTGGCTGCAGAAATGGTTTAGTTGGCTGGGGTGGGGCACTTCCAGTGCTTTCCTCTGGAATGGGACTCTGCAAAGCAGGCCAGCACTACCCACAACTGTCCCATCTCTCTGCCACTTGCCTTTCCTCTCCACCCTGCTTGCACGCACTCATGTACACACTCAGCCACTAGGAGGTTTCTCTCCCAGCCTCACCAGGTTTCTGTTTTGGACACTGGGGTGTCCTGCTCATCCTCTCTGTTTCGTTCTTCTTTATGCCGCTTGTGGTTCCTCCCTTCTCCTTTATGCTGACACTCTTACCTTTGCTTCTTTCTTTTCAAGTGTACTAGTCACAGCAAGCTCATCATGCCAGCCCCTTCATCACTGCCCCACTCCCGCCGAGCCCTGTCCCCTGAGATGCACGCCATCACCTCTGAGTGGATCTCGCTGACTGTTGGGGTCCCGGGCAGGCGTTCTCTGGCCATGACACCACCCTTGCCTCCTCTGCCTGAGGCTTCTGTATATGACACGGACCACTTGGCCTTGTCAGCAAGGGCCCGTCCCTCCTTGCCACTCAGCCTCCCCTATTCAAGTCTGTCAGATCACTCCACATTGCGCTCAGTGCTTTCCCCACTGGCCCTGCCTCCACCCCACAGAGCCTCCTCCCTGGCACCCAGTACCCAGGCTCCTCTTCACGTCAATGGAGATGGTGGTATTCACATCCACCCAGATGGCTTCTCTCAGCCACCACTTGGAAACTCTGATAGGGTCATCTCAGAGCTTAGTGATGCCTTTAGCAGCCAGAGCAAGAGACAGACCTGGCGAGAAGATGGACCTTATGAGAGGAAAGCAGAGAGCGAGGCAGGTGAGAGATGCCCTGGTGGACCCAAGATCTCTAAGAAGAGCTGCTTGAAACCTTCAGACGTGGTCAGGTGCCTGAGTTCTGAGCAGAGACTCTCAGAGTTCCACACTCCTGGTGACAGCCAATCCTTCAAGCCTCTGGGTAGCCCTTTCCCAACATGGGAGGCTGGGCCACCAGAGCTTCACAGAGGTGTCGAGGCTGACAGGAAGGCTGCTCAGAGTGGTGTAAGCCAGGTAGGCCTGAAGCATGACCGGTTGGTGCCTTGGCCTCTTGCTTGGCATGGTGGAACATACCAGATATCTCACCCCTGGTCCATTAACCGAGGCCAAGTGGGTGCTTGAGAGATCTGTTTGCTTGCCTTAGAAATAAAGGGATGGCCAAGAGGGAATGGAGGAGCTGTGGACTAGGGTGTTGGTTGGGGATCATTCAGGAAAACGTAGTCTAGCTTCTTGAGGTGATTTGAAAGTATTCCTCCATTGACACCTGCTACCCTGGCACAAAAGCCCCACGAGCAGGAACGCCTTCCTTGTGTCTCATTCACGTCCTAGAGATTGTCGTTGGTTTGCTTTGACTAACACAGCTGAGAACACCAGGCTTCGGTGTGATGTGGTGTGCTTTTCTTGTGAGATGCACTGTTTCCATAACTCATGGTGCTCAGTTTTGTCAGGTCTGTGTCTCGTTTTGTGTTTGTGTGGGACCAAAGGGCCGTGTTTACAGTGAGCAGGGACATTTTGGTTCTTCAGAGATGGGAGGATGCAGGATGGAGGGGCTTCTGATGTGCTGGGGGGTCACTGAGGTTTTGATTGAATGATGGTTCTTCTAAGTGAACTACAAAGATTTCAGCATATAAGCTGAGGGAGACTTAGAGTGTTTTGAAGGGACATTAATTTGATAACTAGACAGATCATTATTCATTTTTGCTTATGTTTTTTAGTGCCCAGAGAGTCAAGGACTTTGAACAACATTTCCATAGTAACCAGATTTGAGTATCAGCTCCATCTAATTACCATTATGGAAATTGTTCACCCTCTTAGAGACTCAGTTTCTGACTTCTGATATGAAGATAACCTCTCCTAGCTTGGTCCAGAAAATTCCTTGAAATAATGCATACAAGTTAAGCACAAGAACTTTGTAAAAAGAAGAGAGAACTACTGTCTTAGGTGATCTAAGACTGGGCATTATAGACGCTCAATAGAACTAAGTGCTGTCCTAAAGCTGTCTGCAAGCTGTTGATCATCTGTTGTATATAGTATCTACAGCTGACTGTGCTGCTCCTTCACACCTTCGGTCCTGTTTCCCCTTGTAGCTCTGTTTGCTTATTGAGCTACTTGAATTGTATGGTTTATGGGTAGGGTTCAGAGGTTGTTAAATCCCTTTCCTGTGGAGCACATACCCAGCGACAGTGGCAGACATAGTTCTGTTACCAGACTAATAATGGAAACACAGAGGCATAAGACATACCAGGTCAGACCTCCATGTGCCGGTGTGTCTGGAGTGGAGATCATCAAGGGTAATCAAGTGTGTGCTAGCTTTTATATGGACTGGACTTAGACTACAGAAAGTTAACACTGCACCCCCACCCTGCCCTTGCCATAGTTGCTCATGTATAAAGTAGGGGTAGAAACAGACAGTCCATCCCTCCCTGAAAGGCTGTTATGATGATTAATAAAATAGCGACCATCAATAGGGTACTTGGCATATGGTCAGTCTCTTGGACAAGGGTTTCCTGCTATGGCTGCTGTACATGATCGCTCCATCTCTTAGTAAGCACAGGGCTCTGGGGCAGGTGTTCCTGAGCTGTGTACCCTAAAGAAAAGTGTCTGTCTGATTCAGAGAAACGACTAGCTCACTGGAAGAGGTTGTGAAGTCACTGGCTATAAAGAATGAAATGTTGACAGAGGAGTGGGCCCCAGATCAACCTAAGGTGTGTGGAGCCCTCCTGGTTGCCAGGGGTGAGTCATCACCGCAGCCTGGTCCAGGACTCAGTGTGTACAGGAAGTGCGCACAGTCCTGAAGCACCAATAAGGTTCAGGGTGCACACTTCCTGCTTCCTACCAAGGGCAGGAATGGAGTTGCCGGCAACACCAAAGATTGTGTTGATTGGAAGGCCAGGCTTGTTGAGGACTGGTTCTCCCTTCCTGGCGAGTCTCTGGACACCAGGTGTATCACTTCCTGCTCCCTCCCTTCCTCCTGCATCCTGGCACAAGCCCTTTCCCTCTGGGTGTGTGGGAGCCATGGTCTGGTTGGCTCCTTTTCAGAACTGATGGACTCACAAAGGACAGTTATGTAGGCAAGTTCTTTTCAGCCTCACTTCACGCAAGGCAGCTCTGGGGATGGGTCCTTCATAAGAGACTCCATCCTCTTGGGGCCTGTTTGACTGACAGGCATGCTAAAGATGACTTCATCATCTGTTCTCTGGTGGCCCTGTCAGGACATGACCTCAGTCTGTGTTACTTGTTTGGGTAAATACATTCCAGTATCGAGAAACTTGCCAGCCGTTCTTCCCCTTAATGAGCCCTGGGTTCCGTTTGCACTTTTATTGGACTAAGGGACTTGACTGAGCATCTGACCAGTAAACAGAGCGATAAGTGAAAAGGCAGCCCAAGGTGTTGTGGTCATTTACTCTTTCTTTAACTGTCTGGTATCCAGCAGTGTGCTGAGTGCCACGGGAGCTGAAAGCCTTGGACGTCACTGCAGACATCCCCTCAGGGAAGTCTTTCCTCCCAGGCTTGGAAGGCTCCCTCGTGAAATGGCCGTTTAGACCACAAGGCAGCCTCATCTTCCAAAGTCTCCCCAGCTTTAGTGCCTGGATGTGTTCCTGCTTGTCCTTCTCAGCTTCCTAGAGACCCTACCTTTCCCAGGAAGCTTTTCTGGCTACTTCTGCACGGCTGGCTAAAGAGTGCTGAGCCTTATCCCCGTGAGCACGGCTGGCTAAAGAGCGCTGAGCCTTATCCCCGTGAGCATGCCGTTGCTCAAATGCCCTTGCAGGCCTGTGTCCCTGTGAGCATTAAGGCCCTACAGCCAGGGACCACGACACTTGATATAGGGAATGTGCTCAGTTAATATTCGTTAAATGAAAGAACAGATTAAAAACTAGTTGAGCAGAACTAGAAGAGTTTATGCTGTTGACTGGGACTCAGCCCTGCTCACAAGTACTTACACTGCAGAAGAGAGAGACGCAGAGGTCTAACCCGGAAGCTCAAGATGGGTAGACATGATAAGCTTAGGAGGAGCCAGGTGATTGTAAGTAGCATTGGTTGTGGGCTTTAAAGAATAGGGAGTTTTCCCATAGATACAATGGGATGATGATTGACGGCCAAAGGCCCAGAGGTGGGAAGTACAAAGTATATATAAAGAAGGGTATGTTCCTAGATTCAGCAAGCTTTGGGTGTACCTGCAGGTAATAGATCAATGGGATCTTGCCAAGGAGACTGTGACCGTAGCTTGGCCTATGTCTGTCTGTGCCTCCAGCAGTCACCACACTCTGAATAGTACAGAAGCCATCTTCCTTGCTGTCCCTTGACCATTGCCAGTCAGTCCCTGTTCTGCTGCTTTCCTTCCCCTGGGTCACCTGCCCCCATCCCAACTGTCCGGATGTGTGTACTCTTGCGGAAGGTGCTCTGACGTCTTGGTCGTTTATACTGTCAGAATGTTTTCTCTTTGGGCTGGCTACTTATGTTTTAGGTTTGTTGTCTCTGAGCAACAGAAGGGATAAATCAGTGCCAGGGACTTCAGGGGAAGCAGGGAAGAGCATTGGTCTCCAGGCTCTGGTTCTGGCTCTGCCATTAGTCGGCTGAGTGTCTGTGGGTGAGTCACACCTCCTTCCCGGACAACTTCCCTGTCTATAAACAAAAGATGCAGCGTGGGAACTGAACTTCCTTTCAGCTGGTATTCTGTGATGGGATCCCAAGTGAATCTCAGTTGAAATGAGAAAGACCATATAAAATGCTACGTCTGGGCTTCATTATAGATCTGTATGGCTTCACCACCGGGAAATACTTTCCTTTTATTGGTTTTTGAGTGACAACTTTGTCACTCAAAGGTACACACACATAGGTACACACAGAAAACACCCAGCAGCTCAGCCTTAACTGGCATGTTCTTGAATTCTGTTCAGTGTAATTTTGGCTAATTATCGTGTAGAACAACCAGTCTAGAAAGTCAAGGTGGAGGTCATGTGGGAAATCTCGGCCATCCCCACGCGAGAAGCAGTTTGGTGACTGGAATCTGGATTTGTGTATAAGAGTGCTTGATGTTTCTGAAAAACCTCACCGAATCTCTAAATCAATCCCCACATCCCTGTGATCCCAGAACTCAGGAAGTAGAGGCAGGAGGATTACAGAAAGGAGAGTACCAACTTAGCTGGAGACAGAAAGATGTGCAATGGTAACCACTGGGAACTAAGTCTGTCCCCAGAAGGCTAAGAACAAAGGCAGGGGCCTGGCTGGAGAATGGAAATCAGAAACGGACGGGAAACTCGAGATGTGACTTGTAAGATCAAAGGGCAGTTAGAAACATTAAGATCATGCTCACACACACACATACGCGCACACACACCACACAAAGATGGGAAATGTTTTTCTTTGACTCACTCAGCCCGATAAGCTAAGTTCGATCCCCTGGACCATGGGGTGGAAAGAGAACTGGCTCTTGACACTTGCCCTCTTTCACATAACACCGTGTAATTTTAATTAAAAAAAAAGAGTTAGAAAACATGGGGTTTGTACTTGGCACATTAATGCCTCCCTCTATTCTCTTGTGTGGTGAAGGAAAAGGCATGAGGTGTTTTGGGACTGCCTTCCAGTTCCTCATACCTGAGCTATATGCCTGCCATCTCCCCTCATATGACAGAAATGGGGAAGGCAGACTAAGTTTGGCTGAGAAGACTGAGTACCGCTGAGCCTTAGAAACAGATTCAGATTCCAAGAAGTCGGTGTGCTGTCCCATGGGTAGTCTGCAAGGAGATTGTCTAAGCCGTGAGGAGCCCCAGTAATTGTCAATAGCTAGCTATAAATTGTCAATTTATAGTGAAATTACCATCTTTTTCTCGTGTGATGTTGTAGGAGGACTCCGTGAAGCCAGAAGCCTCTTGGCTGGTTCTCTGGAGGTTTCCTGGGACAGAAACCCAGGAGCTTGAGTCTGGCAGGCCTCCCCACTCCGCTGACAGAGTTGCCCATGTTCCATGAGTCTTGTATCGCATTCCTGGGTCAACACCTCACCTTCCGCATTTACAGACGTGAGCTCTTGATCTAGGTCTAGAGGCTGTGATCTAATAAAAGGACTGCCTCCTCTGAGCATGCCAGTACTGCTGCCCATTCCTAATTATTAATTGATGCGATGGGCACACCCCAGTCACAGAGCTAGAGCCCAAACCAACACTATGAATCATGCACAGCCCTATTGTTTTATTTTGGAATTTGAAGTCTTTACTCAAAAGATGGTCAGTGTCTGCGAGCTCAGGTTGTTTGCTGTCCCATTAGGAGGCCAGTGTAGGTTGTCATGATGTAGGGTGGAATCTGAGGAGACACAGGGCATAATAGAGCAGTGCCATCTCAGAGACTCAGGTCCAGTGGCCGGTCAACAGAACAGCAGATTCCTAATGTTCGTGTGGGGACCCAGGCCACACAGCAGATGCGTGTCTCTCCCATCTATTCCTTCAGGGTTCTCTAGTGTGTGTGTAGCTTATTTTGGACTTTAGTCTTTGGCACACACCCCAGAGCTGGAACAGGATGCTAAGTAACTGCCCGAGCACCAGGTGCTTTCTGGGTCCACAGGGGATTATCAGCTCCAGAGAAGCTAAGGTCAGGTTTCTGACAGACTACCGGCTAAAGACAGACAACAGGGAAGCAGAGCAAGGCCACACACAACATTCTTGGGGAGAACGGAAAGAGCACCCTAGCTTGGAGGCAGCTTATGGGAGTCCAGAGAAAGCAGTTTCTGGCTCAGCAACTAGTTCCTGCTTATGCTTGGTGAGGAGGTGGAAGGAGTGCAGTGTGTGCCTGCTTGAGTGTGTGCACGCACACACCTTGCACGTTGGACTGGTTGCTGTTTTTCCAAGCAGATGGAAAGCCGGAATGTGACTTCAGAATCCAAGATGTACATAGCATGAGCTAATGCTCTCTTTATTCTTAGCACCGGCTGGGTCCTGATGAGAACATGTATCTACTCTTAGGCTTACGGAAGGCCAGACTGACGCCCTGAGGGAGGGCGCTGCCAGCGGAAGGAATGTGAAGCTCATATGCAGTCCAAGATTTCCTAGCAGCCGTAGTGAAACGCAGTGAACGAGTTAGTTTAATAGCCTATACCCTTTAACCCAGTATATTCACAAGATTTTTGGAAGCCAGTGTCTACTTTTGCATCCGTAGCATTTTCCCTCCCACTGTGTCTCCTGCGCTCACAGCCACTTCCGACTGTTGGTGCCTCACTGACAGCCCAGGCTGAGGAGGACTGTGGGAGGTGGAACAGGAAAGGTACGACCTTGTACCTAGAGGGGAAAATGTCCTCTGAGGATAAACAGCTTTCCAAGTGAAGGGCTGGTCCAGGTAATGGGTATCAGTGGTTTCCAGCTCCGTGAGAGCTCCCTCTCTCCCCAGCCGTTTACATTCCAGCTGTGTGAGATGCTCCATTAAATCTAAACAGGGAAACCGAACCTGATCGTGTTTACCTTGACTACTTCCTTCATTTATCCAACACTAAGTGGGGAGCCCCGTCCTCCCTACCTCTCGGGAATGGTGTTGTCTCTACTCTCCGGATGTTAAAGCTCAGATGGTGACTATGCTCTGCTTTGGGTATGGCTAGAGACGAGAGGAGCTGCTAACTGAGATACTGATAGCCCTCTCGTACTGTGGTCCCTTGGGTTACTGTCAGATGCTGTCTTTTATGGTGCCCAGATCGCTTTACACAAGCGGGGAGAGAGGTCAGTGTCCATTTTGAGAAAAGGTAGGATTTGGGTGTTGATAAGGTAATGTCAGCCTTCTCAGCCTGAATGAGGGGGTGGCATGTGAGCCATACAGGGGCTCAGCTCTTGTGTTCACAGGCTTTGTATAAGGCCCCAGTCTTCACTGGGTCGTAAAATTCCCTCCTAGTCAAAAGTTAGTAAAGGTAAGAAGTGAGGTGTGAGCTGTTGGACCTCCATGTGTTTATAAAAGAGCAGCTCTGTTGGCATTTGGTTCCAAGATCCTCTTTGGAGCAGCACTGTTGGCCAGGTGATTGATTCCAGCTACAGCTTTGGGACTGGGTTGACCGAAAGATGCTAGGGGCTTTTCTAAGCTGTGGTCACCAACCCAAGAGTTCTCTGCGTCTGGCCTGAGGTTATCAGACCACTAACAGGATTTTGGACTTTTGGTTTTAATGAGAACTTTTGTTTTTCATGAGGTATGACCCAGACCAGTCTTGTCACACCGAGGCCAGAGAATCTCACTTGAGGTCCTCTACAACCTTGCTTTGCAAAGTCAGGCTGAGAACCAGAACGATCCGCACCAGCAGCTAGCAGTGGCCAGTGCCTGACACAGCCAGATGACAAAGTCAGAGTCTGTGCTTCAGTAGGGTCCTGGGGGAAACCAACATCCAGCGGGATTTTAGACAAACTGCTCATCAACACCCTGGCTAGCTCATGGAGATGATGCCACCGTCTCTCAGACAGTCATTTCTGTGGTTGGATGACGCTCACTTTAAAAACCTGCCCCTTCTGTCAAGTCACAATCTATCAGTATCCCCCACACAAGGCGCCCAGAGTTAGCGGCATTGTTCTGAATGCCCACATAGCAAGTGTTTGGAAATGTCCATTCCTTTCCTGTGACCTGGAAGCCTTGGTGCAGAGGCAGGGGGATGGTGATTGAAGCACAAAGTCGACTCCAGCCCCTGGCAAAGGCCAGCAGGTCCCGAGACATCAAAGGAGCAGCCTGAAGGGCCCTGTAGTTTTGTCTGCCATTTCTGTGCTGCTGGAGTAGAGTCCAAGGAGGAGGTTTGAATGGTTGAGGCTAGGAAGGATTTTAGAGAAGTTGTAGGGCTTCTCAAAAACAGGCGTGGGGTGGGGGGTGGCTAGAGACATGACTCAGCAGTTAAGAACACTGACTGCTCTTCCAAAGGACCTTGACTCAGTTGCCAGCGCCCAGATCATGGCTAACAGCTGTCTCTAACTCCAATTCCAAGGAAATCTGATGACCTTTTCCGGCTGCCATGTCCATCGAATGTACATGGTAAACAGACATACATGCAGGCAAAACATGCATGCATATACCATAAAAGTAAATAAAGCTAAAAAAAAAATCTGACGCTAAAACAAACAACACCAAGTGTAAGAGAGTGATGCCTGGTATAGCTGTCGTTCTGCTGGGCCCACTGCAGGGTGAAGACATCTACGGCGGAGATGAGCAAGAGAGGTGGTGTGGTAGAACCGATAGAGCAGCTAAGCAGTTCACCTCTCCCCAGCTGTGGTCCTGAGGCTGGGCTGCCCTGTTTCTCTCTGAGCATGCTTTTCTAGAGAGCAGTATGGTTAGCACACCCTGCTGCCTCCTGGTTTGGGGGTGCAGTCACGGGTGACTATGTCATTTGGCACACCTTTACCAGGATAGGGGAGGGTGGCGGTGTGAAGGTGGAAGAGGCCAAGCAGGATAGAGGCCGAGGCCAGGAGACGCTGCATGGCCCGTGTGACCCCACTGTCTCTCTGAAGCAAGTGTGTGCTGCACAGAAGATTTCCGGGTGCCCTTCTGAAAGATTGTGGGGCTGCAGTCAGCTGCTGCGGTTATTAAACGTTACCTGGAGGGCATCTCCAGAGGTGGACTTCCAAGTGTTTATTCAGAGAGACTTCCTAGAGCTTAGAATTGAACCCTCTCTGGAGAAAGTGTTTCCTATCTGTCTTCCAACAGAGACTTGACCTCTTTGTGAGAGCCCAGCTTCAAAGAAAGGTCTGCGTGGCCTCAATTCCATAGCAACACCACATGTCACCTGGGCTGGCGATGACACTTTGCTCTGCATCTAGAAACAAGCTGGGATTCATTCCATAGCTCACCTGACTGTGTCATGTGCAGATTCTTTGGAGGCATATGATCTTGTTTGAGACTTCATCAGTTACGCAGGGATATCTCAGTAGCACTGTAGTCCTTGTGAATGCCCCAATGTGGGTCCTGATGGTTCCCTCACGGTCCTGTCACCCAAAATCGGAATCCACCTTTGACACAGCAGCCCCACCCCTTGAAACGTGCTCACTAAGATCAAAGGGTTCAAAGGGGGGGGGGCAGCAGGTCTGTTTTTAAAGGCAGCCCTTCTCAGTGTCTCTCCTGCCAGTCTAAGGACCCTGTGTTTTCCTTTTCACCTCATGTGTCCCATTTCCCATCTCATTGCTGGATGCTTGCTTCTAACTCTGTACATCTGCATTTTCTCCTGTGCATCTTCCACGTTGTCATGGAAACTCAGTGGCCACGGGCCACAAATTCCTGGTGTCATCTGAATGTGGTGGTGTGGTACGTGTATTTGCTCACGCTTTTATTTTGAATCCTTTCCAATGTGACATCTGCTAAAATGTCTCCCTTATGATTTGCTTGGTGATCACAGCCTTCTCATCATTCACTGAGCGCAGGACCTGATCTCACAGAATCTGAAAAGAACTATGTGGTAAGATGCCTGTTGAATAAGACTGCGGCTTTCCTAAAGAGAACCCTTACTGACTGCAGCGTGTAGACCAGAGTAACGCCTGGTAAACATCCCGCTGTGGTTTTCAAGAGCCCACCACTGCTGTCGTAGAGCCAGGGATTCGGCCACCCTCTCCGCCTCTAAAGGAGCGGAGGAATTTAGAGACAGTCGCACTCTGCCTGCAGATGGGATTCAGGAATGTTCTAGTGCATGACTCGGGGGTTCATTCCTGTATTTCTAGCCTGAGATTATTCCAGCTGTAGCAGTTACTCACTAATGACAGGCTTTTATGCTGCTCTTCCCTAGAAACAGTCATACTAAATGCCGAATTCCTGTCTTACCTGTCTTTCCATGCTTACCTGGATCCCTCCTGCACTCCGCTACTGGAATCTCTGTTGTTGTTTTTTTTAACCTGGATCTTCAACTCTGTTTTTCTCCCTGGACTTACGTGCTTCGTCTGGAATGTCACATCTCTTCCTTTCTCTTTTTTTTTTTTTTTGTGTCCCCACATTGACTGTTTTATGGGGGTTTCTGGATATCGCGGGGCCACCTCACAGGAAGCAGTTTGCAATGAGATCATAAACATTGCCGAGAAATCTGTCCATTACTGCAGCACTGTCTCTCATCCCCTTGACTTCCATCACAAGGTACCCCCCTCTGACAGTAAATCATCTTTAATCGTTTCTCAGCAACCTCAAGCCCAGCAGCGGAGAGTCACCCCAGACAGGAGTCAGCCCTCACAGGATTTGTAAGTACAGTCTGAGAACTTTGGTTCTTATCTTGTTGGACTGTCTGCTTTGGAAAATGGTTGGCCAACTCCGTAGCAGCTCTTTGGGGGAAATGAGCTAATTGATTCCCGCCTCTTTGGGGATTTCTAGGGAAGACCATATTTCCTGTCAGCCAATGAAGACAGGTGGTAGGTGAATGAAAGAGGTCACGAGCAACTGGGAGAGAGATGGGTAAAGAATTAATGACCATGCTGGGTAGTGGTGGCTCATGCCTTTAGTCCCAGCACTGGGGAGGCAGAAGCAGGTGAATCTCTGTGAGTTTGAGGCCAGCCTGATCTACAAGAGCTAGTTCCAGGACAGGTTCCAAAGCTACAGAGAAACCCTGTCTCGCAAAACCTTAGAAAAGAAAAAAAAGAATTAATACAAGGGGAAATGAGAGTTGTGCTAATGAATTTCAATGTCAATGCTATGGAGAACAAAGAAAAAGGAACAGTTAATTCTAAGCTGAAATGAATTAACAGTGTTGATTTATTTACTCATTCATCCAAAAAAATATTGGATACATCTTATCGTTTATACAAATGGGAGAAAATTCTGTCCATAGAAGATGAAAAATAATTTGAGCTCAGCTCTGAGTAAAAGGCATGGAGTGGATGGGAGAGCCTGAAGAAGGCCTGTGTGACTAGCAGATGGTTCATGGAGCTGAGGATAGAGATGAAAGTTAGGATGTTAGGGTGGGACCAGATTCTAGATTGCAGCTGAAATCGGTTTGGATTTTCTTCTCCAGACACCAGGAAGCCGCTGAAGGCTTTAAAGTGAGGTGTGTGTTGATCATCTTTATTCTAGGGAAATAACTCTGGTAACAGGAGGAGGATGGGATTCAGAAACAAGGGACAGGGATGCTGGTTAGGAGGTATGAAGTCGGTCAATGTGGTCTTAGCTAGAACAGAGTGAGCTTTTTGTAACCTTGGAAATTTATAAGATGACCAACCCAGAGCCGGGCTAAAGAGTGATCGACGGTGAAGGAGAACAAGAAAGGGCAGCAGGAACAGGCTTAGGCTTAGGAATGCTCCCTTTCATAGAGCAGAGCCCATAGCATCTGGTCAGCCATGCTGCCCGCCTCTGCGAGACCAGGAGTCAAATTGAGAAGGCTCACCCGGCATTCTCTCTGGCAACTTGAAAAATGACTGGCAATTGTGTAACAATAAGGAATGTTCCTTTAGAAAGGCTGAAGAGGAAGTTTGACGATGCATGGGGTGGAGTGAGGGACTGGAGATCAAGGGACACTGGAGACAGGGCAGAGTCTTAGGCATATTTGTGCCAAAGAAAGAGCTGAGAAAACTAAAAGATACAAGTAAGAAGCTGTAAGTGGAAGAAGAGGGTTCAGCCTGGCCAGGAGACAGGGTGCTTGCACAGGGTAACAGGGGCAGGACAGCAAGTCGGGACAGACTCTGGTCTGGCAGGGAGGACGATTAAAGTCTAGTCACAGCAAGTTTCCATCTTGGAAAGTGGGGACAAGAATCTGAAGCACTCTGTTGAGAGCGGGGTGCCAGCACCAGCCGAGAATCTCAGTTGGAGGGTTTCTGAGCTGCTGGGGACGTTAGGCCTAAGTGGGACCAAGGCCACAAGGGTATAGATTTTCTCCAGTCTATCTCCACCGTTTGCCTACAAACAAGCAGAGTTATTTTCCAGAATGTGGACTAGCAAAGTGGCCGTGGTGGAAATTCAGGGGACGGTCAGTGTAAGTGTTTGTGCAGGTATGCATTAGATAGTTAGCTGTAGGAATGTAAGTTAGGTAGGAAATAAAGACAGAAACGTGAGAAAAGGTATTCACTTACCCACTGTAAATCTGCCTCCATCTTTTAATTCCTCACCAGAGACCTTTGCTCTGGCAGCCAGATCCTTCCACCAAAGTCTCCACAGCCGGGGAAAGGTAGCGGAAACAGGTGTCTTAGGATGTGCCACTCAGAGCAAACTTCTCGGTTCTGGAAGACATTGCCACAGGATTGTTTCTAGCCGCTCTTCCCCTCACATTGGGACTCACTGACATTACTGGAAATGGCATTTGATGGGCTCATTTACAAGAGTCTGGTGCTACTGTGGCGTTTGGAAACGATGAATAGTGAGCTGTGGCATTGGTGCCCATGAGAGTCCCTGGAAGCATTTGCTAAGGGAATGAGTGAGAACAAAGCTGGCCCTTGATGCCGAAGCTGATGTCAGTTTCACAACAAGCTTCACTGTTATCAGGACACAGCAGTGCAAGCCAGATGTCCTAGGCCAAAGAGCAAGTCAATAAAAACCTTATCTGCGGCTATCGTTGGGGTGGAGCAGAATTAGAAAGCTTTTGGGGTCTCCTGAAAAGGAACCCTACGGTTTCAAACGCTTGAGACAGCGTGACAGTGTTAAACAGCGTGACAGTGGAAATGTGATTTATTATTATTGTTCTTTTGTTTTGTTTTTAGACAAAGTCTCACTCCGTAGGCCAGGAGCTCAGCACGTAGCACGGAGTATGCATGAACTCAATGACAGTCTTCCTGCCCTAACCTCCTACGTGCTCAGATCACAGACATGAGCCATTAAAACATCTTCCCACCTGCCTATGTCTGTTACCTGGCTTTACAGTTCCCTTTTGCTCACTAATGTATATGACCAGAATTTAATGCCCATGGAGCTAAATAACTGTCAATTATTCTTAATAATTTACCTGTATCATCCTGTTATCAAAAAGGGAGTAGTTAACTTTAAAGGCAGTAAAGTGGACAGAGAGGGATGAAGACAATAAAGGTCTGCCATTGTAATGAAAGAAAACTAAGGTTAATGATTAATCATTCGTGATATGCAGTAACTCCCCACCCTTGTCAGTCTTCATTTTTCAAGTGCTAAGCTGCTAGAGTAATAATCAGTACAATGTTTTTATCGTCTGACGGGAAACATTATGTAAATGTCGGGATTTATAAATGGTTGTGAAATCCTGCCAGCAACGGAGCCGCTCACTGGTCCTCTTTCTGATTTGTTGATGTAGCTACCAAGCACTGTATAGCTATGTGCCGCAGAATGATGATGAGTTGGAACTCCGAGATGGAGATATTGTTGACGTCATGGAAAAATGTGACGACGGATGGTTTGTTGGTAAGACCCCCGTCATTCTGTTTTCCCAGCGGTGTATGGAGGGAAGGGCGAGGGATGGTGGGACATGCCAAAAGCAGTCTTCTTTGCACAGAGCGTGATCTCTCAGCCCCTGCAGGAATGCGGGCCTCTCATTCTCAGGGCGGTATGAATGTTACTAAGTGGAGCCTAAAGCCCCTCTAGGCTGGGGTCTGTGACACAGGCTGCGGGTGTCAAATTCATCATTGCTATTAATTGGGTTCAGTTTGTATTTCTGTTGTGTATATGTTTAGCATTCACAGACTGTATTTTTAAAGCTCTTAAGAAACAACATAAGAAACATCTGACTGAAACTAGGTCTCCACCGTGAAGCACATGTGTGGATGGTCCTAACACCCTTTTATTTACTCTAGACTATTAATAACTTGAGCAAAACCAATCAGCTCAAATAATAAAAAAGGGCATAAAGCTCAGTGGGGTAGAACATTTGCTCAAAGCATGGGGTCCCGGATTTGTTCCTTAGTACCACAGACCACACACACACGGGGGGGGGGGGGGGACAATACCAGATTTACCTTTTCAGGAAAGGGAGAGAAAGGCCAACATCCATAGAGATTCCACTGCAAACCCAGTGTGCTTGCTACGCTTTCACTGCCTTCTCTCACAAGGACCCCTGCAAGACAAAAATTAGCCTCTCTTGACAAATTCAAAAAGTGAGGGGCAGGTTTCTCCAATAGCAAATGCCAGACCGCCCATTACTTCCCAGCATGCATCCTGTCTGTTGGGCTGTCAGTACAGTGGGAGCCACTGGTTCACTCTGGGCCTCAGTTTCCTCCTTTCTAACACCAGCCCTTGTCTGACTCTCCGGAAGAAGCTTCCTAAAGCAGTGTTGGGACTGGAGTGGTCAGAACATGAAACTCTGGGAAGACAGGTTGGAGGACAGGGAACCACTTCCTAGAGAGCGCTTTGTCCTCCCAGAAGTCAGGCTTCCCTGTGGGGTTCTTTACAAAAGAGAGTCTTATCAGTTAGCCAGAGGCATATAACAACAGTTTCACAGTAGCAGTAGGCATGCCAAGTGTAAAATTTAAGATTTTTAGAGAGGTCACACTGAAAAAATAAAGAGGAACACATAAAATTAGTTCTGATGTTTTATAAGCCTGAAGTATTCAGATCTATCTTTTGAACACATTAACAATGTTAGTGGTATATTTTATGTTGTTTTCATTCTAAGTCTTTGGAAGCACAATCCTTACTTACTGTGTGTGGATTTCCTACTAAAGAGTGAGGCTGAGGCAGGAGAATGTCATATTCTAGGCAAGTTTGAGCTGTACCACAAGTCTGTGTCTCCAAAAGTGTGTGTGGTGGTATGGCGGGGCAGGAGGGGGACTGAGAGAAAGAGGGAGAAGTTGAGAATGGGGTTGCTGCTAAGTTCCTCTAGGAGTGCTTCCATTTCCAACCCATAGGGAAGGGACACCAGTTCTCCCATGAAGGCAGGCGCCCTGGTTGATGGGAATACATTGGGATGAATATCTTCCTTGCACAACCGAGTACACATTTAGCAGCCCAGTATTTCTAGTCAGTGAGGACAGAGTGCTGGGAAGACCAGTGGGGCTGGTGTGGGCATCAGTAGACCTGTGTTCAGATTCGGCCTCCAACATTGGTGAAGCCCAGGGACCTGAGAAGTAATACTTACACTCTGGGTCCCTCCATCTAAAAAATGTATCTTGCTTGCCCTCTCTCCCCACCCTGCTTCTTCATTTTGTAGCCCAAATGATGTAGCTATGGAAACCACTGAGTGAAATCGTTACCGAGGGACCATGCAGAATCTCCAGAATTCTCTCTGAGCTCAGCATGTCTTCTCATGTTGCGTCTGTTTTTGTTTCCTTGTTATGTTTCTTGCAGGCACTTCAAGAAGGACAAGGCAGTTTGGTACTTTTCCGGGCAACTATGTAAAACCTTTATATCTGTAAGAAGACTGAAAATCACAGAGATTATTTTTCTCGGAGGATGAAGCATCATTCATGAACTGGTCTCTTTATTTAAATATTGAGTCAGCAGGAAATTTAATGCAGTTGGTAAAGAATTCAAAGAGAGGAACGAGGAAGTGTGTTAAAACCCACTGTGTATCAGGGCTTGACTGTGTGCTGAGGAAACTGGTATTTACGTGGCTGCTCTGGAAGCTGCTCCAGCCCCACTGTTCGGGTAATCTGATCTGGAGTAGTGTCCATGGGCAGCGTTAGCCAAAACTGTGCTTAGTCTTCGCCCAGTCCCATTTCCAAGGGGCCCCCTGGGGCAGATAGCTCAATTCCTAGCCATGTCCCACAGGCCCAGCCTGAGCATCACTGACCACGCCTGCCTCTATCCCTGGCTGTCCCACAGCCAGCAGAACCCCAGTGCTGCTAGAAGCCAGTCTGGGTTGCTGAGGTTCTCCTTCAGCACCTCGACTTGATGAGGTCTAGGTAAAGACATGGAGGCAGACCGGGTACCCTGGCATTCAGTCAGCTGGGTGACATTGCTCTTGACTGCTCTGATATTCAGACAGAAAGCATGCCATATTTGTCCTGAGCTTGGGAGCAGGTGGCCAGGCAGATGGGTTACATTTGTGTTTCCACGTGACTGAGGCAGTCACCTTGCGGCTCTGGAGGTCACTCGGAGTATACTCCTTTCCTGGTCACCACCACTGGCTGGGCAGGATGGCATGTGCCTTTCTTCTCTGGCTTAGTATGAGCTCGATACCCCTGAGCCCACAGAATCCAGATGGGGCTCTAGTAGTTCTCTTAGCATGTGTAGGAACAAGCTGGCTGCTGGGCCACCATGCTAAGGCACCCTCAGACCTGGAGGGATCCCGGCTTTGCCCGTGGAGGGGTTCAAAGGCCACTCGGAATGTTGTCTCTCCCGATCCTTGTCCCCCTCCTCCACAGCACCCCAGGCCAGGGAGTCCTGATGCACATAGGGAAACATCCATTCAGAGCCGAAGTCATACATACACTGGTATGAAGCAGCAGTTCCGCTCCTTCTGATGGCCACCAGGAGTCTGTCCTCTGTGGGTCCTGGCCGTGAAGAGGGACCCCTGGGTGCTGTCACCACACTAATTGTTAGATCCCTAATTGACACAAAGCTAGGTATGGCCTGTCCCCAGAGCTCAACTTGCCAGGGTTTCAGCTGAGTGGACGACATAGGAAAAGGAACCCAATCTAGAGAGACTGTGATATGTGCAGAGGGTGTGAGAAGGGATGAGTTTCTCCTGGGGTGGGTACCCTAGAAAACATTGCCAGGTTTGCATCTCCCTCAGCTCACTGAGGATGCTGGGAGAACCTTTGTCTGAGGGTATTTATGTCTGGGGATACTTGGAATTTCCCCAGACTCTCAGCCTCTTATTCTACCCCCAAATACATGGACAGGGTCACAGATAGCAGGAATTGTAGGTGATGGGGGTATATACTGGAACCCCTGGCTCTCTGCATGTAGTTGAGAATCATGCTAACCACTATCCCAAAGTCTGGAGTCTTTACAAGTTGGAAACATTTGTTTTCAGTGGCTGTCCCAGATAGCCTAGGATCCCACTCACTTCCCCCCACCATCCATCTGCCACAGTTCTCCAAGGAGGCTCTCAGGAAAGACACTGCCTCTGATTGATTCACACTGAAAAATAAGTGGGTGATAGGAGGAATGCGTTGCCTCCTTCAGGGGGCGTGGTTTTTCACTGACAGAGCAGAGCCTTTAATCCCAAGGGCGAAGGGTGTGGAACTGAGGGCAGAAAAGCCCTGGTGACTCCATGACCTGTTGCTTTGGAAGCTTTGCTTCACTGGTCGGTAGCACTGCTTTCTTTCTTTTTTTCTTTGCCCCTCTCAAGGGAATATAGCAACAAATATAATAATAAAAATAAATAAACGCATATGTGCATTTTTTAACTCGTTTGGAATGTAGTCCTTGCTCTATCCTAGATGCCAAACATGAACAGTGCAATTGTATCTAAATTTCCTGAGGGGTGCTTTTTGATTAAGTAGGTAACTTCAAACACCCCTTTAAATACAGCTAGAAAAAAAAAAAACATTTTGTAAAAGCCACATTTGCACCCAATGCCAGCGTCACACAGATGATCTCCCAAAATCCAGGTATGCCCATCTTTAATAAAAATCTTTCCAGCTTCCTGTGTATGAGAAGAAATGAAAAGAGCAAAGGTTTCCAATTAATCCTTTGTCTTCAGACATTTAGTAATATAAAGTACCTATTTTTATGCTGAAATGTTTATACAGGTTTACTAACAGCAAGCGCAGCTAACTGGCGGCATGCCTCACAACACGGTTTTGATATATTAGCCATGCTTCCCAGGTAAATGCACGCCCCAAACTACTCACCTTTTGCAGTCTCTCTGGAATCAGTAAAAGAAAAAAAACATCACGTTTGAGAAGTGGGACTGTAAATATGTAATGTATATTTAACTTTGTGTAGCCCATGTACCTACCTTGTATAGAAAATAATTTTTAAAACTTGAGCAGAAATGGAGTAAAATAAGGAAGTCATGAAGGGTTGGTTTTTTTCCCACTTTTATTTAAATGAAGGAATTTCAAATAATTCACCTGCAGACTTTTAGCACAAAAAATAGTCATTGGAAATTGTTAACATATACAGTTGTTCTTTGGGGAAAAGATGACAACTAGAATATCATTTACAGTTTTCGTTTTGCAGTTCTGTTTTTCTGCAGTAGTATTAAATCCTATTGCTGGAAAAGGTTACTACAAAAACAGAAGATTATATTCAGAAAACAATAACTGACATATGTAACCTACGAAGGTGTTGCATCTAAATTCCACACCAAGCGCATGTACTATGCAGACACAGATTTTTCTGTTCATTTATTTTTCTTTATTGCAGTGGATTGATTTGATAGACATGTTGAATTACAACTTTGCTGTACATACTATTTAATAAACTTTATTCAGAATTATGTGGCACCTCTGTGTTTTTGTCCTTCCTTGGTTCTTTCTTCCTGTGAGGGAGGCCCCACTGCTGCTTCAGATTCTCGTGCCCGCCTCTCGGTTCCTAGTCCCTGACCGCCAGATTTCTTCTCCTCCCCTTACTTTTTCTCTGTAGCATAACTCTGATCATCGATACATTGATACAAGTACGTTATTTGTTCTGATAACAACAATAATGACTTAAGACGGTGTCTTAAATGAAACCTTATGAAATATATATGTCTCGGTTTTCTCCTCAAAACATGGGGAAATAGGCTGTTTAGTTTTCGACTCTCAAGTGGGCTGTGACTCTTCTGGTGTGCTGAGTTGCTTGGCTTTTCTCCCCACATCAAGTATATTAAAACACTCCACCCTATCCAAGTCCCCTTCCCCCTTCTGCGACCACCCCTGCAGCCACTCCACTCCATGACGGAGCTGCCACCTCACTCAGGCGATGGCCTTCGTCCAGACCTCCTCTCCCTTGCCCTGACCTCTGCCTTCTCTAAGTAGTAGTTTGCAACTGCTAAGACAGTGAGGTGGGGCCTCAGCCAGGTCAGGAGAGGGTTGATTTCTGGGGTCTGCTGGTCTCCAGCCTGGTCCAGTTTCACAGGCACTGCCAACCTTCCTCTTGTACCTCTGTCCGTCTCTTCAAGCTCCATTTAGAGCCTGGCCGCTTTTACTTTTGTGAACCAAGCCATTTTCTCTTGCCCAGACCATTGTAATAACTGTAGCTGGCCTGCTGGTTTCTCCCTTGCCTCCTGCCCCCCAGCCATGACAGGGCAGCCAACGCCTTCATGGTGAGATTGACCATATACTCTATTGGTTGTGGACTGAATCCATAAGCCCTGCCCTTACCTCTCCATGGTGACCCGCAATCCCATCTGCTGATTTCTGGTGACTTGTTCTCACCTGTATCCCTAAGGTCAGCACTCCGAGAGCATCATGCTCGCCATGCCTTGTGCTTAGAAGACTCCTTCCCTGAAAGCTGTTGACTCCCTCTCTTTCTTTGGGCCTTCGTTTTGTTCTGCTTAAGGCTTCCTCTGATCACCTTATATAGGATGGAAACTATTGTCCCCACTCAAGCATTCTGTCCTCTTTGTTGATGGTTGTAGGTTCGTTTCTCCTTACATACTAAACATGCGTGGCTTCCTACAGTCTTAGGATTTTCCTTTAATAGAGCTTGCGCATAGCTCCAAAAGATGTGTATCCAGTTCTCTATTGTTGATAGACGTGTGGGATTCTTGCCAGCTGTTTACCACAGTGAAAGAACGATGTTGTTCAGAGGAGCTATTGATTCTGAGAAGGAATATTTCAGACCTTTGGAGAATGTCATTCCCTTCCTGAGGTACCAACTTCTACTCCTGCCAAGTCCAAGAGAGTGTGTTTCTCACCTTTCAGTTAAAACCGCAGCCAGCCTCCCCGAAGGGCTGTTGCCTGGCTTTGGGCAGCAGCTCCTCAGCACTCAGAGATCTTCACTGTGTTTCTCATCCCTTGATTGCTTTCTCTCAGCACTTGCTACCCCAGGGACTGATTCTTCGCAGTACAAGTATGAGCCAGAGAGTCACTATGAAGGCCCTTTGAGTGAGAAACCCAACACTATTGGCTTGTGTGGAGACATACCAAAAAGAATTCAAAGTAGCCTCAGGCAGGAGTGGATCCAGGAACTCAAACTGTCTCTGCTGTATTTATCTTATTCTTGGCTCTGTGGTCTTGTTTGACTGCATTTTCTATTACTGACTACAGCTATGGGGTGCGGGCAGCGTCGTTTTTAGTTTTCCGACTCTAGGTGCAGAAGTGCTTCTGTCTGGCTTTTCCTGAAAACATTTCCAGACTCTTTGGTAGATTCCTCCTGGATTTTATTTTGGTACCTGGTCCCATGTATCCCAAGCTTTCCTATATTAGCAGAGGATGACCTTGAGTTTCCAATCCTCCTTCCTCCAACTTTGGAGTTCTGGGAGTATAGTGGTGCGCCACCATGCCATCTATGCTGTGCTGGCTTATTTCTGCATGCTCAGAGCAAGTACTCTATCAACTGAGCTACATCTCTAGCCTACTTCCTGGGTTTTATTCCTCTCTGAAGTAGTCACTGACCAAAAAACATTGGCAGCACCACTGAAACCTCCCGTGGAAAGAGACAGGACAGGTTAGACTGGTGTACTGCATTAAGAAAGGATTTCTTTAATCCCAGCACCTGGGAGGCAGAGGCAAGCCAATTTCTGTGACTTCAAAGCCTGCCTGGTCTAGAGAGTTCTGGGACAACCAGGGCTACATAACAGACCCAGGCTCAAAACAACAACAATAACAACTAAAAAGGGGGAGGAACTGGATGTCAACGGGCCCCTAGGTATGGGGAGTAGAGGAAGTCCTGAGTGAATGTGTTTTGTTGACCTCAGCATAGCCATGAAGGATTCCAATGTCTCAGAACCACGAAAATGTCAAGGCCATTCCCTGGTCCAACCACTGATGTGTGTGTGTGTGTGTGTGTGTGTGTGTGTGTGTGTGTGCATGTGTGTGTGTATAAAGACCAACCACAGCTTGCTCATCCCTGAGACTTCAGCCTGAGATTGTGTCCTTACAAAGACCCCATATTGAGATTAGCTCAACAGACTCCTGAACTGTGCTGTATAAAACAAATACACCAAGTTCCAGGCTACTTCCGGTGCATCTCCATCAGTGCACGTGGCCCACCCAATCCCAGCTTTTCTGTATGTGTATCTGCCAGAATATTCTTCATTCTCAGTCACCCCACGTAGGTCAGTCCCTAGGTCATGGAGTTCATGGCATCTAGCCTTGGAGAATTATTCAGCATGTTTTGGAAAGAAACACCACTATCTTGTCCCAATGAGAGTTTCAGTGTGGATGAGTGGAAACAATATACTGAAGATCCAGACCTTGGGAGGAACCCAGTGGAGGATGACATCCGCCCAGTAGATGAAGTCAATGTGACCATGAAGGCACAGCAGAAAGTGCATGCCTGCTAAAAGTGAAAGCACTCTCTGGAAGGAAGCAGAAATGTTTGGATGAGCTAGAAATGGGTTTATTTGCCAAGTCTTAGCATGTAGAGTCAATGATTTCAGGACAAATGAAAGACAGTAACTACTTGATTCAGGTAATTTGCTAAATGAATTAGTGAGAAAATGGTTTGGATTAAAAGAAGTTCTACGCTTTAGGCTGTACACTGTTGTCCTAGCAACTACTTCCCAAATAACCGACTCGGAGATTTAATATTAATTATAAATGCTCAGGCTTGTCACTGACTAGCTCTTACAACTTAACCTATTTCTATTAATCTTTGTGCTGCCCTGAGGTTTATGACTTTTACCTCTATCTCATTTTGTGTGTCCTACTTATTCTCTGTCTAGCTGGTGACTTCTCTCTCTGCCCTTCTTTCCAGCATTCTCCTTGTCTGGCTCTCCTGCCCAATTTCTTTCTGTCTGGCTATTGGCCAGTCAGCTTCTTTATTAAACCAATCACAATGACATATAGTGTAAAGGAATATTCCACAGCCCTACATTGTCAGTGTTATTACTTATATGCCCATGCATATGATAAAGTTTAATTTATAAGTTAGGTACAGTGAGTAAATAATAGTGGGTAACACAAACAGAACAATTGCAGGCAGGAAAATTCAAGGCCAGTTTTGGCTACGTAGCAGTACCCATGTCAAGAATAAAGTTATGTGAGTGTAGTCTCAGAATATCTTCTACTCTCCCTTCTTAACCAAAAGCAGCTGAAACAGTGGAAAGGGAAACCACAGATAACTATATTCAAACAGTTTTTAGAAGAAAGTGATAGAAGCCAAAATGATAAGCAGATCTGAGTGGCCACACAGCTCCTGGTGAGTCTGTCCTCATGCACATCTTCTCTTAGGACATCATCAGGCCCGAAAGAGTGAGTAGGTGCAGATAGCCTGGCCCCTCCTGACTTGTCTCTAAAGAGATCTGACAGGCAGAAGTGCAGAAGGGAGGTAGGTCCATGAATCAGCTCCAAATGGCAGTGTAGATTGTGTGCTGTGGTGACCTTGAAGCAAGATCCCTGGTCCCCTTAGGCCCTTGACTTAGCTTCGTTTCCAGTCCCTGTGATAAGACATTCTGACAGAAGCAACATGCAGAGGAAGGGTTTATTTGTCTCCTATTGGTCATTTACATCATTTCAGGGAAGTCAAGATGGCAGGAAATTGAAGTTACTGTCGCATCTTCACATCCAGTCAAGAGCAAAGAGCGGTGACTTGATGTGTGTATGTTAGTGCTCAGTTCCCTTTCTTTTAAACCCTTCAAAAGCTGGCATAGAGAATGGTGGCACCCACAGTGAGGAGGTTTCCCCACCTCAATTAACATTAGCAAGATAATCCCCCATTGAAATTCCTTGTGAATCTAGGTTGTGTCTGCTTGACAAAACTAACATCAAAGTCCCCAAGCCCTGCTGTGGGATCTGCTCTTGTACTCTGTAAACATCTGTCACTTCTGTTGGTTTAGTAAGATGCTAATTGGCCAGTAGCCAGGCAGGAAGGGTAGTTGGGGCAACCAGAATAAGAGAATTCTGGGAAGAGGAAAGGCAGAGATGCAGTCACCAACCAGACGCAAAGGAAGCAAGATGAAAATGCTTTACTGGAAAAAGGTACCAAGCCATCTGGCTAAACATGGATAAGAATTATGGGTTAATTTAAGTTGTAAGAGCTAGTCACAACTAAGAGGCCAAACAATGTATACTTAATATAAACCTCTGTGTGTTTCTTTGGGCTGTCTGTGGGACCAGGAGGGACAGAAACTTCTGTCTACAAAGCCCACTTTTGAGGGATGCATAATATCGGGTGATTTACACATTAATGGTAAGGTGCTTCAGCCTCCAAGACCATCTCCTCAATGGTGTGGATCCTCTGTCCCATCAGTTGTCTGTGTGACTAACAGAATGTAGTAGGAATGATGATAGGTGACTTCTGAGGTAAGATCATAAAAACTTGCAGTTACTGTCTTTTGGAGCAC